AACACCTCGCGGTTTGTAAACGCGTAAAGGGTTCCCCATATAATCGGGAGGTGCAACCGTTTCCGGGCAGGACAGATGATGCAGTGAATTTCGTGTAACTATTAGCGACGGCATGTTAATTGGTGTTACCATTGCGCCATTGATCATTGGCCCCATCCGATAGAATTCGAGGTCGATATCGTTCATTGTATTCAAATGCACTTTCGTGCATAAACTAAACGTTTCTTTTAACTCATACTATTTTTTGACCTCCCCAACGAATAGTGGCGTGTCACAAAACAACTAGATTAGTCTGTTTTTTTCTGAAGGGTGGACACTTAGGTCAAGCTTGAGAAAATAGCTTTTCTCGATCGAGAGCGTGAAGTTAATTGTATGTAAGGTAGTCCCAAAAAAACGACGAACAAGAAATTACTTTTAACTGAAAGAGCTCTGTTTTATGCAGAGGCTGTCTCTAATTAGGTCACCAAAAAATATCTGCTATGTATGAGCCTGTTTTGCTAAATAAATGAACGAATTAAATACAAATTACTGGACGGCGCTTTTACCAAGATGAAGTAAGTCTGCTGCGGTAAACAGACCACCTGGACGAAACTTTATGGCCACAGCTTTCGTAAATTGACATCTAGCCCCAGGGCAGTGACACAGTGGTTCAAAACAGCTAAGGCCCGTTGGACGCGATATCGGCCAACAACACATAAAACCAGATCGTCTGAGTGTAGAACGGGATTTACTAGCAGGTGACGCTTCTTGATCCCACTGGGTAGGCCACGAATTACCGCAGAGAATAGAAGTGAATTTTGGTTATTACCTGAGTAGGCTGATGCCTGTAGCTTGCTCGAAAGGATTGATCTTTACTGCGTCATCGATAATTACTTTTTTCATCTGCAGTATGCTCCCGTAAACTGTGAAAAGGCCCAGCATGTTTTGACGTACTTCCATTCAGGCAAGCTCAAAAAGAGCAGCATCTTTCGGAACTATATCTAATGCAGGTCAGAAGTTGACAAGTACTGCATGTATATATATATATAGATGGACACGAGTTGTTGAGAAGATGTACTGGCTGTGTAGGTCACATGCTTATGTCAAAATTCCGTGCTCTTTTTCAGGTATATTGCACGCATAAGGAAATGTAGGAGGCAGTCTCTGAAAAACTGAGATAGTAATTCATAATGAAAATTCTTTTACGCAGTGTTTCGCCAACTACAAGGCTATTAAGGCTAGCTTTTTTCTTTTCGTTATTACAGATAGCAGGATTTTCAACCACTTGACTTGAAGGTGGCCTTTCTTCACGCAGCCACTAAATAAAGCAATCTAACAGGGCGCTAAAACGTAGCCTTATTGGAGTCAATTTTTCCACTTAGCGATAACTATTATTACCTTTTGCACTTCAAAGTTTCGACTATGCATATCGCGTATTTTAAGTGTTAATAAATCCTAGGCAGTGACGCAGATTTTGACCTCAATTACGTGGGACAGTATTTTAGCCAGCTACTGAACCTAGGAAGTGCTAGACAAGTGTATTGGTTTTAACTGTATGCATTTAAACGTTCGTCGATGTAGCCAACAGGGCTGTTATGAACGGACATTTTCCAACATCTTACACATTTATATCGCTTTCCCGCCCACTGGATAGTGTTTGTATGAGAAATTTTTTCGTGAGTATCTGGAAGAAGCGCAGCGAAAATTACCGCAACGCTAATGTTAGCAGTCATAGATTTAGGCGTTACGGTTCTGCAAACGTGATTGAACCATGTCCTTCCAAACCAGAGTCCCGGAGTCGGTGGGAGATGAAGGTGGAAGGTGATAATGTAGAGACGGGAAGTTAATAACATAACTGAGTGATCTTTATATAAGAACAGTCTCGCTTGCCCTAATATCTGCTCACAGAATATGGACACTTCGCCACTGGGGCGATACGGCCCAAAGGCGCGTTGGGCTGGGACGCGTACTCCGTAAAACCCGCTCATCCCAAACTTTCAAATTATTCAGGTTTCTGAAAGAACTAGCGTGCCAGTAACAGCGAAAACAGCAGGAGCTGCAGATTTTCATCTCTTTGTGATTTCAGTGCACAACAGTTAGACCTCTCTGCGAAGCCGCGTGCACTTTTTCTCACTAGAATATTTCCATCATGTCAGCATCGTTCGGATCGCTCAGGTTATAAGATTGTAAAAAGTGTCCTTTGGCAGTATTCCTCTTGCATATTTTTTTGGTTTCGCTAAATGGATCTTTTCGTTTCCGTAGCCTTTTGCGTGGTGGTGTAAGAAGTCTGCCTGTTGGTGAGGCATTCTGTATTCTACAACTAGTAACTGGTTCGACTGACGTTGATGGGCTGGCAATTTACGCGCTTATTTCTCGCTGGTTTGGTTGACTACAGGGTTTCATTGCTATCACGTTAGCGGTTGTCATCAGAAACACTGCTTTCTGCTGTTCTTGAGCTTAATTCTCATGAACTTTGCAGCATTCAGAGCGAGAATTATGACCACTCCATAGATTGTGTCAGTGTGGTATGCCAAAGGATAAGTCTTTAACCGGCATCATCGTCCGCGTTCGTATAAGTTCCGAGAAAGTCAGCCGACATCTTTTCTTGAAAGCTTTTTAAAATGTTCATTCCCTTTTGGTCCTAGATTTTAATTGCGAAGTACTGGGATAGAATAGACGATCAACTTTTCATCGGAAGCGTCTGCCTTCAACGCTTTGTAGTTCAGCTTCTCACCTATAGTTAAAGCAATCTAGGAGCCCAAGTAAAGATCTATGCTGAAATCATCACCAACATAATCGAAATAATGTTAGCGTTTTTTTGGAAAGCATTTTGCGAGTTTCACATTGGATAACGTTAACTGCCGGTGATGCATAGGCAACACGTGTTTTCAAAAACCCTTATAAAAAAAGTTTATCATAAGCATGTTCGCTGACTTTTTGTCACGCGTTTCTACTTCTTGGCTCGCCTTTCACATATTCCTGTGAATGACAAACGACACGGCATTTATATTAATTAGACACGTACCAAGTTGTGAAGTTTAACTGTTGTATCGTCGACGAGGAAGGAAGCCTTCTGTTGATGTGGGTGTTAATAATGATCGATCCATTTGACAATTGCGCTGCGCTTTGCGCCTATCATACACTCCTTTAACCGTTCAGAGGCTCACAGTTCCATTATGACGACACATTTTTCAAAATATCCGACGAGATTCATCATAAGTTCTGGCAGTATTCTAGCTGGGGTTTATTACATCTCACGAGTGCTACATAAATCGGGGCTCCACATGTAGTCTAGCATCGGAAAGGGACGACAGCTTTAGATGCTTGTCTTTATTTGAGCTTATTCGATATTGTCAGTATTTAGGCATCCTTTATAGAAACAGAATCTGTATGGCGCGTACAATCTCTGGAATTGGCTACCGCCAAAAAGCATAATTCGCAGATGGGCAGAACTTGTATAAGGGTGGTCTTTAGCTCTGACAGGGGCATGAGACGTACTGCATGTGCGCCGTGTGCGGCAACAGCAATGGTACCTCCCATAACATAAACGGTTTCTAAAAATAACATACATGGTTGCACAGCGCCTTTATTTTTATTTACTAGCTTCTACTACAAATACAAACGTTGTGCCACTACCGCTTTTCTAGGAGGCATTACAGCCAATTATTAATATAAGCGAGCAGCTTATAAAAGCCCTTAGAATTACAGGTGATATTAAGTTTTCGTTTAAAGCAAAGACATACTTGTATACTATTGACACTATCAGAGGGAACACTGTTTATTGCTTGGGTAATCGCGTTGAGTGCTTTCAGCCCTTAACAAAGAAACGCTTACCTGCCATATCTACAAAAACTGAATGTTTGTTGATTTCGTAGTTTCTTGTCATATTTAAGCCATGGCTTCGATTTGTGGTCAATAAGCGTAAAAGACTAACCGGAAAGATGACAGTCTCTTTGCATGCTTTAGAGTTCGACTAATACGAAGAGAATCGATCTCCGCATATTCATTATCTACGAATCTTGTAAAACGTGACCTTCATCAGTTCAATTGAACTCTTAAAATTTTACTGAATTTGTCACAGCGCTTTATAAAACCACTTTGTTTACCTTTTACGTAATTTTTATTAAATTATTTACAAGAGATTGACGTTACCCGGCTTTGGACACTAAGGTCACCGGTTTCCAGATGAGGCGCAGATTTGTGCGCTCAGTTAGGTGTTCTTATAATACCATGCTCCAGAGAAACAAAATAACCTTTACTTATAAATAAAAAAATTAATTATAGACATGGGTGCAAGCAGCTTAGCTAGGCGTTCTTCATCGGTTGAGATGCAATATTATAGCGTAGTCGAAAGCTGACATTAAATTCAGTCTAGATGTTCTAGATTAGATTCAGTCTAGAAGTCGTCAATCCGTATGCCACCCGTATTAATAATTCTAGATTATGCAAGCGTAAGCAGATTGGATGCCAAAAAGACTTTTTATCGTACTCTCAAATATTGATCATTCTCGAAATAATGGTAAAACGTTTAAAAATCCGATGAAGATCATCGAGCTTCTCAGAGGAGTACTATAGGATAGTGTACTGCTGCACAGCTAAAATAACAGCCAAAGATGTTGAAGAAAAACGATTTCGCATATAGAATGAGATGAATAGGCGTAAACTACTGTTCAGAGAAGATTGGAAAAGCGAAGCTTTGAAGAATATTCTTTGTATCATTTCATTGGTATCATCAGGATACCTGTTCGAATTCCACCACACTACATAATCGACTTGGTGTACGTTCATCGAGGTTTAGCATGTAACTTATTTAAAATTTAGAAAGATTTGCCTATAACTAAGTACGATGTCTCCATACGGGCCATTCAGTCTCTAACCCATCTAATCAAGTAGGCGATGTAACAAAGTGTCAATTTTTGACGAAACAATCGTTTGCGTTTCGAAGCACCGCCACGTATTTGATTTTTGCACTCGCCTTACTGGCAGTGGTTTCGGTTTCGTGTCAGCTCGGGCTGCAGCGTTGGCACTATTAGACGTCGTGTGTTCGCAGGTTCGCCGGTGAACGTATTTGATCTCCCCCAACGAGAGTGAGTAGTTAGTCGTTGTTCGTGCTGGGGGCGAACAGAACGATCTTGGCTCTCCAAGAGTAAGGTTGCAACCTACACAGCCACTATGGGATGTGAGTACGGTGTTATATAACCCAAGATGAATTCAACAACAAATGTGCTTTTTAATGTGCAAATGTTTTTGACACATTGCTGGTAAACGGATCGCTGCTTTTTTTTTGAGAATCTCTTTAAGTGAATGGGCTGGTTCAGTCAGGCGTTCGGTGTATTTACATGGATGTCTCTTCATATGTATGTGCGCACAATGAGCTCTACTTCGTCTAACGAAAACGTACTCGTTTGGGTTTATTTAAAAAGTTTAAAGCTCACCGAAAATTCGAATATAGGCTTGATATAGAGTTAGCCAGGCTAATTGGTTTTCAAGCATCTCTGCCAAAATAACTGTACAAGGAGGGTGCGGCAAAGGCCCTGTCAAAATATGCATATACCTTACATTGAGGTTCAAGGACACAAATAAATTAGGTGCATCCTAGGATAATGGTTAGACACAGCGAGCTACGAAAAATCTGGGCTGCCAGTGTTATCAGTGTCTGAAAGCACATGTGAATGACGTGTCAGTCGGTTGGCCGGAGCACAATTCCTTGTCTATCAAATTGGCGGGACCAAGCATTCAAAAAAGCGCGTCCTACGTTCTGTCCAGCCTACACTAGCAACACAGAAATAAACTTGGTTTGCTTTTTAATGATTACTTGTAATTACTACGTGTGACTTTCTTTATTCGAATGCAACACTAAAATTTGTTTTATTGCCCAATCAATCAGTTTTATCGGTTATGGAAAATACGAAAGCCGTTCAAATCACTGGGAGTGATTTGATCACTAGGAACACCTTGATGAGTTAATACTATATTCAGCTACGGTAATTATTGTTAAAGGATATCGATATACCTTTGTATGATTTCTGCGTACGTTTAATATTCAAATATCAACGTATTGCAAATATTCCAACCTATTCGACACCTTCTTGTCCCCCTGCTTAAAATCTGTTTTAATATTGTTCGTAATAATGCTTGATAATGAATTACATGATTCGTATTTCAGTTAAGTTCCTGGAGGTGATTAAGCCGTTTTGTGGCATCTTACCGGAAGTCGCAAAACCCGAGCGTAAAGTTAGTGAATTTTGTAATATTGTAATATTATATGCGTTGAATTCCATATATGTTAATATTTATAAATTGTTTTTCTCCAGCTTTATTGTTTAGAAATGTTACCTACGAAGGCCTACATAACAATAATCAATTTATTTTTTGTTCATGTATGCGCTTTGAACAGATTCAGTTTCGGGAAAAGGTGTTATGGACAGCAATTACTCTATTCATCTTTCTGGTGTGTTGCCAGGTAAGAGCGTCACAAAAAAACTAACGGGATAAGCTAGTTGTATCGTAAAATCGTAATTAAAATGTAGCTATTCGAGGCATTTTTCGAAATGCGATAGTTAGGACCATACAAACTACAAGGTGTCGACTGGACCAACTTTGCGCTATATCAGTTTTAGCAGTGCTAAAGTCAATGGCATTTTTTCAATGCAGATGTGCGGATTTTGCTGCAGCTTGGAGAATTTACACGAATGTATTAAAAAATATTATATTCTTTTAAACTAAAAATGTTTAATATTATGCCCGCGTAATAATTAATAACCTACTCTGCTGCGGGGTTCATTTCTCACTGCATGGCAAGCAATCTATTTATATTACTAGCAAGTTTCTAATGAGCTGGATTAAAAACTGCACAGAACAGTTACATAAAATGTATGAATGAAAATAAAAAAAAACATTCGTATAAGTATTCTCAAGATAAATTATTCTCACTACTTTATTCAATTTACCGAGTGTACTGCTAAATCATGCTAGCACGTGCGCCATTACCCAATTTCGTTGCAGAATCTGTGATGCGTAGTCGGCTAATAAAACGAATTAATACATTTATTTCTAACACGGTAACACCCATTTTTGTGAATACACGTTAAAAAATAGAGTCAATTTACTTATTTTAGGAGAAAAAGTAAAATCACAAATAAAACAATTTCATCCTTCCTATGATGTCCTTCATTTGTTATTAAATTGTAAATGACAACAGACTCTGTAACGCCATCAGATGCAACGCGGCGTTATTGTGTTTTTCGAACTTTAAGTGGCTTGCCCTTATTGTCAAGAGAAGGTAATTGAAAGCAAGTTTTTAAAAGCTGAGGTTCGACGTTAAAGCGACAAGCCTTTGAAATCTGCAGATGCGCTGTATTTTTAGTTTCCCACGCCTCTAAAAATCTTTTTCTACGATCTCCGTTATCTTTCTCTTTGCATGAGTCCTCACAGAATCCTAACTTAAGAGGGTCTAATTAGGTGATGTTTTGTGAGAGTCCAGTGTAAATTTAAGTAAAACAATTGTAGACGGTGTTCGGTTAAATACGGCACTCTAATCCTTGCTAGAAATTAGCATAGTTGAATGATTAATCATAATCAATGCATACCTAAATTGACCGCGTTGTCATTAGTATAAACCGTATATATGTATTAAAAAAATAAAGTCCTTATCGATCGAAAAGACTATGAGTTGAGCAGTTATTAAAAGACAATACATAGTTTGTGGTTTACATTTGCTCTTTTAGGTACCTCTATTTGGAATCATGTCTTCAGATTCGGCTGATCCCTTTTATTGGATGCGAGTGATTCTTGCTTCGAACAGAGGAACTCTCATGGAACTTGGTATCTCACCTATTGTTACATCGGGTCTTATTATGCAGCTGCTTGCCGGAGCAAAAATTATTGAGGTCGGCGACACACCTAAGGACCGAGCCTTGTTCAACGGCGCTCAAAAGCTTTTCGGAATGGTTATTACGATTGGGCAGGCTATCGTGTACGTTATGACAGGCATGTATGGCGACCCGTACGATATTGGAGCCGGTGTTTGTTTTCTGATCATCGTGCAGCTGTTTGTTGCAGGCCTTATTGTTCTTCTTCTCGACGAGTTGTTGCAGAAGGGTTACGGCCTTGGCTCTGGTATTTCATTATTCATCGCCACAAACATCTGCGAAACAATTGTATGGAAAGCGTTTTCACCATCGACTGTCAATGCCGGACGTGGTACAGAATTTGAGGGTGCCATCATTGCTTTGTTTCACCTTCTAGCTACACGTACAGACAAAATTCGAGCTCTTCGCGAAGCTTTCTACCGGCCCAACCTACCAAACCTAATGAATCTTCTTGCAACTGTCTTAGTTTTCGCCATTGTAATCTATTTCCAAGGCTTCCGTGTGGATCTTCCTATCAAGTCTAATCGTTACCGGGGACAGTACTCGTCTTACCCGATAAAGCTATTTTATACATCGAATATACCCATCATCCTACAGTCTGCGCTGGTTTCCAATCTATATGTTATATCGCAAATGCTCTCTGTGAAGTTTGCCGGCAGCGTCCTAGTGAACCTGCTCGGCGTCTGGTCTGACGCAGGAGCTGGTTACGGCGGGAGATCGTATCCAACTGGCGGGTTATGCTACTACCTCTCGCCTCCGGAGAACCTTGGAGCTATACTTTGTAAGTTCATTCGGCTGAAACAATTTTCTTTTGATTATAAACGTATGTGTGAAAAAAACCGGGCCAGGGAAAGGGATGAGAAACATGTGGGCGATAAGAACTCGTAGCCGCCCAATCCTGTATTTTGCGAAATCTTGTACATACTGTATAAGATTTTTGTAGAAAAATATATAAGATTTTTACTGGTATTGCTCTAGTGCAGCCACATCGCGCGGGTACAGGCATCATTCTTTCACAACCATGATAACTTACCATTATACAGTAGGAAGCAACTCTTTTCTATTGTTTCGCTTCTTTCTTGAATAATCGATCTTTTCGTTCTATCGATATTTGCCTCTTCGCGAATGTCACCTGTCCCGCGAGTCTACGTATTTATTTTTATATTGTCTAGCGCATGGTTTTCATGTGGATGAAATACATGCTCAACTATTTTATAAAATATACGTTTTGATTGTGACCTCAAATTGCTCAAACATGGTACTTTGTTCCATTATAAAGCCAACTTAAATAACTAATATATGACACGTCCATAATCCTTATACCTATCTAGCTCATTATAACTCGCATATACTAACCTTTACTTGCTCCAACTATTACACGGTCCCTGTTACCCATGCAACCAATTTATTCTTTCGCTATTTTTTAATTAAATTAACTATAGTTCTATTAATATTCTTAATTACAGTATTTTTTTTCCTATTTTTTGAATGATTATGATTATGTGAGAATTTGAGGTTTATCAAATGTGGATTTGAAATATTTTTAGTCCGAGCACCATTTTTATTACATCAAATCTCAAAAAAAAAAAAATATTAATATTTTCTCCTAATTGCAGCGGATCCCATCCATGCAATTCTGTACATTGTCTTTATGTTGGGGTCGTGCGCGTTCTTCTCCAAGACATGGATCGATGTTTCTGGCTCATCGGCCAAAGACGTTGCGAAACAGCTCAAAGAGCAACAGATGATCATGAGAGGCCACCGTGAGACGTCAATGGTGCACGAGCTCAACCGATACATTCCCACAGCTGCTGCCTTTGGTGGACTTTGTATTGGTGCCCTGTCAGTGTTAGCAGATTTCCTCGGCGCTATCGGTTCCGGAACCGGAATCCTTCTCGCCGTAACCATAATTTATCAGTACTTCGAAACATTTGTTCGTGAACAAGGTGACATGGGCGGCATGTCAACATTGCTATTTTAGTAATTTAATTACCAAATTTATAATGACAATATACAAGATGGATATTGAAGACCAGGATACGAAAGCAAAACAGACTTCACAACATCACACAGACAGACACACGTATATAAAAACAACGCAACTATAAGAACAGAGTCTATCGTGATGAAGCCATGCTGCACGTTGTTGGAATTGAGGAACGAGAAGAAAATTACTGTATTATGTTTAAGCTGCTACCCTTATTCGTTTTACTATTATTATTTAGGCCCGTTTCAGTGAATGCAAGAAAGAGTGAAACGAGAAAGAGAGTGAGTGAGAGCATGAAATAACATAGACAGAGAGAACGGTGAAGCGATACGTGAAAACGCAAAGGTAAAGAAAGGAGGAAATTCAACAATAACAACATCAAGAGACCATGTGCTGCATAATTAATTTGTAATTTAATTATGTGAAATTATGTCACTAGGCTCGAAACAAGGTTATCAATAAGCAAGAATATTATAAGTACATTGAATCGGGGTTCAATCGGAGCTATAGAAACGTAGACGCTGTAGTTAAGGCAAGCTACAGTGAGGAAGCCAGACTGGACAACAAGGCTCTAGTTTTTCAATAACAAAAAAGATATGCACGCATAATTTTGTTTCCGTTAGGAATAAAACACAACTCGATTAGATATGCGGGTAATCTAATCAGTTTACACTTAGTTACCCTGTCTGCAAATGTGGACTCCCCTCACGCTGCCCCTCGTGTCTAGAAATCGAATCGAAAATGACGAAAGGGCCTCGGGAGGTACTCGGAGAGATGTCCTACTGATAGCGCTCGAGTGTGTCGTGAGTCTGTAGCACTTGTCCTATTTGAACTGATATGCTGAATGTTTGTCATTCGAGCGGCTTGACCATAAGCGGTCTGCCTATTCGTTCGCTGTGTATAGAGCTACAACTTTTATATGTTAAAAAAATAAACTGTCAAGTACCAAAAAGTGAATCACATTATTCATCGAGAGATGCTTCCTTATGTAATAGACTTAACAGAATGCCATAGGTTGACACAGAAATTGCATTGCTTTTGCAGTGTGCAAATAATCCCTTTTACCTAAATAAAGCGCCAGTAAGCCTCCTATAGTTTTGGCTACAATCTGGGTTAATTCCCAGAATGTTCATCTCTCAAAAACATTGCATTTGCCTGTTCTTACTTGTGCTCGCATGATAAAGGATTTTGATAGAACTTCGAATGTACTTCTAGTAGATAATCATCGTGCAGTAAGCCACACGTTCACATATTTTGTAAAGCCATTCGTATTTTATGATGAAGAGTTTTCAGTAAACAGTGTGCTTTTCGTAATACCGTAATTAACATGTCACTGAGTCCATCAGCGAATCTTTTTAGTACGTTTTAAATGTTTGATTTCGGGAGCTTTGGTGAAAACTATTAAAAGAGTTGTCGTAGTTGAAACCGTAAAATGGCAGAAATTTAGCGATGATTGAGCTGTTTCTTTTTGAGTGTCTTACTCTACTCGGCGGTAAGACGCTTTGATATGACCAGATTCTTAACAATGTTGCTTCGCCTTGTTTAACTCTAACTAATTTTATTAGCTCTCAGGGCCATGAGTCTTGTACTCATCACCGGCAATACCTAACTACACTGCTTGGTTTCAAAATTTAAAAAGCTAGGAATTGAAAATGATTTCAAGAATTGTGAAATGAAATATTTTACTTTTTCTCCTGTAAGTACAAACGGTGACATTTGGTGTCTATGGCAATACATGTATATACATCGCCCCGTCAGTGGAGCTTTATTACTTGATTATACTTGATTGACCTAGCATTGTATTATAAAGGTTATATCACAAAATACATTTGCGACTACCAAACTCGGTATTTTTAAGAGCACAAATCCACCACTGCAAAGACACTACCCCATTTTTATTTATTATTTATGCTAAATATAATTTTTGAGTAGACAATACAGAACAATACTAAATGTGATACAGAAGTGAGAAAGAAATTAGGTGAGATAGTGAATTACTTGTGATGTGAGTAGCTGAAACATTTGATGCTGAAATTATAAGGATTATTAAAAACGAGGATTTGTCTCTCTCTTCAAAATTCAAAATTGCACAAGTTGTATATGTTCATAGAATGATTGGGTGGATCAGAATGAGATTTTCAACGATGCAGTTTCAAATCGAGCCAAACAATACTGTGTCCAATTAACACAGAAAAGTGCTTTACTATTAGGTTGCTAAAAAAGTTGCCGTTGTTGCTTATTGTAAAATGTGTTGTTTAGTAACTTTTTGTTCTATCAGTCTTGTGGCACGCGGCCCAAAGATGCTAAATTGCGTATGGTTTAATCTCGGCGAAGGGCGAATCAAGGCAGTTTATAAAATAAAAGCATACCGAAGGAAAAATTGGAATGCCGTTTTTTGTCATGGAAGTGTTCATCTATGAAGACCGAAGTGGAGCTAAAAAAGATACAAACAAAACAATGATCTCCACAAGCTTGTGGAGAAGATTAGTGGCTTTTTTTTGCTAAAACCATTAGTGCACAAGAAATTTCAAAGTTTCGAAAGACATTTGAGATGTTTCTAAGAACCTAATAGTATATAAAGAAGAGTCCGAATAGTGCAAGTAATGCAACTTATTAAACTGATATGATTTAACTATAGAGGAAATTTAATTTGGAAGTACGATATGTTCCAATAGGTTAAGTTGATCCTAAATCTAGGCCTAAAGTAGGGCCAATCTATATTTTTTTTGTGCAACGAAGTCCCATTTAAGAGCTCGATCTGAGCTGCATATTTCCAAAGTCACCCGTTGACCTTCAGCAACTTTAGCAGAGCCGAGGCACATACCACTCGCCATGTTATAAAGAGGTGCTCCGTACTTTGCAGAATATCTCCAGTCTTGGGAACCGCCCATTTCGTGGCATTTTTTTAATCTTGGTACCCCCTTCCCACCACCATCAAGGCAGAGGATATTTCCCAACCGTAAATCTCGTTTCTCTGTCTCAAACCAAGATTGACGTTTATTTCGAAAGTCGCATTTTTGAAGGAAGAGAAAGCTTCCACGAGTTAAAACGCTGTCTTCTGATTGGACACAAAGTGAGTCAACACGAATCTGGAAACGTCCGGTCATAACTGGTTGTTTTCGTTTATATAATGCAAGATTTCGAAGTCCAGTACGGTTAGTAGGCGGCTGCAGATCCGGATAAACGTTATGGAGGTACCTGGCATAGAAAGAAAAGTGTGTTAATTTTTTTACTAGCTTGCATTGGTTTTTCGATCGAGTTTAGATCACCAGGCTAATATCGAGATTTGTGGTAGGTTGCTCAAATCAAAACAACTAACCTATATAAATTAAGATTAGCATGTGTTAATAGTCCTTTTGTAGCATAAGTTTTAAAAAAAAAAGCGTGAAGCCGTTCAGGCGTATGTTATAGGAAATCTATAGAGAACATAACCGTCAAGAATTCCACTATTTAAGGTAGTTTGTGTGCGTTGCACGTGCAACGAGTAACATGATGCTATGAGTCCACACCAAATACCAAGCAACAAACGTAGTGAACCTTTCTTTCAAGGCACGTATCTTATGGACACATTTACGCACACTTCAAATGAATCTAAGAAAAGGATCGGAAAGTTTGTACATATATAACACACAAATTTTTTAATTTATGTCTCGTTGAATTTTTCCCGGACGCATAACTTACATGTAAATCATGCAATATTCCCCTATCGTCCTCTTTCAGCCATAATTGCCTCAATGAGTTTTTCCAAAAGGCCGAACTTTCCTCAAGGATCTTTCATGATATTGAATTTTGAAGTGAATTATTGCCCGAATGCAATGTAAATCTCTGAAAATCAAGCCTTTACTCTGCTACTGGTAAGATAGCTTTTTGAAAGGCACACGCTCATCATAAAAAATAACAAAGAAGTCGTTCTATTTCAACTTATTGATTTCGATAAGTAGCGTAAAGAGTAAACTTTTCTAATAATGTGATGTTCCGTTCACTGGAATCGGATACGGCACTTTAAAAAACGCTATAACAGTGATGCCAAGTATTCGAGTTTATATTAGATGTAAAATAGATATTTTATAATATTGTTTAAAAATCTAATTTGAAATAAAAGGTCCACTATATAAGCTCACAAGCTAGGTTTACTGATTTGATTTGGCTGTGTTGCCCGGAATGATATCTACAGCAAGAAAATTAGCAGTACTCACAAATATATCTCTTGTCTTGTTCATGGTATCTCTGTGTCTCGCAAATTTAATGATATGCGGGATTTGGTTACCCTCAGAATTTTTTGTTGATCACTTTTCATTATATCACCACTTGAAAGTACATAATTTAATGTCAATGATTTTGTGCTATTCCATAACTTACATATAGAAACTTAAGTATGTCATGTGTATAACATTATTCACTGTATTGGACTTTGAGAGATTGCTACCTTTTTATAAGCCTTTGCAAGTCCATAAAGAAACTATGTTTTCACTATATGTAGCAATTTACATTACTTGTGATGAAATCACAACAGAAGTTCGTGGTAGTTAACACTGGCAATGTTGTAGAAATATACTTTTAGAAAAGTTACATCTCGGTATTATACCTTATAGGTTTAGGTCTAGGCATAGACATTGTTTGCGTTGGAAGCCTATTAAATGTCTAATGGGGATGTCAGACGCAAAAATCGAGACATAGAAAGGTACTATATGAGCATTTCTAAGGATAGTTTGAACTGTTCAAAACAGTTCATTTCCCGGGAATAACTCATTGAAGCTATTCTCGTTGTATGGGTGAGTATAGATGAAAATATCGTCAAACCCTTAAGTGTCTCCAAGTATCCTAAAAATCCTAGTTCAGGTATCTTCAATAAAATTTTAATTACTTACTTTAGGTGGCTAAAAAAAGCGTCGATAAGTGCAGTATAGACTGCCTTTCTCCCTATCCGAAAATAAAATACCCCATTTACGAAAATTTTCATTCTCATTTTTCGTTTTTTTCGACACAGCCCTCCAGCCATAGGATTTGACAAGCTACAAATTTGAACAAGCTAACGAATACCTTTGACTAGTGTTGTATAGAAGTGTAAACGAGCTGTCTGTCCAGCATCGCTTCTTTTTTTTTCTACTCTCAGGCTAGCTATATTAAGGCAAAAAATTGACGTGGACTTATGATAATAGTCAAACAATGTTCGCTATTATTTATTTGTTTTACTATACACTTCCACAACCTTTTTTAGTTATGTTATAATGATTTTTTCAAGAACAAGCACGCGCCTCTTTTTAAATAGTGGTAGTACTAATGGACACAAATATGTTCCAGTTTAATGGTTTCCTTTTGCTGCCAGTAGTGTCAAACTTTCAAAACAAATGCACACTCACCAGTCGAAGGACTTACACCGAAGTTTCTTCCGCAGTTCGATTCTTGCCGATATGTCCCCATAGTCCTTATCCTTAAGGTCTGGTCTTACTTGGTAATAATACTTCTTGTACTCATCCATCCATACGTTGGCCACCCGAAGAGAGTTCTTTGCTAGAGTATCCTCTCCGTTAGGAGCGTTATACGGCCGCCTTTTTCGAAATACATGCCCCACTCTTGAACAGGGTATTATCTTCAAGTTACCTCCGCACATCCAGATTCTAAACGAAAGCTCGAGATTTTCGCCGCCCCAAATGTCCATACCCCAGTCATATTCGCCCAATCGACGAAACTCGTTTCGATGAATAGCAAATAAACCGCCCGCCATCGTTGGTGAAGGTAACGGCGCGATCCGGTCGCGATCGGTTTTAAAGTAGCCTTTTGGTAAATTATCCCATCTAAAGTGCATACCCCAATTAAAACCTCCCTTAACGAGTGGCGAGGGAGTGTACTCGAATGTATCGGCATTGATGATATCAATTACCGGACAGGTAACTGTTAATGGATTGGACTGAATGGGAGCTAAAAGGGGCTGCAGCCAGCGCTCGTTCACTTCAACGTGACTATCAAGAAAAACGAGTACTTCTCCTGTAGAATTATGAGCACCTACCATACGGGCTCGTATCAGACCTTCACGCTCTCGAGTGCGAATCAGTCGAACCTGCAAGACAAAAAGGTAGGCGAGGCATCAACTTATTGCGTGAGCCACATTATGAAATATAAAACTAATCTTGGTCATGACATCATGTAGTTTTCGAAAATCTTTTCACCCCCGTTGGAGTTTAAAATAAATTATTGTAGTCAAATATATATATATATATATATATATATATATATATATATATATATAACAAAAAAATATGCAACACATTTATGACAGGGTCACTTTAATACTACTTCCACAGTATATGTTTATAATACCCTTTTATAATGGCATAGTGTTAGTTTGAAATGCAGTAGCTACAACGGTGGTCACACCTGTGGGTATCCAAATAGATTAGAAGAGACAGCCTTGACGAAGGAATAACTGGCGTGTTGCCACCTGGTGCCAGCGTTTTGAAATGGACAAGGTCTAACCTGGATGCCAACCAACGCGGGACGAACGAAGCACAAATTCTCCTACAGCCGTAAGGTGGCGAGTATCGATATGTGGTAGGGATTCAATGAGAGGCTTGCGGACTGCTTGTCGGAGTTCAAGCATGCTAGTACCAGGAAAGAAACATCTTCGCTAACTTTGTAGAGGCAAAGCGAGCGTTGCTTGATGAAGTGGCGATAAAGCTCTATCTTAAAGTGCTTTTAGCAAAAAAATGCTGGATTATGAAATCTATCCCTTTCTGTAATTTTGTCACAACTGCTCAAATCAGCTCGTATGCATGTTGATATGTGTAGTCCGGGATTACTTGCCAAGACCTTACAAGTTGGATTGCATTCGAACTAGCAGCTGCTTTCGAACATTATTTTGTTAAGAGCAAATGTTGTTATGGCCAGAACACGGTAACGGAGCATTCAAATGGGGGTAATGTAGCACTGAAATCGGAGCAATTGACGGAATATTGACTAAACATTGCAATCGTGTAGCTGAATAACTAGAACGAGCTAATAGAATAATTAAAGCGATGCAGTGGGCTAGTTGCAACAGAGGGAAGAAATTACTGAGACGAGAATGACGATAGGGCAATAGAAGTTGAGGTGCATTATCTTTAAACTCGGGTTCAAGCCCACCATTCTCAAGTCTGCTATAAGTTGCTAAGAAAATGTGGGAAGTGAATGTTAGGTACAATACATTGCGACTTTGTTATGAGAAACATTTGTGAAGAAAAAGATCCAAACTTGTGTATTCATAACCGCTAACCGTGGCCGTAGGTGGGGTTTTTCATAAAATAGATGATTTTCCATTTCTACGTTTCGATTAAAATGTGGAAGTGAGAAATCTAAAGTTGTGATTTTCGGCAAGGACTCTTTCTGCGGCTACATGTGTTCTCGTTTTTCATTATACCTTTTCATATGTTTAATTTAATTAAAATCAATATACATTGAAAACTATACACAAAATCGGGACATGATCGTACGACATTGTTCCTCTTCATCTAGTTCTTAGCTGGTTTTTGTTCACACTCCGATATATACCTTTTCATGCCTTTGGATGAATCTAGCAAGAGGCTCTAGTTCATCGATGTCCGAAAGATCGTCAACAAGTATCACTTCATGAAGGAGAGATGGCGGAGACCGATCCAAAACCGAATTCACTGTTCGTATAAGAGTGGACCATGCTTCATTGAAGAAACAGATAATCACTGTTGCTCGAGGAAGATTACGAGGATACCTGAAAGTTGTACCGTACTTTAACTAAAGGACAAGCAACATTCATTCATAAAAATAAAAAACAATAGCAATTTTCGGAAAATAAAAAAATAAATTACTTTAGTAATCAATGTAGATCTAGGTTCTGTTATATAATTAAACGTAAATATCCGTCTCTACATTTCTGTTTATGATACTTCTATCATCTACACCAGTACGAAGCAAGATAAGGCTAGGAAGCAATTCCATAGACATCACTGGCTCCCACGTCTAAAACCACATACATACAGTGAATGCAGCGTAAAGTTTACAAGTAAATCTGTTATAGTATACTGTATATCTACTTTGTTGAACTCTGTAATTACTAATTACCATATATCTGTAGCGCGCCAAGTGTGCGAAAACGAACCAATTATTATTTTCTATAATGACCTTGATGATTCTTAAACGATAATGCACGAGTAATATTGAAAACGCTCAGATTGTCTTATTCCCTAATCTTTTGCCTCTTCGATTTTTTTTTTGCTCCGTTGCTCCCCTATAGATATTTTGACATTCAAGGCGAGCATTGAACCTTAGACCCAAACATTTTCTGAACAGGATTAGCCCTGAACAGTCAACCGGGCAGTGGCTGATACTAGTTATAGTTGGAAAACTATATTGTCGGGCCTAGTAACTTTTATTTTTTCCAGATTCAGCACTGGTAGCAAAAATTTCGCAGTAAGGCTATTAAAGTTTTCAAGCAATTTTTTTACGTTTGAAAAACAATTGGCAGAAATGTTAAGCTGAAGTTAACGCATTGTGCTACTTTAAGTTTCCTGAGTACACATTTTATATAAATTGATTAATAATATATATTGTGAGAGCCTTTGAGACAAAGTGGAGTGCAACAAATATGATGCGTTAGCCCAAAACAAAATTTGTCGACCTTTTGATTCTTCCGTTTTTCTTGAAGAAAACTGCAAGTAATCCACTCATCGATTAGGATTGACCAACTGGATTACTATTTTTATATACAAAATAGATATACAAAGTAATAGCGATCTTACACAGTGATTATGCAGAACATCTAAAGACGATTCCCTTATATGCTGACACTATATATGACCCGCAAAGAACACTCTCGTGTATAATTTTCTACTAACCCAACGGCTCGTAATTTTAATTATAAAATTTAATTTAAGTCATATAAAAGTTTTTTTCTGACTTATACTGTTAGAATCTTCGAAAAGTCGAAATAAATTTAGTAGCCAGTAATCAAGTAAGTTTTCAAAGTAATGCATGCCAAATTGAGCCTTTGAATTGCAGTTATCTAATTTCGACCCCATATTTTTATATATGTTTGAAAATATTTTTAAATCATACTACGTTCGTAAGATCTATTATAAGTCAAGCTGATTCAGGTGCTGCTTTGCGGCGTACTGGCTACTATGACTGATGAAATCCCAAAGTGGAAATAGCATTAGTAATAAGTAGTAAAAATAATAATGTAAGTAGTAACCACTCGGTCCCAAGTCCTAATTTTGGCAGGCGCAGGTCTCGCCAGCAAGGAAATCAAACATTTTGTTGGCCACAGAAAAAACGGTCGTGATCAGAATTAGCCGGGTTTATAACAACAGATGGTCTTTACAGAGTCAGTCTTAGTTCTAGTAAAGGCGCTCTCGTAACACTTCTGTCTGAGCAAAGAGCGGAACTATACTGTGACGACAATTTGGATATTACAACGGCGCGGACAGCTATCTTTAAAAAGTGGCAAACGCAATGGTGGCAAGAGAAACACGCAGGAATGCGGTAGGCATATGAACTAAATCTCTCATTTCAGATCTCGAGCCGTGGTATGACAAATCAGGCGGGAGGCAGATGTATCATGTCACGCAGGCATTGACGAGACATGGCCAGTTTCAGACCTACGTAATTAGAATTAGTATGTCGCAAATAGGCATATGTGTCGTATGTAACTCGGGTAAATCCGATAATGTCGAGTACAGAATCTCCACGTGTTTCTGCTTTTTTTGATTAAACTTTACATGAAATAGTCTTCGTGGACGAAGGGCCAGGCGGTTAAATATATTATAAGCTATACTCTAGCATATCAGAGGGAGTGGAGAGACGCGTCGGGGAACTCTCAATATGATGAAAAATGTCCTTAGGAGACCTTCAGTATAGCGAACGAAGGGAGGAGTTGGGACAAAAAGAATGTCCAGACTGGCCTGAAGGTGGTAGATTTAGAGACAATAGGAGAATAGAAAAGGTTAGCCTTCCTTCCAGATCTATCAACGTTTCTAATACAAAGAGCAGCGGTTAATTTTACAAGTAACTGAACGGATAATAATGGTTTAGTGCATATTCTCCTCGAAAATTTTCTTCTTCCCGCTTATAGAAAATTCTTTTCTTCTCCCAGTGGATTCCCTCCTTTTCCACTTACGAATTTCCTCCGTCAGATCAACAGCGAGGAATGAGTTTCACACATAGGCCTTTATTATTTAGACCGTATACGGAAACGGCTTCAGGAATCCCAGATAGAATATAAACGCGTTCGTTTATACTTTCTTAAACTGCAACTTTTCCTATAGAATGGCAACGGAATATCATCTGAAGTAAAACTACGCATTCTTAAAGAGGGTTTTTTAATGGAAAAGATATCTGTTTTTGGTATTGCCAGTGGAGGGCGAACATGTTTCTGTGGTGGATTGTTTTGCTGCCAAACAGAACGTCCCAATTTTTTTCTTAAAAAAGTATCGACGTTTTATAACAATTAATACTGTGGATGTGTGGGGTTCCGATGGACTCCGATACGGAATATTAGGTGCTCGTTTGTATGCTAAATAACAGACTTCAAATCTTTAATTGAAAGCTTCGATTTCTCAGCACTCGTAGTTCAATAGTCGTTCTTCGAAATTTTAATTTGTCATGAGTTTTTCGTTTTGACTTATTTTCCATTATCCTCTTTAAGTTCTTCATGTCCAATTCCATTTTACTTCGTTCTTTTTATATTTAGTGCTACACTTGGAGGGAATTTCTTTATTCAGTGAATTTAAATATATATATATATATATATATATATATATATATATACTTGAGCATGTAGGAGAAACTTGACTGCTGCGCTTCGGCCTTTTCCGTTATCACTGGTAGTGCTTATGCTCTTGTGCCAAATATATGTGGGGACAGAAAGCCCAATGCACCGTTGGCCAGGTAAGACAGGAAATGGGATTAACGATAGGTTATTCATTTTATAGTGGAGCAACTAAACCCAGGAACAGTTCAACGGTAAAACCCTGGTTTGCATCCGTAATATTATATAAAGGTATATATGACGTATTTAAAGCTACATTGGTAGGATTGTTTTTATGTGTAGATGGACCAGTTATTGTTTCCACAAATTTGGACAGATGATTCCCGGCACACCAACTCTTTAAAAGCGTTCTCAAATGATTCGGCAGTACCGAATCCGATCAGTCCATACCTGATATATTAAAATTATCTAAAAAGTATAGCAGACTTCGTTACCTGACCGAAACACTCCATAACAACGCATCGTGAGCTGCATTACTAGGACAGTTGCATTCAAGTCTAACTAATTCCCCCTTGTATTATACATCGGGTGACAAAGCTTGCATTTTATGAGGAATTTCAAGTTCACAACGTCTCAAATTATAATTAATAAGGGTGAAATATAGAATGGAAAAAAGTAGAGGGAAAGAGTGTGAAAACAAAAGGGGGAACTGGAGAAAACCCATTTGTTGTACAAAAGTGGAGGTCTATATAGGTGCGTTTATGTGGAACTAAATGGAGCCCCATCTCCTTGTCGTTGTGTCTTGCAAAAACCTGTATAAACTTGTTGTTCTACTATTTGATGGAGCTCACACCTTCTGAATATTCCTATCAATGTCGTGAAGGCCTTTACATTCAATGGAATGGGTTATGAGCCGTGAACCATACATCGAACTTAACTTTAAATTTTTCACCAGAGAGTATATATTATCTTCTGAATTCGGAACAGGGATGGAATACGTTGACAGGTAAAGATTGTTTTGACGGATGAAGCTAGCGAAGTCGCTAAGTATATTTTCTATGACGTTTTACAATTTATCAGTAATGCCATTTCTCTGCATGCTACATTTTGCGTCGTCATTTAGCCTGGCTTCGATAAGAAGTAGTTTATACAGTTCGGTTGGTTGATAGAACTGCTACCAGGTGTATGGTACCTCCCTCCCTCAAGCCTGTTTCATTCGAGCCAACATCGTTGTCCACTATATTTGATACGTACTAGGGAAAACGGTCTATAGTATTGCACAATACCGAATTCATCAACTCTTTAGCCACAGTATCCGTTGTCAGAAATACCACTCCTGCTTTGGCGACACCTCAACTCTGCTTTCTAAAAGAGATTCCAACGTAGGAGTGACTAACCCCGTTGGCGAATAGGTGCACCTACGGATCTAAACGAACACAACAGATAAAAAGAAGTTTGTCTACTAACGGAAGAATCTACTAAACAAGTTGATAACTTCTATATCTACGTTTATAGCTTTCCATTTTTTAATATTTTTAGGTTATGTTTCCTTAGTATCGATTGTGGTCAATAGACCCTAAGGTAGTTTTCGATAATATAAGGTGTCTGACCTAGTTGAGTGAGTTAAATGACAGACTACATTCTGACGTTTTAAAGAATGCTGGTTGTAAATCGAAAAAGCTGTTTTAAAGAGTCGAGTGATTTATAACAATTTTCTAACGTATTGAAAGATTAGTCTTCGTGTGTTTTACGTTTTAGTAGTTTTCAAGAAGATTAAAGATACTACTTATTTCACTATTTAAATTCACTGTCTATGTTTAAATTCTTTGAACGAGCACACATGTAAGTGACATATTAATTATCTCGTCAGGAGACAGTGTGGCCACTTATTGATAATGCAGAAGATCACCGAAGTGTTTAAACTTGGATAAAAAGTTGTCGTGTCGATCTTACTATCCGCCTCCTACCCATGTATTCTCTCAACATTGGATAATGTGTTGGCAAACCTCGTTCACATTTTAGTCGTAACTGGGAGACTTCTTTGCACAGATTTGAATCGCATCCATGCATATAAGCATAAACAGTCCATCTTCAAGCATTTTTCGTTGTAAGCAATTTTTCGTATATCGATTTAGTTAAAATTTCAATCTATTTTAACTCAGACAAGTAGGTAAAAGTACAGCGAAATCGTGAAAATGGATAAGCTTTCATGGATAAACAAATGAACGAACTAAAGTAGCATGTGATGCCCTGGTAGTCCCTAAAAGCCAAGTCCCGTCTTAGGTAACGATCCAAAATGATTACTCCATAACAGTATTACGATATCGATCATCAATATCGAAGTAATGACGAGTTGGTGTTTGTTCTTAACGACGACATATCGTCATTACCCGAATAATCACTTTCTGACGTTGTTTCCCACTAACAGTAATCAGGCTCCAGAATTTTTTTTCACATGATGACCAACATTGTATGATGAGTATGCATTCGTTAATTCTTGGCCTTACCTTTCCAATTTACAGAGTGAATGTCTCGTATCAGGTAGCCTTCGCCTCACACCAATGCGTTCGGAGACTAAGGTGTTAAACGCGTGTCTTTGATAACCTTGTTGTTTGGCACGTTGTTCTCGAGAGTTACGAATAAGGCCAAGTTTCAAAATCTCGCCTGTCTTCTCCGCAAATTCACTCTGAAACAAATGTGAGTTCACTTGAGTAATCTTGCTGCTATACAGACATTCATCACAGTCAGAAGACGTCAAGATATAATAGGTAATTCGTCATAAAATATTCGGTTCAGAGATTTCAATAAAAAATTGTTTTGAAGTATTTATTTGGATTGCTTCTGCGGTAAGCCGATCAATTGTGAGGTAAATACCTAGAACAATTCATATCAACAAGGGTCATATTTAAATTGTCTATGATAAACTGCTAACTTCAGTATGAAGAATTCGGAAGAAAACTGTAGCTCTACTTCTTGAATCGTTTGGAGTCAAGTTTGCATGTTTAAATCGCAAGGTATTCTAGACTAACGAAATTAAAAGTTAAATTGATATAAAACTATCAACGGACGGAATCTTAGTTGAGCAGATTTTTGTGTATATACAATAGGATCATGAATTTCAATATGTTACGCTTTATGTTCAGATTAAATTATTAGCTAAATAGAACTTTAAAAAGGAATATATGTTAAGCAATTAAGCGATAAGCATAATAAAGGGATCCGGACTAAAGTACCTTATTTCTGCGTCTTGCACTAGACTTATTGCATCAACTTCAGGCATTGGTTTGGCGGGTATGCCTTAAACGCCTTTAAGGAAAATATAGTTATTTATTTATTAGTATTTGAAGTATAATAAACTAATTGGAACAAATTAAATATTTTGCAGAGACAGATCACAGATGAGTGAAATACTTAATGGTTCGTAATTGTATGTCAACCAGCTATTTGTCTTCCTTTCCCTCTCCTCTTTTAAAAGTCACAATACAAACAATTGTTCTAATCTTAGATTTTGTCATGTATTGTTACATAGATCACATATGTAAACCAAATGACTGTAAAACTACCAGCTTGCATGAACAAATAATTGATTCAATTGACGCTTAGTTTAATATTTTTTAATAAGTTAGCCAAAGCTGAAATATATCGTAGTTTAAATGTATGTAGGACATATATTAAACAGAAAAAATAAAAAAAGGTTAATGGTTAATATATATATGTATTCGATTATTTATCCTTTGCACAACAAGAAGTTTTAACATCAGTAGTTATTGATATCATATTGAGTTAAAGAGTGTTCAAATAAACTGCAAAAATAAATCGACTGTTTTTAAGCGAATATAAAATGTAAGGTTCAGTAACTTCTCCATAAATAGTGATAATTCTATAATCAATATGATTGTTGCGGTTATACTATTTTCTTTCTGTTCAAAAGAAGTTTGCTTAGCGACTTTCCGATAACACAAATTAATAGAAACGATTATTGTACCTTGTCTTCGTGCGTGTATGCTTTCACCGATGTATAACGCATCTTTAGATGTGTCTTCTGTCCACCAAAGTAACTGAGGTAGTAGAAAATGAATAAAAGACTCCATAACACTAGACCTAAAACCCCGCATAACACCTTCGACCGCATGACGGCACCTTCTAACGGAGGTGCGGTGATTGTCATTGCTTTTAACGCAGTCAACACATTGAGGGGCGTACCAGCAGTCATCCAGCACACAAATCGCACAGCGTCCGTAGATTATTCAACACAAGGTTCTTAGTTCCTTTGTAAAATATGGTGATGGATGAATGATGAAGGAATTCCATGCCTGGTACCGCATTTTTATTCAACAAAAACAAAGTAATACTACTTAAGAGGGACGGGGGGGTATACAAAATGGTTTCCCAGAATTTTAATGATGGATTAATACAACATTTCGGCATTTTGTCTTGAAGTATAAGTGCGCATTCATTTATCGCGTATTTTGCGATTACTCTCTGCCATTTCGATTTTTCTGCATTTTTATTCCATTACAGTGCGCTACAGAGAGTCCTGTGTAACTTCATATCTATTCAATTCGCTAACGTGATGCGGTAAACAATTCCATCTCGGAGAACACAAGAGCGACACAGAAGAATGTACACATTTGCTTGGTCAAATATAATTGATTCATTAATCCTGTCGTCACAACTAGGACATAGTGTGATGTACAATAGCTCAGAATTACGTACAGACTGCACCTGCATAAAAAGGGGTAACCGACAGATCAGCTATGCACACTCCTCCTTTTCAGTGGGCACCTCGTGTTGGCGCCATCTTGGATCAAAAGTCGGGAAGAGTGTGTGCAAGTAGGCGGTCAATAAACTGACTTTTGATTAACTGTATTTGTACTTGATTTGATTTTATCATAACATCACGGAGGGGAACGCGGTAGAATGACGTGCCTGATGTCTAAGAAATATACGGTGTCTAAGTAATGCTGACAGGCTCAGGTATGTTAGCATACCAGGAACAACTATTAAAAATGAAGTTTGTTTCTGAAGACAAGATTTATCTTATGAGCATGCATATAGTAAAGGTACTTTATAATATTACAGTGTAACTACTGATAAATTGGCGATATAAACTGCGATAACGCTAGCCTAACCAGTGCGTTCAATTGGAAAATCCTTCAATTAGGAAATAATATGTGTTTTCATTGAAATGTCGTCTACCTGATAGTCTAGCGACAATTTTTTAACTCAGACGGCGTGCAAAATCGGTATAAAAATATTTTTCCGATTTTTTTGGCATACTCTGGGCACCAATATGCAAACTAATAGTATATAGCCATTTGTTTTAAATTTAGGTTCGAAATTTTACGCCCATGATGCACAAATTACTTAGATATTAGCAGAAGTCTGTGTGTTCTACTATATGCGCGCGTATATCGATTTTCATTATTAGCCTGCGTAGCAAAAATGTCTACCTTTCCTTTCAGTAAACCTTTTTTTTTATTTACTTGTTAATAAATTTACAACATACGTTATAACCTTTGTAACTGCTAATTGATCCTCCACAAAAAATTAGCACAGACAAACTAGAAACTTGATAAATAATAAATACGTAGTGAATAGGAGTAATCATATATCCTATAGGAGCATAAAAAGTGTTGCGTGTAAAATCATGGTTTCAAATGAAATATGCGGCTGTTAGCCTCTATGCTGTAAGCTTTTGATTTCGATTTTGGAGAATAAAATACAAACTAAATTTACTCCGGTCGAGAAATGGGTAAATTTTTGACCAGAGAAATCAATAAGAAAAGGTGATATGTTTCATCGAGTATACAAGCCCATTAACTCGTTTTAGAGAGCAAATGTTTGGGCTCATACTGATTAGCTAGTCGATGGATAATAAAATGAAGCGCTTCGCTGTAATAGAGTATAGGGAAAGATTTTGGCGATTTCGGTGCTTCTATCGACGTCCTTAAGCTTAAGGATTAAAAAAAAATCAAAATAAGAAAGAAAGCTAATTGAAAATCTCAATAAACAAAATTTGAGATTTGGAGAAGACATCCCACGTATGCTCTAATGAAACAGGCATTTTACAGTTCGACGCCAAAAATGTTGTTATTTAAAATTGTTACTAAATCGAAATACCTGGGAAGAGTCGCGTTAATTTAACGTTACCCTAAGTTTCCTCAAATAAAAATTAGAAATTAGTTTTTTATCTTCACCCGTATGTAAGATCTTTATGAATAATAAAGAAAAGCATAAAATAATGCGCTAACATCAATTGGGCATTGAAAAATATAAATATTACGCGTTTGGACCCAAATTTCACAAGAGATATTACAAAATTATTCGAATGCAACATGGCTTGTTCGGCAATCTCGTGCAACTTAAAAACCGCCACAAGCAACTTGTGTATACAAGGCAAAACGAAATATCCTAAACAGTTTGAAAAAATCATTTGACTGTTGAAAGCCTATAATTTATCTTTGTAAGCCACAGGGTAAGGCAAACGTATCTTAACACTTTGAAAAAAGGTCCTTTGACTACTTGCAGACCTTTTGGCAGTGTTTATTTTGTATTTACTAAAGTAGAAGGATATACGCAAGTTATTGCACTGAAGAGCGGATTTAACTGTGTAACCTAATTGTAACAGAAGCACCCTAACACCATCCGTATGATTTCTATGGTATTATATCTAAAATACTGTGGTCGTTCAACCGGTTTTATTAATTAATATCAGGATAGCACAGTTTAAGTTCTGTGTTGTAAATGTTTCAATTTATAATGAATACTGAGCTATGGAATTTTTTAAAATATGATTATAGCATTCATACCGACGATTTCAATGTAAAAAAGTCTTCGGTATTATGGTTTTATGCGTCTAGCACTAAGGATTTGCCTCCGTTAGAAAGTATATTGGTAGATATTGCTTAACTTTACAGATTTACGGAACGGCATGGTAAATATACTAGCACCTACTACCCTTTATATAAATTCCCTATATTTCCTTGATTACCCGGTTATTAATCCTTTTTGCCAATGCGGAAATTTCAATCGGCATTGCTCCATATTTGTTAATTGAATGGCAATGCACTCAGAAGATTAGTATTAACGATTCACAGCACTCTTCCATTTTATCACAAATATGCCTAAAGAGCAATGTGACTTCGAGACAAGATCGTCGTTCAGCTAAATGATAATAAAATGGTAAATTGCGCTTTTAGCATACACCACTATAGTACTTTCTAAAATGCTCAGAACATAGTGTTATATTACTGAGTATTATATTATACGAACTGGTATTAAGGTGTCCCTGCGTCGAACGAAAATTATAATTTGTGTTTCTTCCACAACATTGAGAGAGTAAATTGAGGATTTTTTAAGACTTTTAAATTGTGAAAAGATTCTTGCCCCTTTTCTGTATATCTAAACGATGCTACAATGAGTCTTTAGAGAACTTACGATAACGATAGAATAACGGTATTTTATTCTAATCAATCACAAGTGTGAGGTGTGAACGTGTGTAATGTCACTCATTCCTCATGGACATTGTGGCTATGGCGGCCGCGTTGCCAAATTTTATATCTCTCCATCGATAGCCCTTGTAATTTGCAAAACTCAACCTTTCAATTCGCAGCGACTTTTCAAGTGAATCGGAAACTCCTAATGGAAGATTTGGACATCTAAGTTCTGCCCTTCTTAAAGTCTCAATTGGCAATGGATGCGAGTTGTTACTGTAAAGGCGAGTATGTCTGCAGCTGGCTTTTTTCTGCTAGCGTGCTGACAAAACTTGATAGTGCTATACCGCGACTGACGTGCTAGAGAAAGAACTAAACTACGGTCTTGAGAACATATGTGCCTTACTTCTATGATAAAGCATGATAGTGGAACCGCTTTTAAGCAAATTTAATGTGTTCTCTCTAAGTGGATATTAGGGTTATGACGAAAATGCTGTTTGTCTAAACTTTCTCGGACCCCCTTTCTTAAACCTTGACAAAGGACAGCCAACAGAAGCAATTAAACGATTGTCAGGACGAAGATTGTCATAAGTACCCTTACCGTATTACTCTACTGAAGGAGACGGAAACTCGTGAAAACAGGCTCCGGCCCCAGAGAGTCATATAGCTAATACCGGCGTTTCATACGATCTTCAGTGTTATCCGCGATGTCTCGTAGTTCGGTGTACCTATTCTAGATAATATGATTTATAATAATAAGATTTACAATAGATTTAGGTGACGTTTTGCTGTAAGACCTCTGTCTCTCCCGCAAGATTTCCTTCAACAGTCAACGACGTGGCTTTGGACTAGCAGAAGAACGAGTTTAAGCTTCATTGAAAAGCCTTCCCATTTGGCTGGAGTTAAATTGCAGTGAATGCGCAAGACCTGACTATGCGGAAATTCGGAGAAGGACTAAGGTCTGCCAAGGTTTCCATTATAAAAGTACAAAATTTCTCGATCTAAAAAAATGCTGGATATTCGTAACTGACATCATGGTTCGTTCAAGATGTATAAACATTGGGGCATAATAATGATCCTTTTTACATATGGGATCACATCTTAGCAAAAGTTCATCCATTATTCATTGTAAATACCCCAAATAAGACTTTGGTTTCGATGGTGGTGACGTAATTATTAAAGATCATTTAACCATCGATTGTTCGGCGGACAACCTGAATTTTCACTCTTCGTAAACTTGAGTTCGAATTCTGTCTGGATTGTTGAGGTTGTCAGGAGGACTCTCGTAAGATCAAGTGTCTTAACTATGGAGGTGAATGGATATGCTTCTTCCTCGTAATGTTTGCAACGTCGAACAACTCCTGATATTTTTTACCTGAAATTTTTGAGACTGACTGTCGGCAGAGCTGACGAGATTGCGCCTGACCCATTCGACGGTTGTAAGTGACAAGACTTAGTTTCACACGCTTTTGCGAGGAAACATTGACGTAGTGACTGGCGACGATAGGGATGTTGTAGACACTGCTGCCTATTAGTTGGTCTACTTTACGCGTGAAAAACAGCTGATGAGGTGTACTGCGACTCCCTTGGCAAAGGTCACCAGTGCTGTTGTGTCGGTTCAGTAAGTGATTCTGTTACATTTCCGCTTTCTTCTTGGTTTTTTTGATATCTAGCCATAAAATAGAATGCCCGTTAAAAAAATTCAAAGCTATTACACGTACGTAGCACACGAAGACATAAGCACTAAACAACTTGTTATAGCTAGACAGATTTATAGGCTGAAATTTTGTTAGTTATTCAAAGATCGAGAAAAAACGATTGTTACAAATTTAGCCAACTCACAGAAGAGGACTTATCCCGGCCCATAATTTATCCTTCAATAAATGGGGTACTTCCAAGGATACAATACTGTCGTGTTTAAAAGTTTTCAAAGGAGGGAAAGAGCATAAGCTTTTCCACATCCTATCATAACAGAAACACTAACCAAGGCTGGGCGTTACTATAACGACGCCAAGCAGCTCGTGTAGCGTCCAACTAAAGGATGGATTCTTCCTGGCGAGCGATTCCTCTTCCAAAGATTCCTTCAAAGGCGATAGGACTAGTTGGGATAAAAGTCAGGCATATAAGAACGACGGAGAACCTGCCGAAGCAGCGGTACCAGATGCTGTTCTGCCGATAAGCGCGATGATAAACCTAAAGAGAGAAGAGCAAACAAATGGTAAAGACGTACAGATCGTAAACGAAGGTATATATAAATAAGCTCAAAACAAAAGCGGGAACCAAAGAACCTGCAACAACGACTTCGAAAACGACAACCACTGTTTTTAGGATATCCCCATCCGATCTGTTATTCTTGGAACGTGAAACCAAAAGTAAAGCGAACGAGGAACAAGGAAATAATACGGATAAGTTAGAAATGACCCCTCAGTGGGTTATAAAGACTGCTTCGAGAACTTCACCGCGTCAGTTCAATCAGTAAAAGCAAAAAAAAAAGTGAACAAAACAGCAATATGCGGAGTTCGATCGGCTTATAAGTCATATATCCACGGTGGCATTAGAACATCCAGAACTCTGAAATTGCCGATGTACATTTTTGATGCCGTTTCTGTGTCAAATGCGCTGTCCCTTTTCCCCAGATAAAAGTCCGTGTGATTTCAATTGCGATAGTTTCAATCTCTATGCAATGAAAGAGAGTACATCAAATATATACCAAAACATTATGTTTGTATTTTATATGGTTTAATTGTGTGACTTGCTGAACACCTCCAGACAGCCCAATAGTTCGACTCCGGTTTAGATTATTATTATCACTGTCACTAATCTATCACCATACCTTACCTTCTCACAGATTTTATTTCCTATCAGGTGCAGGAGTGCACCAATAAATCAATTATTTTTGTTGTTTTTGAACTACAATATATAGTGATAACATAGGTTTTTTTTAAAGTTCTTCGACCTTGTCTTTACATTATACAATTGTCTGTCGTTTTTGGCTTTTAGAAAAATGTAAATAAACAAATAGACGAAAATAGAAGTGATTCAGGATTCTCTTTTTTACCGCACTGAGACTAAACAAATTTTCCAAAATACGAGTACATCCGCAGTAGGTGAAGTAAACATCGAGTCTTGCAACGTTTGGCTACTTGAGGCAAATCGATTTCATTGAAGTTTTGTAGTTTTTTGCTGAAAACTTATTGTAGGGTGATATGTGAAAGCAAGTACTAATATAAATGAAGACGGAAGGTCTTAGTCATTCAATAAGGCAAGGTTTCTGCAGCAATCAGAGTTAGAGCTTCCAGTGGAAAGTTTGAGCAGTAAAACGAAATTAAAAGCACCAGCTTTTTCGACTTGTAGTTAATGTTATGTAAGCGGATTTGGCTCTATCTCTGTACTCAGGAGTGGCAATAAACTCCAGTTAAAGATGCTGTGTAACTAGTGGGTAATCAAAGAGCGAAGTTACCAAATTTAGCGGACCGCAGAAGTTCAATGAGTGCATTTAATTAATGATTATAATAATTTTAACCAGCGACATCTTATCAACAGTCCAATTTTCAGCTATCCTAACTGTGAAAGTATCTATCGAATACAAAGTTGCAATGTGAACATATACAAATGCAGCTTGATATAGAGAAGTGGAAGTAGATGATAAGAGAAAATATACGTAAGTACACGTCTACATGCACGCTTCCGGATGATTATTGACCGTTCTATTCAGATTTCGCTGTCTTCGTAGACCAGGCTTATTGCATGTGCTAGAGATTAATTAAATTGAACCTATAAGTGAGGTAAATGTTATGTTACAAGAAGCCATATTAACTACAATGATCAATATAAATTGAACCTCAACTGCCGTCTAGAATAGGAAAGTAAAAATTGTATATACATGAATTTTGCTGCGTGTGCAGGCTTAGTTCACTACAGCAGGATACAGGATCTTCCCGGCTAATAGCAATACATACAAGGCAGTATTTTCACTAAGATAAACCTTTTTATAACGAAACGTAGCCTTATTCAGAATCGACATTCAAGTTATGTATTATTTTATTTATTTAGCTGGTTTAAATTTTAGTGGAACCTCTATGTTTAATATTTCAAGATCATGTGAGGCTAGGGATGAGCTTGTGTGTTTCAGGCAATTTGTAGCAACACCTATTTATAACAAGAATTAAGGTAAAATAGGAATGACTATAGACTGAACGCACAAGCGTCAGTGACCTGCAGTCTATTCGATAAGTTTCTGTCGATCATATAAATTTTGGCCGGTACGGACACAAATAGCCCCAGCAGCAAGACTTCTCTAAGGAGAAATCAGCATCTACTCAACTCCTTCAAACGGTTTACGTTGGTCGTTACTTGTAAAAAGAACTTTTTTTAATCGCACAGGGTGTACCAGCGGAATATATTTTCTTATTCTGACTTCAACAAAAGTTATAATGCATTTTTTTTATTAAAGATCGTTAATCTAGATTAGTTCTTCAATTAATCATTTTGTAGGGTTGCTAGTTTTCTTTATTTATAGAACTTCGGAATTTTCTCATAATTTTTTTTTGTTGATATCAGTGGGTTTGATTGGGTTAAAGCAGGTAAAAGCGGAGCCCATGATGTATGCGGCTCTAATGTGCGCACTGCCGTATACAGAATAGGGCATTCAAATAAGCACAAATTTTGTTGGAAAGCTTCTAATAGTGGGCACCCGTTCATTTGCTATTTTTGGCACCGAGGAAAACCAATTTTTTTCTAGAACAAAACGACAAACTCATTACAACAAATGTAATATAGTGTCTTGCCGTTTAATAACGTATAATAGACAACAAAGTTATAGTACTGTTATAGCCGAGTAGAGAATATCACGTTCTGAGCAGGGCCAGAAAATAGGGGGGAAATAGAAATATCTCTGCGTCGGAAGCATTGTGACAAGATAATGAATTTCCTTGGATCCCCAAAGGAGAAGACGTAGGCCCCCTATTTCGGCAACCTATTTTGAGAAATTCGAGGAGGATTTGCACGCAACAAGCGAAAAATAGTAAAATGGTTCATATTTTTCATCGTAAAAACATTAAGTACAATAATAGGTGGTAAAACTCAAGGTTTATTATCTCCTGACTTTTTAAAGATGAAACGTCAAGAAATTGGCTCAACTAGTAAACTAGTTTTGTATACTTTATAAATGAAAGACTAAGACCAGTGCATAGTTCTTAGATCTTCTGTCTCCTTGTTAAAAAATAAAGCGGTGCAATTAACAGCTTGTAGACAGACGCAGACGAACTTCGTACGAAAAGCAAAATTTTACTGCAGTGTATTGGAACACCACATACCCTTTTTAGAAAATGTCGATTTTAAACTATGTAATGTATGTTGTATTACAAATTATCCCATTTTCTTCTGTAATATATCCTGTGCTTTCATTATAATCAAACCATCACTTTGGTACCGTTAACCCGTTATATCTTATGAGTATTCTAGTTATTGGGTTATTCGAGATGAAACTAACGTTAGAGTTTTCATGTAAATAGTGCGCCACTTAGGACACTACGAAAGTATTTTGTAAATTCGATGTTTTTTTAAAATCATATCTTGCGCCATTGTCTAAATCTCGAACCATTAAGCAACTTTTCTATTTAGATAATTCGTAAATCATCAACGATTTTTGAAATGACTGCCCAAAAAATAGTTTTCCCACCAGTTTTCATTGAAGTCTAGACTTTAAATGATTTTTTGCGAAAAGAAAATATACTCTGTTATTTTATGCATTATATTTTTTCATGGAAGTATACTTATATGCAAAAAATCAGAAAGATCATTTTTGGCACATATTAAGGAATGTAGAACTATATGGACCAAAAGCTAATGCTGTCGTTAAAAACAATGTTATGGAAAAACCATAGAAACTGTATTCGTATATTATTCTAGGACTCCTCTGTTGTGTGACCGAAATGGACTTACTTAAATTCACTCATTTTCAAGAAAATAATAATTTAAAATATGTCATTTGCCATATAGACCCACAAGGTTGGGGTTATACAGCCTGGAGGTGAGCGTAGTCCGGCCACTAAAGATTTTGGACGAAGAAATCAGTTGTTTGACAAAACTAAAAGAAAAATGCTTTTAAATATAGACAATATTCAGATTATGGCTGGAGAAGCCATTTGTTTACTATAAATTAGACAAGTTTACGATTACGATTCGTTCACTACAGGCCACAAGGCTCTACTGCGCGGTGTGAAGCCGTCTTTAATATATGTGTACACCATTCTCTGAAGCAGAGTTGACCGCACTGAAATCTATATAACTAGTATAATTATTTATGATTCTGGTATAAATCATTATGGAATATTCTTATTTATGATTTCATAATTATCCACGATAAGGTGCGTTTGAACAATGCATTATGGCAATAAGGTCATGGCAATGTGTTTCAAAGACTAATATGCCTGGCACGTTGTTCTGTGTTGTTGTACTCTGAAACCGTTTAGTTCTTTTAATTTCTCCATAAAATTAGCATCGAAGGCATCCGGTCCTATATGTTCTCGAAATGAAGTGTATACATATGAAGTGCCCAAGGTTATTGTGTAAGCTTGTTATATTGTAATATAGCTCAATATAATATAATGACTTCTACAAATTAATTCTTTTCAGCATCGCCTTTGAAGGCGTGGCTTTGGGACAGACGAAATGGTGATACAAAAAGGAAGTCCTTATTTCACTTCTTTTTCGTTCAACAAGAGTTCGATGAAATGCGAACATTCATCCGTCGCACGTAATTTTACCTTTTGTAATCTTATTAAACGAAAAAAATCTTGTGTCGCGAACAGGAGTAGATTTTTTAATGCGCGTGTATTTCAAAGGCTTGGTAATATTAAAATATAAACCTTCAATTGCTAGAAAAAAATCAGAATGGCTCATACAGCCCTGTTCCGAGTACCCCTATTTTCCCCTATATGTGAACTCTTGCTAGTGTAAGTATCCTAATATAAGATGCTATCTGCATCCCGAGGATATTTGAAATCAGTATATTTTATCATGCCATAAGGACCTGTCATTGATTGCACCTTTCTGACAAGCGTTAAGGCAGTTTTAGACCTTAGATATCTTTTTAAAACAAGCCTTGACGCTTCTATATAGCCATGTAATAAGTGACCATATCTGTGGTTTGATACGAAGTGTTCCAACTAATTTATTAATTAATACAAAGAAATATCCATCATCCTTTTGGGCCCTTATACTCGCGATGCCTGAAACGGTTGTAAACCTCTTTGCTTGAAATGAATATTATCCCCAGGGGAATTACAGTTTTGTTCCTTCTAACATATTTGACCAACTGGCTCTTTAGCTCGATCATTACAAGGTATAGTATAAAGGAGAGTTAGATCAAACACAGTGTTGTACGATAACCACGATCCAAGTGTAATGAAACTACGTAAATTTCTATTTACAAACGTTTCTATAGCAATTCCTCAAACAAAGTCAGTTATCGTGTATTTTAGTCTCCTATAGTTTTGATAGTGAGAAAGAAAATAATGGAGTTTGAGTATTAAATTTATGAGACTATATCTTTGTATGAGTGATTTTTTTTGTCTTCTGTCGTTAAGCAACAAATATATATAAATTCATGCTGTATTTACACTTCAACCGTGAAGAGGTCTCTGTCTCGGCCAAACTTGGCTTTTGCAATGTCCGTAGTGTTAGGTATTTGTAGACCATCAGAAGCCTGGTCAGATACAGCCTAATGCTGGTTATATGCATACACATCACACATGAATGGAGCGAAGGGAGGCAGTAGAAGAACGAAACGGCTTTTGTTTGTCCACCATTATTTCCTCTCCTTTAACATCAAAGGTAATACTAAATGTGCAATCGGCTAGTCCTAGCCATGTAGTCGCTTACGTGCGTACTACCAGCGTTTAAATTTGATCTCAACCAATGACTATCACTCGGTAGACCCAGTTACGACGGTAACATAACTCGTGTTCGCTTTATGTTCGCCTGTTAAATGATGTATATTAGTCCCAGATGTTGTTGTGGCTGATGTTGTTCCACTTATTTGTATAGGGATAGGTTGCTGAGAATGAACTCTACCCTGACGTAAACTCATACTTCCAATGGTGCCCGACGCGGAGCCGAAGCCATTGCCCTTGATTGCGCTTACATCAGCCAATAATAGCTCGCGCCGGATTACTTCATTACGTTGCTGTTCCTGTAAAAACCTGGTTTCCGCGTCAAGCTTCCGCCTTTGGGCAGCTATAAGCTCGCGTTCTTCGGCTAATCTGGAAAAATCGAGTATCTAAAAATTATTTCATTTGAAGATATGTCGTCTATGGAAGTTCAACAACTGACTATATTTAATTAACTGAAAATAAGCGCAAATTCATATAAGCGCTACAGGCCAAGCAGTAATGTTCGTCAAATAAACACAAGAACCTGTATAAATCGTATAACCAACCCTTAAAAAAAGGTATACATATGTTTATACGTACAGATGAAATAATTCTCGGAGATGGCGTATCAGTAGACTGGTGTCCTGCTACTTCGGCACGCCAATTTTACATCAGTGTGTCGCCAAAAAATTAGTGGGTAAGTTTCGAATACTCAGTAATTTTATAATTAATTGTATAATATAAGCAATGAGCCCGTCTACGCCTAACATCGTTTGCATCTTGACACTTATGATCGACGTAATCCAAAAACGGTTCTACTAACTTGGAAATTCTGGCTAAATAACAGGCGGACTACCAATGAATCAAGGAAGAAGAAACAATATATATATACATTTTTTTTTGTTTTTCTAGATCCCTTATCCTTGGGTTATACGGTCTTGTATATTATGCCTATGCATGGCTGTTGCACCTCCATTTGAAAATATAGCTTATTTCTCCTGAAGCTACCGTGTAACAAGGGTATCCGTTTTCGCCGATCCACTTTTGTCTCACCAGAATAAGCCTCTGTGGCCATTTGTCAACCTAATATATTTTACAGCACGCCCAGCAGCTCGTGGCTTCCTTCTAATAGCCACTTTTAACTTTAGTACAGAAAGTCTCACAAGTTCCTGGTTTCAGATAAACAACACTTTTGCTAAAGTTTATACTTCAACCATATTTCCTGCATGTGGGCGCCATTTAGGCTATATAGAGATGGCGGGCTGGGATTAAACAGCCTCCGCCAGTCACTCTCATATAAGAAAGAGATACTCTACGCTAGTAACGATATTCACAAAAAACTGATTTTAATAATTCAAAATACATTATGTCTAGTTATTGGCCATTAGTTTTTTAAGAAACTGCCGATTATTCTGCTCAGCATTGATAAATTTAAACTCAACAGGATACGTACGTTTCCAGCTAAGTAAAGCCGTTTATGTTTAAAATGGAGAAATATTCTATAGAATTTGGCTTCCTTGTCAAAGATTAAGCAAGCATTTACAAGGAGCTACAGATGCACTTACTGAGATAATGTGCAACATCTATAAGATTTCAGTCGAAATGCGTTCAGTTGAATGCATAGATGCTGTGACCATCAAAAAGCATTTATATATACATGAAAATTTTTCTTTTTTTCTATTACTGTTTGGTACTTTTGACCAGGCGTGGATAAAAAAAAAAATTGGTCTTTATAATATTAATACTCAAGTGGTACTATGAATTTTCCCATAATAAATAAACTTTTAAAACAATAACAACACGTCCTCTCATTTCCAACCTTTTTCGCCTTTCATCGAACATTTTCGCTTCGTAAAAATGTCTCTGTTTCTGTTCACGGATCATCTCTGTTTCGGCGTCAAGCTTTCGTTTTGTAGCCACTAAAACTTTTCTGACAAGTACAGCTGTCATAGTTGCCCGCGCGACTAAGCGACTCTTTGGCGAAGATGTGATCGCCGTGCCTGGCGCTCCGCTTGTACCAGTTGTGTTCGTGTCTTGAAAATACCTGTCATGAGCAAAGAGAGAAGGCGAAAAGCACATCTAAAGGCATTAAATATACGGATCTGACCAATTCGTATGATCATACATGTGTGCATTTTAAAAACAGAGCACGACCTTACTAATTACTTTAATTATATGTGATATCCATACTTATGACATTAAGGTAACGAACCTGAACAACAGCACTATTCATCTTGAACGTTAATTAGAGTGTCCGCTTCACTCAAGTCATTATGACAGTTAAATTGTAAACAGTCCACCTTTAAAAAAGGATCGCTATATGACACAAGGACGCATTCTTCTTATTCAACATTATTTTAAAAGCTAGCTTACTACGGCTCTTTAATTACTTATAGTTTTAGCATACAAAGTGTCACAAATGCATCAACTATGGAAAGAATAAGTGGGGTTTTAGAAGACTTAGTAGATTATTTACAGTAGAAAAGCACGGCCGCCTCATGAATCAATACAAAAATTTATTCAAGCAACCAGACAGACAGGCGCATCCATGCCGAGCTTGTGCAACACCATGACTGGGCGATCTTGATTGGTCAAATCGCCCAGTAGTGGTGGGTTGCGAAGCAGATTATAACGGCATCATTAAACCCTCATACAGCCCGTACTTCGCTGCCTTTATCCTAGTAAACAAAAAAAAGACACCTACATCGGATTCCGCTGACTCAACGTCACCATAAAACGATACACATAGGCGCGACCCTGAACTATTTTGACAACTTCATAACCCAGTCACCTAACTTCGACATCCGTATAACGCACCCGCAGAAAGTTTTGATGGCCATTGACTTTGCTGGCCTGCGTAAAAAACTGTTGCATATTTGCAACCCAAAAGATCAGTTGATAAGGTAACAAAGTTGCACCCGCCGGTATTCGCTGGGATCTTATAAAGGTATGAGTAGGGGAAACTACTTCTCTTGGTCTTAACTAACCATTCAAGAGGTTTTTACGCCTAGTCTCCTGTTATCAGGACTTTATACGGTACTTTACGCGAACCGCAAGCCTGTCGTTAGCACGAAGAACTTTGTTTAACACGCGAAGCACGATGGAGATTGTTGCAGTCCACACAAGAACCCACAGGAGTCCATCCTGTGCCACTTTTGGCAGAATCTGAAAACGAGCTTGCAAATGAATGGTATTGGACCTGGGCTAGAAAAAGTACTAGTCCAGGCAAAAAGGCTAATGTCGACCATCGAAAAGTTTCGACCGTATTTCTATATGAGACACTTCAAGGTTGTGATTGACAGCACTTCACTGAAGTATATGAGAACAGAGACGAACCTTTGTACTAATTCTGTGAGCTCTAACCCTACTTACGCCGTCTTAAATACGATCTACTTAAGGCCGTCCACAGGAAGGGGTGCTGGTACAAGGTCTCGCTCTCGAGTTTAATAAGGTTCGGACAATGCAGAGAAACAACCTGAGCATGGTAATCGCCAAATTGAAGGGAGGGACTCATCCTTTAACGTATGCAAGGACAACCTGATTTACCGGGTTGAGAAAGGAGAAATTCGGCTTCATTTTCCATCGTACGAAATGGAAGAAACTGCCACTTTTTGTCACTTGAAGAAGTAAGGAAGCGCACGTTGGTATCCAGAAGATGTTACTATACGCTTAAGGACGTTTCTGTATAATGGCGGAGCTTAGAACGCGGATTCGGAATGTGTTGGCCCTGTGTAACTTCTACCAGAGGCGGAACCGAAATCCAGCGCGGCGTGGCGCTATGCATTTATTTTTTTTAATGCCGGTTTATTTTTTTTAAAATGCGTTTACATTTCATGAGTTTCCTTAGAATTCCAAACATGACGACTTTTTTTTACAGGGAAAGCGGGATTTTTATTTCTTGGGGCGGGTTGCAGACTATCTCAAGAGAAACCACATCGGGCTTACGCAGCTGTTGGACACCTGCCATTCGATAAGCAGGTCGAGCATATAATTCGGAAAGTCTAGGCTCCCTAATGGCGGATAGACACAACTCCCTCCAGGATCCGCTGCTTGGGCACGGTTTTCGCTCAACATATCTACAAATGAGACCTTTAGGATGACCTTGGTAAAATTGCTCTTCGCTTACCGGGTTGTATTCTTTGAATGACATCCTTTCTATAAGGACGTTGCAAGACGGGATGTCATAGAATTGTGCTGAAGCGCGTGCCGTAGATATAAATTGTATCATAACTCCTATTATTTACTAAGTGGCCGAAAAATATTGGCGATTTTTAAGCCATGATTAAAACAAGTAATTGTTGTCTTTTAAAACAATATTGATGAACTAAATATGTGTCATTTTTTATCGAATCATCATATTTATCGAATACCTTCTGCCTTTTTTCTAGTAACATTATAATCTTAACACTGTAGGACATCTCTGGTTTCGGGGCTAATAATCGTGGCAAGTAATCTCTGCATCCCCCCATTGAGACTAAGTCAACATACTTGAAGTAGTTCTACCGAGACAGAGGCAGATAATGGTTTAATGGTCCGAGACCCGAGTTATATAGCAGACACAGTAAAATGTCTCATTCAATTTTCGTCTATCAGTTTTCTCTCATTTTCACTGGATGGCTAAAGATGTGTGCGGCCTGGCATCTTCATAATGGATAACGACGCCCCTCGTTGAATATTTTGTTCATGGCTTGCTGTAATCTTGTCAGTTGTCGACAATAAACCTCCGAGTCAATCGTTTTGCCGGAAAAGCAGCAACTTATAATGCACGACTGTTTTTCGATCATACCAAAAACGTAGAATTACCTTCTTTGGCGTTCGGCTTTACCACAAACCGTGGAGGTTTACTTTACTTCCACCATGATTTTTCTGTCAATTCGTGAGACAAAAAATATCGGGCCTTTTTTGTAGTCAACTTCCTTCAAATGGTTTAAAACTGTTCGGTGGTAAATAATTAGTTTATTGGTGATATTATAGCTACTCACTTAATGTTTCATCGTTCCTGTTTGTAATGGATCAACCATCACTAGAAGCATTTTTCGCATAGAAATTTTTAGGACGAACACGACAAAAGCATTTTTTATTGTTTCTTTCAATAAAGTATCTTTATCATAAACAGCAAAATTTTTGATAGATTGGACCAGCATGTACTTTTAGCAGAATAAAGTTGTAAAATAAACCAGTTTTTTCGCAGATTTTATCTTAGAAGCCCTCAACGTTATTTTATCTTAGCGTAATCTCAAAAAAGGCATATTAATCGTTTTAACACGTTTACTACTGTCAAATATCAACCTTCAAATGCCGTCCACATCAACCCGGATCACCTGATTTATGTGACCTTAAAGCTATATAGCCAGACAGACCATTAATACCCTTCAGCGAACTTATTAAATAAATATATATATATATATATATATATATATATATATATATATATATATATGTAAGCATAGACTTAGTCGCTTAAGAGCAAGAAATAGTATAAATGGTTGCTACTAAACAACCGATTTCTGTGGAAGCTGTGCCAAGATGCGAGGTGGAATCACTTGAAGTTCCATAAGAGAAGGCAAAGGAGAAGATAAAAGTAATGAAATGTATAACTGTATAATGAAGTGATGTTTTCTTTGTAACACAACAAATATGATCCCTTAAAGGGATCCTTATAGCCTTAGATATCCCCAAGCAACCTTCATGTTAATTTAGTCAAATATTACGCTGATATTTGGTTAGTTGCAATTCAATTATAATAACAACGTCTTCATACGTTGTCTAAACGAGAAGAAGTTAAGTCTAATATTTGGTTATTTTATTGGCTTACTGTTCCGTGGCGGTGTTTTGCTGAGCAGCACCAGAAATGACTTGGGCTGTTGTCGATGGCCCACCGTAAATGATCGTTTTTACAATGTCGTCCAAGGCTATATTACTGGCTTCGGTTCCCACAGAACTAACATTGACCGGTAGCTGAGTTTGTGATGGTTGCGCTAATCCAATGTTCGCCTAAAACAAAAATAAACATGAGCGCAGAGTTTTTGGCTATGATTCGAAATCTAATGGATTCACTAATAGACTGTGGAATTAACAGGACAGGTAAAAATATGGTTATCTAAATTGGGTACGATATGATCAGGTTTTGGCTTTTTGACCGTTATTTTCACGACATTTTTCTAACTGTAAAATCCTTTTTTTTTGGTATAATAGATCAGATTTAAGGGAAACTATTTTTGACAAGCAATCTCGAAGCAATCAGTCAGTTGAGGTCAGCAGCAAAAAGTCTGCCTGGCCTTACAGTACGAAACCATCTTGGATCAAAATGGATAGGCTTTAACTACCGTTTCGGCAGCAGATGAATTCTTCGATAAATGAAACAGGTACCCATAACGCTGACCCATTATAGATGCCTCTTTCATTGAATTTCCGCCAATTAAATCACGTGCCCCTAAGGCAGTGTTATATGAACTTGAACATATATCATCCCATGGAACAGCAATAAGCCAAGCGCAATAAAAATTTCATCATCAAGTTGCTAAAAGCAGGCGGAAGTAAATGTCATACAGGAAAATCACGTCTCGCAATATTCGCTTATTGTCAATTTATTAAGCAGTTAAACAAGTTCAGTCATTTCACTTGGTTTCAGAAAAAGGTTCATAGAAAAGTGTTTTTTTCAGGAAGCACGAAATCTACCAAAGTGTCTATGTGTCGACATGTTTGAAATCTGGTTACAACATACGAAAAAATGACTGTTATTTTTTATCCTAATATGGTCGCTAAAATTAAGTCACTTTACAGCTCATCGCATCCCTTGTGAATTTTAGGAGAGACTAGCTACAAGCCGAAGAATATTGATTTAGATGAGGCTAGCTATAGCTTGGAACATTGTCTACAAATACGTACTACACCTGCGGCATTCTCCACGCGGACCCAAAGCGCTGCCGTAAGTAAACGGCTTAGAAGTTACAACAGGGGGGGGGGGGGGGGGCTAAACACAGTCGTGGAAATTCAGCTCAAGATCAATAAAGCCAACCGCGCCATTTATAAATGAATGTCAGCAGTTGGATTTCCACTGGCATGAGAAAAAGCAAAGCTATCTTACTTATCGAAAAGTCGCAAGTACGCTCATTATTCTGCTTTCCGCTGGCAGCAAGAGTAAAATAGTAAATTACGCTGAATACATTTGAAAACTTCTGGGACACAGCATGTGAGGACGGCCATCGTAAAGACCTGCAGGGGTATCCGAGGTATCCATACCCCGAAACGGGCTAAACAAGGTCGCTTCATAATACCGACTGCAGAATCTATAACTCTCCTTAATCCAGCGGTTTGGTGAAGCAATTCGATGGTTACATGTGCGAATTAGAGACTCTTTCGAAAAAGGCAAGGAACCCTAACGTTATGTGTCATAGAGTCTTATAGAACGGTCAGTATAGAAGCATGCTGCGTTTTGGCCGCAACCCTAGCATAAAATTTAAACACAGAGGTTTTAAGTCGTCACTCTATAGATTCGAAAGGTTTTGGCCCTGACATGCATGCATTACGACAAAGGACGATTTTGCTACATTCAACTAGGCTGCCGCTATGGCCTGGAGTATGAAAGAACTATAGTGAGGACGAAAGCACTTGAAAAATGGGGGCGCAAGGACGCCTTGCAAGTGAAAGGTCTCCAATTTCTACACAGGCACGAACTAAAAGAGGTCGTTGACCCTACTTGAAACTAAATAACAGACAAGCGCGGCGACTACAGTCGAGGTCCTAGAAGAGAAGAAACGTCTCATTCGACTTTGATAAACATGGTTAAATACTGCTTTATCGAGGTCGAGGACATAATGTTCATAGGGAAATTCTTTTCTAGGCAAAATGTGCCCCTCGGTAGAAAGGGAACTGGACAGGTGACCGCGATCAATTGATTCGCAGGGCACCTACAACCTGCTCTACGAACTTGCGGTACTACTAACTGAAAATCAAGACAAGCAGTGAATTACGTTTAATAATGCTGCGATGCGCTAGTTAGTAGGTGTCTCGACAGAACCTAGTACAATCGCCGAAATAGAGTCCGCCTGGAAAGTAATAAGTCCTTCCCGTCTAATAATGTGCACAAAACATTAATTCTGTCGCCTTACAGAAAAGAAATTCGAATTTGGGTATAAACAAACTTTCATTCCCCAGTAAATACTTTAATAAAGAGAAAAACGGCGAAAATAGCGATGATCTCTGCTCTTGATCGGTTTTTCCAAATTGTTTATGCTAAACAGGTCCCTGAAGCAATGCTTGAAGGATGGCACAGTGGCCTGTAATAGGAGGTACCGACGAATTTCAGTTATGGAAAAAGTTGTTATCAAAAAGGCAGGTAGCAGAGGACTTGCTAACCGAACTCATTTATCTATATAATAGGTTAACACATCATTACTCCGTCATCTAATGATTGCAATTTAAGCTATAGCTTCAAGCTAATTGGATCTTGGTGCAGCATGGCAGTGCATTCAGTACAGGAGTCCAAACATGAAGTAAATGTACCCTGGTAGCCTACAAAAACACTATAAACAAATTACTTTCTTTCTTGAGGTTACCTTTGATACTATACAGAAATTTAAGCAGGCTAAATCGCATTGCATCAAATTAGTGTCTTCCAGTGATATCTTCTCGAATTGCAAGCTGTAAATGACGCACGAGGAAGCTAGCGTTAAAAACTACTGCTAAAAATCGCTCGCTGCGATATTTCGGCAACGCTTCTTTATTACTCAAGGTTGATGTCCATAGAAATTGCGACGCTGCTCTTAATATATTCCTAGAACACTAGCATCTATTGAACCGGAAACGCCTATTCGTCAGGACTTAGTTGGTCGTCAAGGTGTGGTGATTTAATCCTTCTTAGATTTTACAAACCTCGACGATTTCTTTCACCATCAAGTTGTCCTCAAATTGCTTTCGCCAACAACAATCGTCCCTTGACATGGACTTCAATATTGCTGAACACATTACGCAAATATATCAGTAAAGCAACCTTCAGGCGTTCAGGGTCTATGGTTCACGAATTTCATCACTTTGTATTCCTACTTTTCATGTCGCAGCATATGCAACCTTTATTCCAAGGAAAAAAGATCGCGTAAGGACAACGTGACCCCTTTTGACGCAACTAAAACAATTTCGAAACCGCAAGGTAATGAAAACAGAGAGAATTGCCTCATTTGCATTGATGCGTGAATAAACTGATCCAATTTGCCCTTTTTAATTAGTCTGCTAAAGACAAGATTAATATGACGTGCGACATTGTTATGTACGTTGAAATGCGTCATATGCGGCTATACTCACGGATTCTGGGGTACACAATTGTAGCGCATGCTTGCTAGTTAGAATTTAGCTATTGTTGTTATCAAAGAAGGAACATAAAACGCGTGTGCATAGGCCATAAGTAAATCTTTCGCGGAAATAAAGCATGATCTAATTAACCTAGGTCGAAGGTGTTTTCAATATGATAAGTTGGCGTAGCCTGGATAGTTGACTCACATTTCTAAGTTCTTTGCCATGGTAGCCATGAACATGTGAGTACTGTTTGCGGAAGTTTTAATGTTGGTAACTGTTTACTCTGAGATATTGTTACTATGTCGTTCTTTAGATCTATTGGATAGAAGCCCAAGAATTTAGCAAGACCAGCCTAAAGTAATACTTCACGGTTTATCTACAAAATTAACAAGAAAAATTATATATAGGAGCCCATCCTTAAAACTAAGCGCTCAAATTTCATTCCCCAGTCCACTTCCGCTCAGGTAAATTTTTCAGACTCAGATGATTGATGCCACTGGATCATCCAAATTGGATAAAAAGCTCATCGCGGAATGTTTGCCGCGCAGACCATTGAATCGAACTCAAAGCATTGCGTATTGGATTGTCACGAAAAACAAAATAAAGCTTTAACGTTTCAAAACAGCATTCACTGCTGCTGCTGGAAAAAAATGAATAATTTATAGAATATCTTTGAATATGGAGTTTATCATCTACAAACATTTACATCTAGCTGTAGGTGCCCAATTAGTTTTGTTGTATCATCAACAACTATTGTTGCTTACCTCGTGGTCTTCATCAGCACTATCACCGGTTTCAATATCACTCAGCTGGCCGTCATGATGATTTTGAGGGCCTTGAACGCCACCACGACCTACATGCGGGTTGACAGGATTTAATTGCGCTCCGGAGTTTCCAACACTGACTGCCCCAACAATGTGTGGATGATGTGAAACTCCCACTTGAGGAGAATGCGTTTGTGAAGCGTTACCGCTACTGTCAACGGTGATATTGACTGTGTACGACTGACCCTCGTTTCCTTGAAGCAACTGGATTTGATTCTCATCTCTGTAAAAATTTTGCAGTATAGCCTACATTACATATCAACCTTCGTAGGATTCTTACACTGAATATTTGTAGCACGAGAATGGTATATGTAAAAGAAGACAGGCAACGGTCAGCTTAAATCCTTAAATTCTAGCGTGTGCCAGAGCTACACAACGCTCAAAATGAGCTTATAACAAACGGTACGCGCAGATATGCGGAATTTATATTGGAAAATTCCTGTAGTCACTTAGCAATTCCCTAAATTTGAATTTATCAATAAGGGCAAAGATCAGAAAAAGAAGAATAATATTATACAAAGCTAAAAAATAATGGCAAAAATAAAGTTCAAATGTTCCCTAGTATGTTAATACAGAGCACTGCTGATTTAAAAACAGAACAGATGATTACTTTTTCTTTGCTATACCTGTGCCCGTACTCGATTGGGGAGGCGTGATGTTGTTGTTGATGATGTTGATTTTGAGAGCTCTGGTGACTGTCAACATCGATCTCGATCATAATATCGCCCTGCTCATCATTCTGTTTGAGCCCGTATCTTTTTCGAAACCCCGTTAACCAACCCTGTGACGCAACGAACGATTTGACGTCGTGCATTTCAGCAAGCCGCTTTGCCGAACGCCGCACATCATCGTCCCATACGCGGCCCCCTGATCTGAGCGAGACAAACATAAAGCAAGGAAAATTACAACCATATGTGTTACCAAACTATACTAGAAGTTCATTGTTAGCAGAACAAGTGGTATAAGAGTGCACGCACATATAAACATCACAAATAATAGAGAAAACGAGATAAATTTTTTATAAGTTACATTTGGCTCAAAGAGACGTCCAAAACAGTTTAATATCACATTTTCGTTTTTCGCGTGATATTTATTCGGTTATGTGTATTCTGCTCTAGATTGGGACAATATAGCATGCGAGACACGTTAATCTCATAATTCAGTACTTTTGACCTCATTTATTCAATGTATTTTTAACGACACGTCGTTTTGCCACCCTTTTTTAACGAATAGTAGTAGCAAAAAAAAAGGTCGAGTGGATTTGGACCTTAATCTTGTCTTCGGCGGAAGATGTATAATTAGGTTGAGTAACGGGTCTGTTCACTGTAACCGTCAAAGAAGTGAACAAATCTTAGTCAAAATAGTGTCCTGCGGCTACTACGAACCTCGCCCATCTTTATGGCAGCCAACTTGGAAGCGATCTGTTCGTCGAATTATTTGCTTTCGTGGCTAGGTAGCATTGACCAGAACACGTGATAATAAGGTAAAATGATCTCCAGATTGTACGCCGCCTGGGGCAAAGTTTTCCACTGAAAATCTATTAGCGTTCCCTGGGTCATCAAAGCAGTGTCCGTTCTGGCGTTGTCATGCAGCACCATCACCTTGCGTTGCCCTTTACCAGTCAAAAGCATTTTTCTGTCAATTTCGTGGTTCAGACGAATAAGTCGAGATCCGTAACAATCTTTTATAGTTTTTCCTAAAATTTTAGTACCTCATAGTGTAACACTCCCTTCTCGTTCAACTATGTGCATAGGAGCCACCTTCGACAATATTTAGTTTGGCGTCCAACTGGAGGGATCTAAACCTTCTGGTTTGCATTTGGGGGTGTCGTAAAATATCAGTTTTTCATCGCCGGTAATGATTTTTTATACAAATAATTTTTATCCTCTCGTGCCAGCACCGAAAAGCATATTATCAGATGGATTTTTTCCATAATTTGCACTGACTTCATGGCGGTCTACTTTCCGGCTTTTTCGATCTTCTCTAGTGCATGCAAATCATGTGCAATAGCCACCTGTGTTACTCCTAGCTTGCAGAGAGCCCTCTGGTCGGCTACGCTGCGTTCTGCTTAGAGGTTACCTGCGTTTTGTCTTTGTTTTCCTTTCATGGCGGTCGGGAACGTAGTTTGTTATTCAAATCTGTTCGCCGGTTCTGAAGCGATAAAACCATAACTGACCGGTCGTACCGCTTGCTTACTGCATAACGGTCTTCGGCTTTGCAAACGATTCTTTTTGACTCGGTAGCACTTTTTTCAGCACGAAAATAGTCAAGAAAACAAGGTCAAATTTGCCTCCTTTCGAGATCGGTGATTGAACGCACCAAATCATAATTTTTAATGATAACAGCTTAATGAAAATAATCAGACACACGCTCGATAGTTAAAAAACTAATCTTGGGAAGTTCCAACTAAGTACGTCGCCATCTGTCGGCTCCAACTGCAACTTTCAACTCAACCTATTACTAGAAGGACCAAAAGCTGTTGGTATATAAAATTATAAATAAGAAAAACTGTAAGCTCAAAAACGTATCCATTGTTGTATCGAATCGGAAGTTATGACGAAAAATAAATCTTGTTGTCGGTCACACTATAGATGGATGTAACTAAATCAGTGGGACAATCACGCAAGATAAATATACAGCTGCAATAATCTGTGATGTTTGTTCGGTGGTTTACCGCAGGTGTTATGCTCTAGCTCGTCGACTTCAGCCGAAACAGAAGTTCAAAAGCTACTTTATAAAAAAATTGTCTAAATCTCATCACATCAAAATCGATTTTCGACACTTCATAGATTTTAATACCCCAGACTTCGACAATAGCGGTATAGACAAGCTGTCGTCCAAATGGCAAAAGATTTTACACAATAGTAATAATAATAATAAAATAACTATGCCAGTGAAAAAAAATTTGAAAAGTTGGAGCTCATTATCTAAATGCCTTAAAATATTAGGTACGGAAGCGAGCTCCTGACAAAATAACCGATCTAAGAAAGATACACTCCCTATATCATTTCATAGTGAAAACAAATAGAAAATAAGGCAATATAATTACCTAACGACGTCGACGATCCACTCATAGACGAGCTTCTCAAGATTGGAAAACTTGCCATCCCGAAATGTTTTGTCTGCATCACCTTTCACTCGTCTCTCCACCTCAAACCATTTTTCCTTCTGAATTAGAATATCGCTTACGCGACGACGACAAATTTCCTTGTTCCACAATTTTGTGAAGTGCTCAGCAATCTGTCGCTGGTTGCAGTCCGGATGCTGTGCTTTGTACCTGCAATATTATAAGTAATAATATTGTTCAAACGAACAAAGCTCTCGTAATCTTAAGCTAGTTCGTTTTGAAAAGCTGGAAAACGGCAGTCCTTGTCACAGACGGACTAATGTCAGGTAGCGGGTACCTCAAAAAAATGAGGAAAGTACAACTTTCAAAACGTTTTTAACTAGGATAAAATTTGGAAGTGGGATGTACACCTTTTCCCAGCTTCCCAAACGCATGGCCTTGATGTTTTAACTTTTCTTTTTTTACCAAACGTTTTGAGCCAAGAAAAAGGTTTTAGTCACCGGAGACAGCACAGCCAAAATACATATTCTGAAGCGGGAGAAAAGCGTTTGCTTACTAAGCGACAAGTTGAATTTCATAGGCGCTCAATATAGAATCGAATGATATCCTGACATTAGCTATGATGCATACATCAGCATATAAACATAAAACCTATGTTTTTCGTTGCCGTAATACTTTACCTAGTGTGTTACAGATTAAAAAGGAAAACGATGAAACTTTTCGATATTTAATAAGGGTAACCATAAGGGTAATCCGGCACAGGTGGTCATTGTACTAATGTGTAACAAGGGCATATTCAAAAGTAATTAACCTAAAACGTCGTGTTCCCACCTAAAATAGCAGAGGACACATATTGAGTAAAAAGAGCGTACAACATGAACTGCAAACAAGTTGTGAGTTAAAAGGGAAGCCTACGGTGTGTTTTCGTAGAATATAACAAAACTATCGACTAATAACATTAGATACATCTCTGGTATACGAAGAGTTCAGTCTCTGCATAATCCATAATAATCCGTAAACGGGCTATAATTACACAAAATCACAGGTAATAATTAATATAATCAAACGATAAATGAATATCATATTATTGATTCTTACAGACGTAACGTTTTTGTCACGTGATGATAAAGTGGTAACTACTATACTTAAGGACACATAAGGTAAGCATAAAATTTATGGGATAAGAACTGGGAATCCCATTATTCAAAATCAGAAAAAGTCAGAGTTTATTAATAGCTTAATGAAATAATGGCTTAGGTAAAGAAATTGTAAGTAACAATAACGGCCTAAGGCTTGCTAAAGCTTATGGAACGAAAGATGGATGTACCACAAGTGCGCTGGAAAACATTTCCATTAGGCACGTAAATGTGGAAAATTGAAAGAGACGGCTGAAAGCTGCAATTTCGTTCGAAAAAAGGCTTTCGAATTTTCATAATGGAATGTCGAGACGCGATTTTTATATGAATAACAAACTTCAGGCACTTCTTTAAATTCCGCGCACTTACCCGGTGTGTTGCTTCTTCTTGTATTTATTTGTAAGACACTTATGTTTTTCCTTGCTAACGTGTCAGCAATTTTTTCGCCATTTTTGATAATTTCTTATAGAACAAACCTTGTTTTACACTATTAAGACCTATTATATTATGATTATAAATGAATGCTAAAATGCACAGAATAAGTCAGTCCCTTGTGTTGTAGTCTCATCATTAAGGCGCTTTAAAAGAGTCGGATTTCGTCCTCATTGTCTGCTCACAGCTTACAAGGCTCTATTTAAGCCAACTTTATGGTACTATACTTTAATTTGTGGCAGAGCTCACGCCAAAATTGTAATGAGCTAATGATGCTTTACTAGGCAGGAAAAAAAATGATCAGAGTCAAGTCGGTAACCTATATGGAAAGTTGTTCCCAAGCAGATTCGTCAATTAGTTTATTTCAGTTATCGTAGAAAGTAAGGCTATGACATGAGTAAGAGTTGTTTCTTCAGTTAAAAAAAATAGTGCTGCACTTTCATTCTAGAGACAATTGGTTCCTCATGTTTCGCCGTCACTCTCTGCAACCTTCCCTAGTCTCTCAGCCAAGTCATTTATACGCCCTCGTCAAAAATTTTCAAATCTGGCGTTGAAAAGCCAAGTTTTAAGACGTTCTTCACTATCAAATGTACGGTTACTAATTTAGTTTGACTGTGAAAAGCTGGTCAGTTATACGCAGGTGTAGGGTCTGTAGAATGTGGTGGATGCAAAAGCTTTCACTCAAGATCTTGGAAAGTGGATTCGACAATCTTTGCCATTTGCGGCCTGGCACTGTTAGGAAGGAAGACAATTTGGCCTTGTACATCCGGTTCTTTCTAATGCATGACCTTGTTCACTCAACGTAATTGAGCTATATATAAAATCTTGTTGACGGTCTTGTTCTGCTCAAACATTTCACAGTGCATAAAACCCTCCCGGTCCCACCTTGTAAGCCACGGCATTTTCTACATGAAAATATGACCCAAGTTGAGACTGAGGTATATCTACCAAAAGCGCTATTATTTCCCCTACTATATATCAACGTAAATACAACACTCCTCTTAACAAGCAACAATTCTAAGTAAAAATTTGCCAGCGTCGCTGTGTACTGCTTAGTGCTGAGCGACATGGCAAGGGCCAAAGAAAAACTATATTTCTTTGTGCACATCAGCCAATGTTTGAAACGCCCTGTCCCGAATTTATGATAGAATTTCATACATTAAAGATACCCGATAATTTGCTGGTCCTCGCAGCTTTAACGAACTGTTTGCCATTCGAAGCCCTTTTCGAGCTTGAATAGCCAAATGAAGCTGTGTACACTCTCGAGGCCTAAGATTCTGCCTTCAAACTTAGCAAAACCTTTCAGGCAGTTTTCTCAGTTATAAATTCCTCACTGTAAACCGCACGAATATCCCACGTTATTTCAGCGGTTTCTGATCTCGGCAAAGAACAAAATGTAGTAGATATGAAAACCGCACTTTTTTTTCATCTGGTGCTTTCACCTTCAGAATGTAAACTCGACGTGAAATAGCATTCAATACATACAGATTTTATAGGCGAGAGGGAATGGTATATAAAGTAAAAAAAAAGCGGCGGAGAGAAAAATGGAAGGAGAGCATTAAAATACAGGCATAGCCTATAAACCCGATGTTTATAAGATAAGCTTTATTGACCTTTTTGGAAAACTAATTGCAATGATGGTCACATTAACTTAATAGTAATCGAAGTATACAATCGTCGTATATATATGATAATAGTGAATTTTGTACGTAGCAGGTATTTTCCGCATTTAACTCCGATTTAATGTATGATGCAAATATGAGAGAAAGAGGCAGAGAAAGCAGTTCACGGATGCAGTTGTTTGAAATGGCTTATCCTGCAATTCAGATAAGTCCTAATATGATCGGATTTGAGATTGTCGACATGTGTATGTATATATAAGCCTGAAGGGCTTTATATAATGGGATTGTGCGTAATTCTCTGGGTTCTACGTAGTTCACGTAATTTATGGCCAACATTATAGAAATACGAAATCCGCAGTCAACCCGAAAATCTAAAACAAACATTTACTTGTCGATCTGCTATTAAGTACAATGATTCAGTTATTCATCCATAACATGGTCGCTAAAACGGCCTTTTTTTAATGAAGTGTTAATGAAATAATGTTTCCTTTAATGAAGAAATGTTAGGTCATCCATAAGTTATCGATGGTCACGGTAAACGTCCAGCGGTTGACTTTTTATCGATTTGCTTGGTTGCTGAGAATGGTAAAACTGGCCAATCTCTGCAACAAAGTACAACAAATAACCAATCGCAATTGATTCTTCAAAAATATTCAAAACTCCAAAAATTTCATGATTTATTTGCGAGACATTATCAAACGGAAGATAAAACACAAGAAGAAAATGGGAAAAGTGGGATCGAGGAACTGCAATACTTGAATTAATTTCGAATGCTATAGTCTACAAAACTTCTGTTTTTTTTTTTCTTTTTTAATTAAAAGAGGATCTTGCTTAATTTTCGTCTGCAATTATATTAACTACTAATCCAGGAGTATGGTCGCTGCCTACCTGCAGATGGCAGTCTTCTCACGCACGCTAAGCGTAAGAAGGGGCTTCTTAGAATGGGGTTTTCTAGCTATTCGATTGTCTTCAACACCGTCCTGTGAATCTAAGTCATAATCGGTACTACCGTCATCATGCGGGGCTTGCAACAGCACGTGCTGTGTTCCGTCTTCTCCCACGAGCGCACAGTCCTCCAGTACCTGAACTACCTGAAGACCCGCGGGAGCACCATGCGAGGTAACGTGTCCGCCCTGAGCCACGTGAGTCACTTGATTTATGTGTCCACCGCTGGCTGCCGCCACCGTAACAACCTCTGCACTTTCTATAGACTGTGACATATCTCATGGGTATAGTTGAAAAATAAATATTTTGTTCCTGAAAAATCTTAAAAATTGAAGTTAAATGCTTATAATTCATGATTACTCGATGTTTTGTATTATTTTAGCCTATGTGCGATGGTGAACCGCACCTAAAAGCATGCACTGCAGTGCAACTCCTGTTATAATCCTATAATTTCTGCTACAGTGGTACAAAAAAATTATAATAAATAAGGATTACCTACAAGATTAAAGAGGAGGTAAGTATTACTTTATAAAGTTTGCGGAAATTGATTTTCATCAATTAGAATTGGAGATTTGGATTGGAAACACAAAGTACGCTTAGGATGTTTGCGTGAAGCGGATGACGATAAATTGAAGGGACAATTGCCTTAAAATTTAGCCCAGTTAACCCTAGAACTTTTTGTACATATATGAGCAAGTGTCCCCACCATCCTGAATCGTCTGCATACACTCGAAAAGGCTTTAAAGGCAGGAAGGTGGGCCTTACATGAATTTACCAAAATCACCATTATTACAGCGTCGAAGGTATACACAAAATTGCCCTCACGGCAGGAAAATAAATAATCTCTATTTTAAGCCGATCTTTAATATAAAAAAATAATCATTACATTTTATACCGTTGAAATTAAGTCAAATTCCAAACAACCCTCCACATTAACACTTAGGATATTTGTTCGAGTCTAACGGAAACGCTTGTTTGAAGTTTTTTTTAAAAAAAGTGAAATCACGAATGCAGGCGGCACTTTAACTCAACACGACAAATGAACTAACCAATTGATAATATATGAATTTTAAGGAGTCAAAGGACTGCGAAAATTAATTTTGTTGCTTAACAATATTTGACTTTGCAGCTTTAACGACTTCGCAAATTCTGACAGACCATGGACGATGACCTTTTCGAGCCCGGCTTATAGCCTACACTTTTCTCCATAGAGTTACACTTCCTCAGACCTTTGCGAGATTGCATGGAAGACAAGAGATCCAAAATAACAAACAGAAATGATGAATAAAATGTATGAATGTGTTAGCTCCTTTGCTTGACAAGGGATCCGTTCTTGTTTAAATAATAAAGAAGAAAGATAAAAGTTCACAGCATTTAAAGCGAGCTGAAACACAAAACTACATATTAAAATTATACGTAACGTACCGAAAGACAATAGAAACTGTATTTAATTTCCTGGATAACAGTTTGTATATATTTATCATTATTTGTCTTAAGGATATCAGAAACGTAAATTTTAAAACTACTTACTTTACGATAGCTGCAGCGTTGCTAAGTGTTACGCCACTTCGCTGGGCAGTTACCGCTTCCTTAAATTTTTGATATCAAAGGTCTCAAGAATGTTTAGCAGTAGAGTAAGAATGGACACTGGATAAATTTTTACTTAATGAGAAAAGAAGCTGGCCCAAATTTAGTCGTGCACACCAACTGTCTGTGAGACAAATGTTTCTCTATCGGAATACAAACTGTTTTTAACTATAGAAAACAACGCGTAAGCATTTCTTGCGCGTAAGTTGGGTAGATTAGGGTTATTATGCCCAGAAGGTTTAAATAAACAGACATCACGTGGAAAAATGTGATACTGGGACCGGATTGCTACCGGATTCGCGACAAGCCTAGAAAATATTGTGGAGACACTAGTCTGAGACTTCGCTACCACTCGTGATAGAAACACACCTAAATCTATAATTTATAGAATATTTCAATGACACTTGTTTTAATGTAAATCGGCGCATTAAAAAACTAGGTTCCATTTGAGGGTATCGTTCTGTCTGCTGAATGTTAAAAATACATTTTAGACTCTAATGCCTTTCATACGTTCTCGGCAATAGCTTGGGATTAAACTTTTTTTTAAATTTCAAACCCATAGTTTGAAAATAGAATTCTGTCTAAATAAAATAGTTTGAATTTAACGTTGTAGTAACGCCACTTTTCAAAATTTCATCGATCTGCCAAGCGCAACAATATTGCACCTAGTGCCAGCTACCAGTCGAGAAAATCGCAAGGTAGCACTGTTTGGTGGATTGCAAATAATTTGCCGAGCTTTATTGATGATTAAAACGCCCATTTTAATAAAACATTTTTAATTATTGCAAATAAATAATATACTCAAGTATGAAATTCCTTGAATTTCACTGTAGAACATAATGCTAAATATTTTAATACCCAACCGCTGTGTGTTACAAGACAACTCCATATTCCTAAATCTTGTTGTACTCCTAGATTGTACGTAATGAAAAGTGTTTGTATTAATATATATATTCTGCTGGTCATTAAATTCCAGGAACTTATTTATACACTAAACTACTAAAACTAACTTGACTTTTTTTTGCGATCTGTCGGGTAACCGTGGAAATTTCCTGAAAACTTACATTAACTTATAAGATCTACTTATAAGATTTTGGGTAAAAATTTTACTTTTTGCAAGGGAGGAAAATGGCAGTTTGTACCGACACCGCTAATAATTAACAAAATACACTGCTGTGAAAATTGGAAAACGGCTTATTTAAAATGAGGAAAGCGAGAAGAATGCTGCAACGCACTGGAATCATTACACAACATTGCACCAGGTGAGCGAGCCGCCCGCGTCGAGAGCATATCCTTGCTTTGGCTTTGTAAAATTTATACATGCCTCTATTGTTTAATGCTTAGTTGTCCTGTTCAAAATAAATGTGCCACAGTTTCCTCAATTTCCAGACTTAAACTTCAGCTTTGCACTCGTTTTTCCGGGTTTTCCCCTAGGGTCTCAAATCATTACATTTCATTGCTTTTAAAATAGAGTATGTCGCAGCTTTTTTAAATACATCTTCCGTTTTCTCATATCAGTCCATAGCCGTGTAGATATCTAGTGCAATCTTAGTTTAGCTTTGCATCTATCACTACACACTACGTTACTACAAAATCTTAGCAGAACTATTAAGCTACACTATACGAAATTGTAATGTATTTTCTGTCTGCTTTATCGTTCAACGACGTCTGTTACTACTTTTTATGAGCTAAAGTATATAAAATTTCCTGAGAACTTTCGAATCGTGTTATCGCAGTATTGCATTACCTACTTTGTAGTGTCATGCGTTTGGAAGCACGCAAAAATATATATAATATTTATATGAGCAAAAATATGACTTGAATCATTTTTAATTTTCTAGGCTCAGACCTTAAAGAAATGTCTCTGGATGGCATCTTGATATTGATATCACGTGAATCCTCGTGTACACCCATTTTCTTCACAATGTGACATTCACTAAACCTCTGCAACATTTACTTTTACAAGATGTAAACGTACTTTTCTCAGAGCGTAATGCTAAATCTTATGTCTCTGTGGTGTGAAGTTTGATTAATTAGTGACGATTTGAGTTTAATAAAATTTTAGCACTGAACGCCGTTTAACTTGAGGAGAATTGGCATTGGCTTTTCTTTTTGGTAGTAGAATATATTATATTCATAAGTTTTACCCTGGTATATATATATATATATATATATATATATATATGCATTGCGCAATATGTGTAAAAGGAATAATAAATACAAAGTATAAAAAATTATAAATATATAATCATATCTAATAGTAATACATCTGCTACGCATGAAAGTAGGATAAACATATTCGTATTAAAAAAATATTGGGTTGGAGGTGTGCTTTTATTTAGAACGCCAAAAGGAGACACGAAAATATGCTCTGGCGGTAAGTCGCCGTCCGGGCGTGTTGAGTCGCTAAAACGGCCTGACTCAAAGCTACTAACCGCCCTCTTCTGGTCAGCTACGGCCAAAATGGCTATCCGGCTCGTCGAACCCCCTTCATCATAACTCGCCACAAACAGATTAGTAAAACCTAATAAACTACTATAGCAATTATTTAGCGTTTAAACGGTGAGGAGAACATTGAAAAATAATTATGCATGTGTTTCTGGCAGATAATCCTAGTTACTCACCCTGATTTTTACTAAAAGTTGCTCTTGTACGCGGGGACACGAATCGAAGAAATCGAGTACTTTTGGCTCAACTACTGTTGCGCGGCAGAATTGAAATAAATTATCTAAAATGAAAAGAAGTAGACAATTGTTCTCTTTTAATTCATAATATCAACTTCCTCGTTTCTAAATCTCACTGTTACGCGTCCGCCAAATCTAAGATTATAAAATGCAAGAAATATATGACTTACTATTATAGAGAATTTTCTAGCCATTAGTAACACTTTGGCCGCCAGGTGGCACTTTCGATGAAACAAAAACAAACATGGCTATCGCCAAGCGGCGGATAGGGCGTGTTGATTGTTATGGATTGACAATAGTGAAGTATCCGCCTGCGAAAATCCGCAACAACTATATCCGCTCGATTGGTTCACATGGTAAGTAAATACAAATCGCTATCCGCACCCATATCGAAAACATGGAGAGCGCTGATATACAGAAAATCTTATATTATTAGCAGAGGTTTTGTGATTTTCAGAGAGAAATGGTAACTGCTGTAGGGTATGAGTACGTGGAGTACCCAAAGTTAGTTGTCACTATTAACAAACATTATTGCTATAATTGTGGTCATTTGGTATCACTGAACGAGGCTCAGCATGTGTGCCACGATTGGCTTTCATAAAAACGTTTAGATTCAATGTAAATTTATTAATCGTAAAGCTAGTCGCTATCATCCTATGCTGTATTATTATTACAAGTTAGAAGAACATTCAACAATAAATTAGCTGCGGCTGAGCGTGTAACGCTTTCACTTAGCAAGTTTGCATAATATGTGGTTTCTTGTACTGTATTATTGTGAATGCTTGAAAATGGTGATGCACTAAGTTGACGTCTTCTGTAATAATTTCTCGTGGGCTTTATATGTTTACATAGACAGTTACCCAGTAATAGTATATTTTGAAAAAATCATAACGATCAAAACATGACAGATATTGCTTATAATCCGCAGGGTTTAGCTCTTTTTACTTAAACCCTGCGTCTAAGATCGCTCTCCATAGTTCCACTGATACAGTTTTTTTGGTGTGTGCTTTAAAAGATAAAAAATACTAACTAAGTGAACCTGTAAAAAAGTTGAAATTTTATAAGACGTTACGGAATTTTTTGAACACCCAATATATTGTACTAACGTAATCCAGAAATTTGTAATAATAAATACTGCCAGTTGGAAAGTAGCCCTCATAGAAAAATTTGTGGAACAACTATGTAAAACTCAAACCTGATCATTATGAATTTGAAGAAGTTGCTCTACTTGAACCTGAAGGACACACAGATTTCAAGCAGGTCATATATAAAAAAACAGTATAGATAGCCACCACGCTGCGTGACTGAACACATCGCACTATTTAAGTTGCCTACAGTCCTTTCAAAGCTCTTACAAATAAAAAGGTGTAATAAAAAGAGAGTGTGCGAGAAAGCACACTGAATAATAAAAGTGTACCTTAACATTAAGCAAAATGTTCTATTTAGTCGATTATAAGTATAGATATCAGTGTTATTTTTCTTATTGAAAATAAAGTTAATAAAAATTCAATATCTATAAATTTTAAAAGCCATGTTTTTACGTTTTATTCAAATTCATCTGGTAATGTGATTATTAACGTAATTTACACTTTTTAGGCGTACGCCGAAAATTAGCTATGTATACACCTCTCCACCAAGATTCAAGACGAATTACAATTTAAATCAGTGCATTATGGACAAAAAATATGCGATTATGTTTTTAAATTAAACTACAGAGGTCAAATAATATCATAATAATAAGAATTTAGGCTATAATCATTATTTAGTTAAAACTACCATTATTTTTACAAGCCAATTAACAAACTTTGACACTAGAAGAGGCAGATTAAAAAAAAACACAAAACTTTCCGTTATATTTGGGATTACTGTAAGGAAATACGCAGGTTCACATCTAAGAAATATATAGCTTTATAGCCGAGAGAAATGTGAAAAAGAAGTATCTTTTATTTGTGCATTTTTTTATTCTTTTTACAATTGTAAACCTATGGGGGATCAACGATAACGCGAACACTTCTGCTTAACGTTGTATCTTTTTTGAAAACCTTAAGCTTAAGCAAAGTGATAATGAAATATAGTTTGCATTGTTGGCTATATTTTACATTTCGGTTGCATCTTTCTAATTAAGATATCCGTTTTCAAACTAAGCCAGTTTAGGCAATTTGTTTTGGGCATTCATACAATTTATTTTTTTGCAATCTAACACTTTTGAATATAAATTATATCATTATAATATTAAAATCGAGCAAGTGTCCCCTTTTATTAAAGAAGGACTGGCAAAACGAATAATGTGGTTTGAAAGTGCGTCCATTCAATAACTTTTGTGTTAAATAAAATGTGTAGTATCGATTATGTCGTTTGTCGATTTGGTCGCCAGTTTCCCTCATTTCTTTTTTAACCATAAGTCTTCTTTTACTTGCTCGAGTATTGACCACCTACAATATAAGGTAATCAGCATCTTAGTTAACTTTTCGGTTTGATCACATTTATATTTTTATCTTCAAAGTATGTGGCAATGACATCCTAAACATACCAATATCTAAAAATTTCAGTTTTTGTCAACAAAGCACCTTTCAGCCTCATGGTTGTTTCCTAACAGGATCTACATGAATCCTTGCTTGAAAGTATAGTATAGATCGGGTATAAAATTTGGGTATGCAAAAAACAATTACGACGAGATTAAGTTAAACAAAAAAAAGATAACAGTGCAACGTCGTCCTTTACATCGAACAACGCCATTTTCAGTAGTTGTTCTTACGAATCGAATGTTTATTTAAATAGTTTCTAACTAAAATAGAAAATCTGTCAATGTCTCTCAGCAATGCTTCAGAAGATTCGAGTTACCTTTCAGAAACAAAACGTACAAAAGTATTTGGCTTACGCACCATAACAAGTAATTCACATCCAAAATATATACGATGTTTAAATAAATAAAGAGACCTCTAAGCGACGTGGTTTCGCAAGCTACACGATGAAAAGTTCGTACACCTGAGGGTGTTAAGCAAATTAATTTCGAAATCGTTTTTCTTTCGAGTTGGTGAATATACCAGACGAAAGCAATGTAATCTCGAATGCTTTACCTTTTTACCATATATGACCAGTACCTTATTGGCCGATCATTTTGAAACAAAATTGCGGATCTAGCTATACTGAACGATGATAGTAAGAATCATACAATATTTTTTTGAGGTAAATAATAATAATAATAATGCATCGTATTTAGAGTTGCTTACATTGGAGATCACTGCTTTTACCGAACGGAAATAATCCATCAATGCTCTTCCATAAAAGCCACAGTTGAGTAAAACTCTTTTTTTTTTGTTCTTGTAGAAGATAAGACAGTAGGACATCTTCTTATATCTCCAAGTTATTAATGTTTTAGATCAATTTGGTCGAAATCTGCAAAAATAGGGATAACTGAAACGTCTCTCAAATGCAGCTGAAAAATGTAAATGAAGAATACGAAATGACTTAATGTTTTCTGTGATTTGTGCTAAGGTGTTTTTTACAAAGTTTAAACACCTGTGGCAATTTAGGTTCAAATCTGAATTTACACAAACTTCGTTTCGCGCTGGAAGTGAGTCATATGAAATAATGTCTAAATTTATAGATATGTAAAAAAAATATATACACTAAGAAGCTTCATGTATTGAAGGGGCCATAAAGGCCACTCATTGAATTCTAACAAGTTAACGGTGGTTTAAAAATATCTAACTACAGCGAGTAGTTCGATCCAACTTGCAGAATCTTTGTAAGGCATGCCGGTCAGGTATTTGTTGCAAGTCGGGTAGCCATCTTTCCTTCTATTACACTTTCATAAGATGGTCTTTTTTGATACAACTAAGCATATTTTCGCTTTTTCTTCTTGAAAACCATAAAGAATAAAAAATATCGGTTATACAAACCAGCGTAAGGTCAGGCTAAATGGGCCACCGATTTTTGAATATAAAATGACCCTGATGCTAGCGACTGTTCCATATTTAAAAAGAACAATGAAAACAACTAAGTACATTCATAGGGCAATTCAATCTAATGAGAATGTTCATATTTGTATTTACTTTTAAAGACATCGTAATTTTACGCTGTTTGTACAACATGTCAACATGGTGGTTGCTGTTCTAAAAATTTTGACGGCTTTATTGATTTAACGTATCGTTCAAAGAAAACAATATAGCTGAAATATATCACATCGCGGATAGTCACGATCATATATCAAAATTAGTCATGGTTATATCGAAACAATTACTAACGATGGCGGTTACAACGGTTTTGTGTTGTTATGCTTACTATGAATAATACTGCGTACCTTGTTACAATCCTCTCTCAGTTCTCGAAAAAGCTCATAAATGTATTACACATTTATTGCTTCAAAGCTCGGCCTTACACTGTATAACAAAATTTTATGTGGACCTGCGGTAGACCAATTAAAATTTTTGTTCTAGCTAGATGAGCGATTGTGAAGGGATATATAGCATCGTCTTCTCTAACCATACTTTTAGTGATTTTTTGAAAGATAAGTTTTTTCTCTTTACCTTTGTCAAATGATAGACTTTTTCGCGTGGAACTATTAATGGCCTATGTGACCCTACATTACCACCCAATATTACCTTACGACTTATAAATAAAGAAGCAAAAATATCGGTTATACAAACCAGGGTAAGATCAAGCTAAATGGCCCACCGCTTTTTGAATATTAAATAAGCCTTATGCTGGCGGATTAACGGAGAAAAAATATCTTGGAGCAGCGATTTACAAACATAAGTCATGCAAACATTTCATTAAGGAAATTAAGAAAAATATCATTACATATATTTTTTAAAAGCCTGAGTAACAGAGTGTTTTATTTCTTGTTGGTTCGTTTAAAATATCAAATATCTCCTTCTTATTTGTTTACTAATCTTTTTTTTAGTTTTTGTATCGCTTTCTATCCTGCCGAGTTCAATTATCATTCGAAATCTGTGCATTACATCCTTTTCTCCAGTATCTGAATCTGGAATATAAATGGCGTAAAGCTGACTTGATCGACATTATTTTGTGTACTAACTAGAGTGAATTCGCGCAGCTTTAGTATATTGCCTTCTTTTTTCATTCGTTATTTGGTGATCTTATGTACCATAAGAAGGACCACTCTTTGATTTTTAAGTCGATTGAGAAACTCAGTCTACAGCATGCTCAAAATAACTTGACACCGCGTGGCGGTTTTCTTTTGAAGTAGAAAAATGCGCTGTTGTTTTATGCTCATTATAGAACAAGAATATATATCCGTCTGTTGACTGTTGAGCGTGTACTCAGAATGAACTGAGACAGGTTAACGGATTTTGCAAACTTATAGGATTGTATGGTAAAACTTTAAAGCGAACTGGGTGACTTTTTTGTAGTGTACCATTGAGATAACAGTTAACACTAATCCAAGGCCAAGAGCAGCAACTTAGGCTGGTAGGCATTTAAGATGTGGAAAGCAGAACTAGAATTAAAACTCCTGACACTATAAATCTTCTTTTTTTATACTTAGATAAAATAAGTAAGCCGGAAATATGTTCCGTACCCACTAAAGGATACGGCCAAGGAAGGAGATCAAAACCGGAGGCAACACATGTCAATATTTTTTGAGGTTTGGAAGACCTGTTTATGGACTACTTGGCGCGCCTGGATACATTTCCCAAACGATCCGCTAGAAGGCCTTAATTAAGACTACCATTCAACTCAAAGGACCATAACCGCTTGGTGTTGATGAAAGCTTCATAGGACAAAGAACGACTATTCTCTAACCGTGATCCTTCGGGAGAACCCCTGCAAGGCCCTGAAAACTGACCATAATAATTCGAAGCCTCGAGGGTACACTGAGCTGGTGAAGTACCGTTTATGCCTTCCTGTCTCAGCGTACGTGTGGAACTTTCTGACTCATCATCCGCTTCCATATTCTAGCTCTTCTTTTGTATGAGGCCGCTGAGGAGGCACGTCCATGCTGGGATTGCAAAAATGGAACAAGGTAACATCGATGGGAACGAGACAGGTGCTAGTCAATATCAGCAAACAAGTAGGGGCAAAACATGTCTACGGGATGTTCATCGATGATGAAAAGGGTTATCCATAATCAGTAAGAAAAAAAAGACTGCAATATCCTTAAAGGATATCGACTAACAGATTTAGACAGTGGGGCTCCGAGTCTTTTTAACTCGAGGCCGTCACAGAAGGACAGATTACAGCCTCCTTGGCCATCCCGAGCCCCATGTATTTTCCATAAAAAATCTGGCACATATGACGACCCAGAAGAGCACGCCAGTTTTAAGAAACTGCTAGGTTTAAGAAGAAAGGCTGAATTTAAGACACCTCAGAAATGAACGAAAGGCCCTTTATTTATCGTTATCAGTTCCTTTAACTGCAAACAGCCGTAAATGAGTATCATATTTAATGAGAAACCATGTAACACTAACATTCTGCCTAAGATATCAAAAACTTAGGCAGATAGCTAGAAATGATACGAGTCCGAATCTTATGAGTGTGGTCTACTAGATCATATAGCAAAAAAATGCCAAAGACACCCAAGTGGATATGCAGCATACTCAGCTTTGGAAAGGAAGGAACTACTGAAGCTTTTCCGTTAAAGAATAGAAGGTTGTTTCTAGTCATAGTTTTGAACGTAGAAATATTTTGAACCGTCTATGGTGGAACTCAGTTCTAGACCCGTTAGCTAGAAAGTATCCTCATATTATACCTTAGGTTTGGTACGTTTGGTATCAAGGTATTTTGAACGGGCCACCCTGAGCAATGGGCTACCATCAGGAATTCTTCAACAGGCCGTCTTGGCCGCCTTACTATGGAACTTAGTATATAACGATGTCCTAAAACTGAGAAACCTCTTACCAAAGATAGCTTTTATTGTATATGCTAACGACTTAGTACTTACCGTAAGAATGTGTTCGCCGAGCTGCTAGAAGTCTATATGGTCCTGCCAGATGTAGCTCGGTCGATGGAGGCAAGTTGACTCATTCTCGGCTCAGCAAATAATGCGACGATCGCACTGACCGGGCAGAAGAGCCGATTACAAACTAGATTGCTTCTAGATGGAAAAAAAAAACGAAATGTCCCTTATTGCTAAATATCCAGGGGGATGAGAAGAACCCGACATTCAAATAACTAAGAAGAAAGCGATGAAGGCAGCAGTTAAGCCTGCAAGAATCGTGACGAACATCACTTTTTGTGTCAGTCACCAAATCCATCATCGCCTGATCCGCTGGTCTGGTTTTGCATCTGCAAAGAAGATAAATCCAACCGACTAGCCAAATCTTACTCGTTTACGGACTCTGCTATTTTTAAATCTTAGCATTTTTGAAACTTCTGTTTGGCCTACTTTCGGCGCAAAGTTTAAATCCTCCAGAGTGTACTGAAACATGGAGTAATCAACTCCGCTAAAATGACCTGTAAACGGTCGTTTTTTTGGAACAATAGCTAGCATACTGCTGAACTTTGAGAAGTAGATGCATATGAGGAATGAAGTGGAGCATGATTTAAAGGATGCTTTTGAACGTCTCCCGGAATTTATATTTTCGCGCCACACAAGTGTTTCGGGATATTGATTATATTCCTGCGTTTAGACATGCTGTACGACAAGTAAATATTCGTCATGGTGCTATAAATGGCAATTTATCTAGCTTACCACTTGCCACGTACCGATATTTCGGGCAAAAATGTTTTAATAGACCAGTTTCAATTACCTAGCCTAAAACTATTCTATTGTTCCGAATGAAATTTGCTGGGTCTTCTGAAGTTGCTTCTTTGTGTATTCTGTAGTTAGTTTTTACTCTTTTAACCGCCTCAGATCTTTATTGTCGCAATATTTTATCTCTGATATATATCCTATTTTATGATGAAATACCTTCGTCCACTCCATTTGAAGCAAATAATGAGGTGCTCGATACATAAACCTGTACACTCTCACCGGAAAACCGGATTTCGTCAGACTGTTGTGAAATTTCAGCTCTGTATATAATAAGCCTTTTTCCTCATGCACCTCTTTACAATGCGCGATATGACACTGCGGCTTTTGGAAGGATGACCGGCTCTTTATGTGAGCTTATATCGTATAAGAAGAGTGAGTGGCAAAGCGGCAATGTATCTGGTAACCGAACCAAATATGGCTTTTAAAAACACCCACACTGTGTATTTTTTTTACATACATGTTATTTCAGTCTACAACTACTCTTCGAAAAACCATAATAGTAGGCAGATGTATATGTAGGCGGATAATCTCATAATCAACAATAAGACCGGCAGCTTATACCAGGAGCTTTTCTTAGTGATTACGGGACATAAGGACGGAATGGTTATTTCTCTTTATATTTCAACGATCACTGACTGAGTCGCGTTTCTCCACTGAAGAAAAGGATGTCACTACATACGTTTTAAAAAGTGTCATCCAATAAGAGATCAGAGTAAAGAAGCTTCTGAGATGCTCATTGCGGGCCTATCTGAACCTGCTGATTTGTTAACTTGTACGTTCTCCAGGGCTTGCAGACCTTCTTACAATGAAAACTCCTATCCAAAGAAGTCGCACTTTTTCTTGTCTCTAATTACCTTAGTAAACGATAGTATATATACCCTACAAGATATAGGAACATTAAAGTGAAGTACTCCACCTGACCGATTTAGTTCATTAGACATATGTTCAACTCGGTCGCATTTGCCATTAATAAGATGTTCCGCTATGAGCCAGCTCTCAAGCCTTCGCAGGTATTTCTTTCGTTATAACGCCTATGTCGTATATCATATGATTTTGAATGGGGCGGTCAGAAGCCAAAAATTTGGTAGAAGTTTGAAGCTGTTTTGATTTGTCCAAGTTACATGACAGTATCAGTTAAGCAAGGGGCTAGGTTTCCTGGATGCAGCCGATCGCAAAGGTAAGTGAACGATTTCATTACGATGGTGTGTGTATTTTCTATACTGATGATGCGAGAAACTGAAAAGACCGTGAACCTGTTAAAGAGGCCTGCTTATTTTTAGGCGGAGCTATAGGGCTTGGCTTCTGGTTGTCCGAGCGAAAACCCTTCGCATCACGCGGATGCTATTATATTACTATTATACTCCCGCCTCTTTCCAATGAGAAATTAGAAATGAGATCAAGAGGGAGTACCGTGTGCATAGATTACCGGAAAATTTCCCTATTAAGAAGCATCTTGACTCAGATTTTAATGTAGACCGTAAGAAAAACTTAGCAATTGGCTTAAGAAAAACTATCGAGGTTCCTAGATTACTTGAGGATTTTGACGATAACTAACCGATTCAGTACCAAAGACTCGGACCATTAGCGAGGCAAAAAGGAGGAATCATTAAGCGGGCGGCGATACTCTAAAATCTAGAGACGGGAAAACGATGTATTAAGAAACTGAGGAGACTAGTGCGGCCGAATGTTACAATACCCTCCGGAGTTGATACATAAAGTCTTAAGTTATTTCGTTATCGCTGTCTCCTAATCGTCAAATTGATTTATCATCTAAAAAGGCCGCCTTGTGTTATTTAAGTAAGTATATAAATAAGCTTATAAACTAATTCAAGTTGAGACAGTCTCTGGGTCTGCATAACTCCTGCTTTGAGACTCAAATTCTAAAAAAATATGTATATGTATGTGTGTGAATTTGGACAATAAGCTTGAAACATAGATAGTTGCACCTTTTAATATAATTTTCTACCAACAGGATTTTCAGCTCATTGATTTCAAAAGCAACTCTGCGCAACGATCAGTGCAAATACTGGAGCCATGCTCCCTGTTAGCGTGACAGGTTCACCCCCGGTTATCTCACACCTTCTTGAGGACACGTCGTCGTCATCGTTACTACAGCCGCAAGATGAACCTCCAAAGAGGCAACAAACAGGTGGTTACACCACGCAACAGATCCAAAAGAAAATACAATGCGGAGTGTACCATGTCGTTCTTAAGAGAACAAGTGACGAGAAGAGGAAGAGTGTTATATGGGAGACCTTCGGTGAGGTACGTAAAAAGCAACAAAATTAAATGGATCAGAGTTTCGAAAAGTTCAACTGTATCCTAGTTTACCTAGACAACAAGGGGCATTCGCAGGTAAGTACCCGAAGCAGTCAAATGAAGAGATGCGCGAAATTAGGATCCGCTCAAAGAATGCTGTTGTTTCATAATCTGAAGTTGTCAGCATAGAAACGCAAGGTCTATACTACCTTAAATGAACACTGTTCCAAATGATAGGTATGCGACAGGCGTGATCATCATTTTTGTTTTTTGCGTACATATTTTGAAACTGATTTGTTTAACGTATGATGAAGTAGCCAGTGCCTTCTACAAATGGAATCCACTGCTATTTTGTACTATAAAAGCATCTGTGTACATGATGATTGTCATGGCAGAAGCATCTATGTGATTCCGCGAATAATGCCGGACTGAAGTTATAGTCTTGAACGAAACCAGTTGCTTGCCCTATACGAAACGGTTCGAGTTTTCTATTGTACACTATGATCTGACTGGATTGTAAGGTACTCCACATGAGCCGATCGATCCTAACGAGTTCGAGGAAGGCAACTTTTATAATACCGAATTGTGTGCAACACTGAACGCTGTACAGAAAACGATACAGTGTTTTTTGGTGCCCAAAATCCACACTGTTTGATGGGAAGTGTTTCTTTCTAGTCAATCTGTGGTTTAACCGATAGCTTACAAAGCTAGCCAGCATTTTGTGCATACAGCTTCTACAAAGCATGTTCTATAAAGCATCTTCGCTCCTTCGGATACTCGTCATAATCTACTCTATATAGTAATACGCAATAATCTGTGGATCTTATTGAAACCTTCATGTTGAACATAATTGTAAAAAGCTAGGTTTTCTCATAACAAATACATGTAGATATTTATTGTAAATGCTTTCCAGTCCAAGCAATTTAGGTCACTAAAAAGCCAATGTATATTTTTTGTAATTCCTGAACGGTAAAGTTTTTCCAAAGTTTTGCTTTCCACGGTGACTCTGCGATCAACAACGACGAAATATTTCTTGGGACGATGTCACGTGCTCCAAGAATAATTTGAAGTTGAAACCTTCGATATCCTACGTTATCAATTCTTCAGCACGTTCGATTGATATAGGAAGTTTGTCTACACAAAAGAGATGTTTAACGTTAACCATTCGGAAAAAGTAAGCGTTTTTAGGTGTACCTTGTTATTCATATGTTTACGCAGTTTACATTACTTAGAAGAAGGAAAGAATGCTAAAGACAACCAACAAGGCCGAAAATAGCAACAAATAAACAACACATGAGGAAAGCGTCCTATAAAAGCAAGACGAGCGTCACAGAGAAAAAAATAAGAGTATAGAAAAACCAGCACGACTTTATGATTACACGCTTTGAGCGCGGTTGGTAGTGTATCATTAATATTCATCACTTGATGTGCGATCTGCTGACTAGTTCATAAACTGATTTTATCGTTGCTGAGGCAATGATTCTTGAGGAGGCAAATATGAATTGTCTTGTAAGTCTCTGTATCGTATTTACTTTTCAAATAGGCTTTCATGCAACTGATGGAATCACAAGGGAAAGTCCAGATGTATTAACGTACACCATAGCTTGGTATCGCTCAGCTTTTCAGCAATTGAGTTACTTTGACAATAATCCAATCCCTTGTCGTTATCAGGCTTTTTAAAAAAGGTGCCTTCGAGGTCAATTTAATAACGCCAAGAACCATATTTAATAGAAAAAACTTTCATTGATACTTTAATACTTTCCTCTACATTAATTAGTTACTACGCTATTAGCTCTCACATGTTAACAGCGCACATATTACAGAATGATTTTTCATGCAATATATATGTACATAAATCGTTCTCATTCTGAAAACCTTTTTGGCTGAATGAAGCATCTTTGACGGATTCTCTTCGTAAACTGTAGCCCTGATAAAGTGAGGAAAATACGTTTAGAAGGAAACCATAGTTAATTAAATTCCTATTACATTTTTCGATACAGTGACAGTCTTCTAACAATAGTTATATGCGTCCGCCCATCCGTTAATTTATAAATTCAACCTATTCCTTTTACCTTTTTTTTTTAAATATATATATACTCGCGGACCAATATGACAAGTTTTCCAAACAGCCAGACAAATTCCATCCCGATTATTCCATTTATTCCCCTATTATTATCCCGGTAATTTACCGTTAATTCATTCTCAGCCGCACAATTGTCTCCACGGAGAGGCACGTCACAGAGAACGAAATACGAACTTAACACCATTATCGGACCCTGATCTATCTACATAAGCACTGTTTATATAGTCAGAGAAAGTAATTTGTTAAGATTTTTTAAATATAAGGTCGAAATGTATATACAGCTTGTTTTCGATTATTCTAAGTAAACAGCTTTCCACTCGTAAACTTTGACTCTCGGTATCTTGTGGTGGTCTGTTTATTTGAACAAAGAAAAGCGATACATTAAATGATATGCAGAAACAGTCGGAAATGTGCGTCCAAATTGCCGGGGCTAAAATAAAGCACAGAACAAAATTTCTTCGGGTATACAGATACGTACATGTCATTGCGGCATAAGAACTACTTCATACTACTTATACTACTTCATTGTGAAGAAATATCCAAAAGGGAAGATTTATAAATGACAACATTTTATCGTCAGGTTATCAAACCACCTAAGTAAACTAGTTACATTTATAAAAGATGAAATCTAAGATGATTTGAAAACTGCCAAAGTTTTGATAGGGTAGATGTCGGATAGAACCTTTTTTTCAAGCTTTGCAATCGCCACGTTTTTTGGTGTAGGTCGCTGGCAATATGATTCAATATTAAGGCACTGCCTGATATACAACCTTAATACTAAAATGGACATAATTTAGTTCTGTTTTCGATGGAAAACTACAGTTATTTTTGGAACGCATATTTTCTACGAAGAAGTTAAATTCGCCTTTGGAAAACTCTTGTTTATTTTGCGGTATCACTCAATTTTATAGATCCTGGACCAGGACAACAGTCGCATAGCAGAGCATGTGGCTTGTTCGAAATGCCACAAAGTGTACCGGTTTCTGCCCCATAAAACAGGCACGTCAAATATCCTTAAACATCGCTGCCAGTCTCTCCTCCATCTAATGCCGTCAGTGCCACCCGTTGGCTCTTCCGAATCATTGCGGGCCGTTAAGCTACGCCGCAAGAAAGATCCACCATCTTCTCGAAAGGATAGAGATAGGAGTTCTCTATCAGAGGCAGCAGCGCCATCTGCCAGACCTGGAACGCCCTCCAGCATCGTCTCGCCATGCATCAGTGATGCTAACCAGAGGCAGCTACGATGTATTAAAGGTTATTTAGTTGGAGTTTTAAACCTAGTGATACAACAAGGGGTGTGCATTGGAAAATAATTTCAATCTGTTAAATAGTTCTTTCCATGAAAATACGATATAATTAAATTCTAAATTCTTCATTCGGTACGAACGTTTGATGACACTTCCGTGAATTTAATTATAGCACGCTTTCGGGATGATACTGTTTCTCCTATGTGATCGATGGTCATGCAAAACAACACGTTATTCCTTCACGAATGGGACCAAACAGGATTTGAAAAGTGTCCAAAATTGTTTAAAAGTAGTCTAATTCGCCTAAAATAGTTTCAAGACTTTCAATTTTTGAGTGAAAACTATATATAACATTGAGTCATATTTTTATTACTCTATTATTACAATAATATTTTATGATGGTTCCCCGATACTATACTTCCATGCGTGAAAGGTCTTTTATAAGTCTTAACTTATAGATTAAATGATAAAATTTTATTACATATATAACTAATTAAGAAGTCTTTCAATGAAGATTTTTTGATCCTAATAGAACACAAACAATAATTTCCGAATCCGTACTTAATTGAAATTTCAGATATAGATGGTGGGACAAAAGATATATAAGTAATGATTTAGCTACTGTGTCAAGCCCAGCCAAACGGAACTAAATTACTGTGGTTATTCTGCCCAATTGATTCGTTTCAGTTATCTGATCAGTCGAAGAACATATAAATGCCCTTAGCCTAATTATAAACTATAGTTCAATTGCTTTTTGATTACCGGGTTACAATTCTTTGAAGATCTTCCGTTATCCCGCTGTATTCTCCTTTTCAATAAATCTATTAGCGATACATCCCGTTGCGATTCATCCGACACTTCGTGCCCCTTCTTCTCAATAAACTACCACAATTCGGTAAACTCGTCAACCTATCTCAATATTTGATGACCTCAACATAAATTTTGCTCTCTTGCAGGCAGCCATGTTTGCAGGAGTCCCACTGCAGTTCTTTTGACGTCCTATTATATATCTTTGTTACTCCGTTGCAACTATCCGGCTACAGTGTTCGTATTTCCTTAAAATCCTTTTTATTACAGTTACTCGATTATCCTACGCCATTGACTGGCTATCCTACTCAAACGAATATCCCAGCAACCTCATTAAATTGCTACAATTAATCCGTTAACACACGGTATATATTCTGCTATTTGAAAGAACAACTCAGCTCGGTTTTAAAATTGTCGATATAAACTAAGCAAAATTTACCTCGCTTACATATGTGACGTTAACCATGAACGCAGTGCTACTGGGAAACCTTCCCTAACAGATATCTCGTACACTCCTACGGTTTTTCCCATCTTTTGGTTAAAATGTTGTGGTGATCTCTATATGTTGTTGTATGTGTGCCACTTTTTCATTTTAATTAGTCCGTTCTTTAGCTTCAACGCATGGCTTTTTTCAAATTTTGTAAAAATTTGAAACATAAATAACTTTCTAATATAGCATTGTCCGCTACGGGGAAAAAATTTGACTTTGAAACTTCTCATCTAAGATAAGAACATGAACTCTGCGCTAAAATAAATAATTGTAAATCTCACATCCGGTACTGCCATAAATTATTGTTTAAGGCGGCTGACTCCCAGGTCAAAACTAGTTAGGCTGAGATGGTTGATATTTCATTAATTAACTCGCAAATTATTCGAGTTATATACCCCCTCCCTTAGAGAGAAAGAAACTACCCCGACAAAACATATACTTAAAAATTATCAGCTAGATGTTCATCCAGTATGAGCCGTCCGTACTCAATCACCTCGTAATAATTTTAGCATGAGTCACTATGTTACTCCTGAGTAGTAAGCACACGAAAATTCAAAACCTTTATTTCAAGTCTAATAATTTCATAGAGTATGAAAAAATAAACAACTTTTCAGCACAAATCATTCACAAATTGTCAACGGTTGTCGAGCAAATTGCAAAAAAATCAACATGCCGAAATTATTATTATGCATTAGAAAAAAACGAAACATTTCCCGGAAAAGTTTGCATCCAATATGCTCCATCTTTTGCGTAACTCCCACAGAATACAATTCTATTACCCCTAAAGAAATCAGCTTAATTCTACCGCCTTACGGGGTCAATCTGGGTCGTAGAAATAAACTCCGTTTTAGTAGTATATGGTAAGTAAATATAGATAGAAGCATATATATCGTACAAACGAAAACTCTTAAACTGACAAGAAACTTATACCCCATCTTTTGTTTTATGAAAGTTTATAACTGCGAAAGCTCAAAAAATATAAGAGTTTTAAACATTCATGTACGTCCAACTTCCAAGCCATTTTTATCAGTGTTGATATTTGCCTTCAAACAGAAGCAACTGTTTACTTGCAATTAATTGGTAGCGTACATTTTGAAGAAGTTTTTTCGAATTTCACTGGACTAGAAAGAAAAAACCTAATTTATTATTGAAAATTAATGAGCGATTTTCGAATTTTTCTTTCTTCGAAACCAAGCCATTTTTAGACCATTTTAGAGTGGAAGTACCTTGAACTTAGGCGGCAGTGTTTTAATTGGGAAATTTCCATACCCGAGAATGGGTTAGACGATTTCGATTTCATGTTCGATCTGTTCAACGAGGCTTTTTATAAGTGGATTAAACGGCTCAACATCAAAGATTTATGCCCAGGCCGCTAAGATCTCGGATGTCTCGTCATGTTGTAACTGCCAAAAGGCGGGACATAAGGTTAAGCAGAGAAACACTATCGAGACTAACTTCTTAATAACGGAAATTATCCAGATTTTTAAATTTGTAGTCCAATAGGGCAGCGGATGCATATCAGATAGGAAATATTTGCCTGATAAACGCACTCATTCCGGTCCCTGCCGGTGTTGTTTAATATGCGCCTGCAGAAAGGCTGTTTTCCTGTCTAGTGTTCAAAGGTAATCATTTTATTTGTTCCTGAAGTTAACCAAGCTCGGACCTGCGAGTTTCGTGGTGCGGTATTGCAAAAAAAACACGTACTAAAGTTGTTAACTTTTCTGATAACGGTAGAACTAAATCGGCTTCTGGAAGTTGCTAGTGCCAACCGGGATAAGCAACACGGATTTCGGCACCTTTCGACATTAGTATCACATAAGGAAATGTTTTATTTCACAAATTAGGAACAGCCAAATTAGCTGAACTCCCTATTTCAATCGAGTTCTCGGACTCCGCCGCACGGCACAAAATCAGCTAGTTAATTTTTTTCTGGGACATCTCTGTTCATCGGAAGTTTATATACGCCTGCTCTTCTTTTAGAAAATGCCTTGCGACCTGAAAAAACAATTTGCAGAAATAATCGTAGGCTTTTTTGCAAGTTTGAACCTATGCTCAAAGTGCTGTGTTGTGACTAAATACGTGATGCATAGCTCTCTCCAAAACTACGTGCCATTTTGTTTTTATGGATCAAATAAATTGTGTACATGCATTAGATTCTGTGAACACTGTACCAAATATTACGCTTCTCAACCTCTCCATGTAATGTGATTAAAAAGGCGGGTATTTTAGTAAAAAAAAAAATACTATTTTCTAATCAAAATTGGAGATTTTTAATTTAGATTTAATGATTTCTTCTGGGCCAGTCATAGAACCTTACGCTGTCAAAAAGGTGAAGCTAGGAAACAGGTACTGCTTGCCAAATGAGTGGATTCGACTGCCAACATGGTATAACTACGATGAGAAAAAAGTCGACGTTGATTAGAATGCAGCTCGGTGGGGTATGTAGCTCGAGACCGCAAAAGTTTGATAATTGTTATGGGTGTGGAACAAATGGACACAGCAAGCACTATGCAGTGTCCAAGCATCGGAAGGGTGTGGAAGGGGTAGATAAAGGCGGTATAAAGCCGGCACTTTGCATGCTGGGTAAACCGAAGGACTCAATAGAGAGTAACAAGCACAGGAAAACACGTGATGTACTCAGTATGACACTGCAGAGGCTGGGGACAAATTCCTGCTTGCTCAGCTAGCCGAACAAGAGAAGAGCTATATGCTTATCAGAATAGATAGCTGATGATAGGACTGACATGACAATTTAATAAACTGGGCAAAACTCGAGACGACCATTAGGGTTAAGGATATACGAGAAAATTTTACATAGAGTTAGATAAATTAGTGCTCATTTAGTGCTTAGTTTTTTCAAATACATACAATTTGAGGACCAACATGGTTTCTAGAGGCCTTGAGACTAATGTTCAACACGCAAGGAAGGTAAAAAAAGATAATATCAGAGGAGATATTAACGTCCAGTAGCTTGGAGGAGCTAGCATACATCTAGAGAATCGATATAGGACTGACAAGCATAATTGAAGCTTATAGTTACCAGTGTCAACCGAGATCAGATCTTTTTTGAGGAGACGTCGGGTCGCCGGCCGCAGCAGAGGTCATCTACTTATCTCACTCTTATGAAAGCTAAGGTCCTACTGCAGTATGGCAAAGTAACCATTGGTATGGTACATTTACCGTGGTTGCTGAGGGATTAAGCTTACTACTTGTTCTAAGACGAGATAGCAGGCATGTAGGATGGTAGGTCCAGTATTTCCCAATTATCATAAAGATGACCGCCCTCGCACAATGAGGAGATTGCCAGGCTGGAGGGTGTGGCATATGTTCAATTTTTGTAATAGTACATAATTTTAACATAAGAACACTTAAATGACAAACAAGATAACGAGCTTAAAATCCGAATACGAACAGAATAGATGATTTCAGGATAGAAATTAGAATAGGCAAGACATTTACATGGGAAGATGTAGTTGAAGAGGTAGGAAGATGTGTGGGATCTTTCACACCAAATCATTATGAAGCTTTCTAAAAGTGAGCGCCCCGATTTTTGCCCGACGGGCTCAAGCTTCAGCGCTGTTTCCATAATTTCGAAACCAGATGGCTATCTTAAGGGTGATCACAAAGGAGGTAGAAAAATCCAGGGCACATATGGTTTTGACAAAATCACCAACCCCAAACGAGGTCTCACCGGGAGCTGTCAGGCTTCTCATCAAATGGCGGCCCGAACTCTCCAAGGACCTAAAAGTAGGTTTGTGATTACAAACCATTTTTAAAGATCATGTAAGGAAGCAGACCTAGTCTTTGTACCTAACCCAGGCAATTAAACTGGTCCATCAACCCACAGGCCTATATGCTTGCTATATGCGGCAGCTAAGGGCATTGAAAACGTTGTCATTCTCGAATAGTCAGTTCCAAAAGGAAAATTGCTCGGTGTGATTAACAAATGCTTGACAGAGCGCAAAACGACGTCCCCGAGAACCAGGAACTTTGTACTGCTAACATTATTGAGTGAGAAAGACGCAATCAGCACCATAAATTAGAGGTGGACTATAAGAATAATGGAGAATAATATAGGAATGATGGAAGAAAAGAGAATTTTTCGTTTCCTTTAAAAAGCGGTTTCACTATACAGTACAGGATTATTGACATAGGAACACAGAGACTTGCGGCCACGACCGCACGGCTAAAGTTCCTCAAAGGTTAGTTCTAAGGCGCATGTTTTAGAACATTGGCTATGACGAAGTCGTGAAGAGGCCAAGTTTCCCAGAAGGAATTTAATGCATAGCTCACACTAACGATCTCACTCTTTTGGTCGTGATAATGACAGAAAATATTAAGGAAAGAAGCTCTAGCACAAATGAAAAAAATAGGTGCATGGGCACCATCTAAAGCTTGCTTCTGAAGAAACTAAAGAAACTAGGAAGCGTTGCCAAAACGTTTGAATTAGTTTAGGGCACCATAACTCGAAAGATGGAGGCGAAAAAAGAGTATCTACATGTTCGGATGTATAAGGATTTAATAGGAACTGCACATATATAACACCTGATTTATGAGACTATGAAAGTAGCGATTAGCCTATCACGTGTAATGGCAAGACTAGGGGAGCGCAAGAAGGTACAATTTGGCTACTGACCTCAATAGTTAAGTCAATTTAATTGTATGCCTTCCCGCTATGGGTAGAGGTGGCCCCAAGGTCCAAGAAGAACAGACCCTGCTGGCTGTCGAAAGTTTGTTGCTATCGATGTGACTCGAACATGTAGGACGGTTTTCATTGTGGCCACCCAAATATTGACCAGAATGCTTTTTTAGACCATACTGGCCAAGGAGGGGGTTCCGTGCTACATAGATAATAGATTGGACCTGACAAGAGGGACTTCATTCTAAAAATGAAAAAACGAATGGACATGAATTCGACCATTGCAAGCAAGGGGCGATTAAACTAGGTCACTGATCCCGAATATAAAAATCTTCTTCTTCTTAGAGGTCTTATGACGAGGTTACATACTATACCATTTAGGTATTTACTGGACATGGCGAGTTACAGACATATATGGCCAAGATAAGCAAAACCTCAATGCACATTTGTGTCCTGTGCGACTTCGCATGAATAGACGGGTCGAAGCATATAGTACTACACATCATACTCTCGGCGCGGCTTGGAGAGAGAGGAGGATAAAATACACAATTGAGCAGACTTAAATCGTATCAAGGATTCCGACATCAGAGCAGGAACTTCAAAAGGAATAAAAATATCTAAAGAAAATCATCATTTTATTTTTGGCAGAAGATCGTGAAAAAGCAAGGCGACGGCAGGTTGACAGGAGTATCAAAGATGAAGCAATAAAAGGAGTAGGGGGTCTTAGTTTTCCACTGGTTAGCTACATGAGATGAGACGCGACACGCTTATCGAGTCATTGACGTAATCCCAAGGTTCGAAGAGAGATGTAATAAGTTTCATATGATCATAAGCACATGATCATATACAAGACTTATACAAAAAGCTTATAGCTAAAGCCCTAACGGATAACTGGATAGATCAACGTTCTAAGTCTCATAGGGTTTGGAATTGTAACTTGAAACCGTTTTCCTTTTTCTAATAATATGTAGAGCATTTCTCCCCATCTCCTTAGCAAAAATAGACGGCGCAATAAAAGCCTTTTATTCCTTTAATGCAGGACCAGGATAAATCAGAACGAGAAAGAAACAATACTAAAAATATTTTGTTCTTTCCTTTTTGCATTACAATGAACGGGTTTTAATCCCGAGCGGTGTACGCGGACCACACCTTTTTTTTTTTTTATAAAGTTATGCCCGCTTTAAAATGAATATTAAGTTTTCTAAGCCGGATGCTTTTATAGAATCATCATTATAAAAGTCAGTTTGACTCTAACAGTCACCTTTGAAATTCGATACACGTTGATAACCCAGTCCTTGCTAGTTATTTTTGTTATCCTTAGTAAAAAATTAATTATTGGGTAAAAAATTATAAACTTGGGTGAATACGCTTGTATCGGTTTATAGTGTAGGCCTTGTGTCACAGCTCTTGTCGTTATAGTCTATAAAATATACACGTTAGTACTAAAAAATGACACTGTTGCTTAAACAAGTTTATATATGATTTTTATTTCGTAACTTCGGGCGCGTAGCAAACTGACAAGCGAATATTCTTCTGAGTGTGCAGTTCTATAGAAACGTGACGAAAGCCTATTTGTTTTCATCGTATTGTACCTGTCGTTTTCTAATACGATTCGAACTTAATACGATTTGGCACTTAAATTTGAAAATGAACAAAAGAACTACAAATATTAAAAAAGATGAGAACAAAGACACAGACAAGCCAAAAAATGGGTCTATACATATAGATTTCGATGTGTACGACGGGCTCTGCTATTTAAAAGATAGGACTGAAATGCCAGAAGTGTGACAATGTTTGTATGTAAAAAATATTTACACATCACTCGGAATGCAAGTTGACTCCTTTTGACTTTTTCGTGCTTGATTTCAGAGACACTAACCAAGGAGACAGTATGCTTCGTATGCTCGGACCTTCTGCCTTTAGATGTAGTGTTCAGGCCTGGCCTTTCTGGACTCTTGCAAGCTTGCGTCGATCTGGGGGTAAAATACGGACAGTTTGAAGTAGCGCATACAATGCCTTCTCCAGTTGTGCTTCGTCAAAGACTACGAATCCTTGCTAGCGAATGTCGAAGAAAGCTTTCCGCCGAACTCAAAGGGCTTCTCAATACGATCGGGGGATCACTCTCGTTACAGGTACTTCGAGCTAACTCTAGGACGTGTATTTTAATTTCCGTAATTATAATTTACTGGAAGTGATTTGATTTTCGTTGGACATCGAATGGCAGGAATTTGAATAGAATAAGCCACATCTTCGGTTCGAAACAAGCAGTTTTCAAACAGTTCAGAACAGTGAGGTCACACTATCACCTAGCTTTGGCTTTAGTATTGAAATAGCGTATTGCTGCACGAATATACGCTAAAAATTGAACATTGCTCTAAAAGATCTCCATGAAGTACTAATACGCGCTCGGTGTAAACTACCTTAATTTGCAAGTTCCGATACATCTTTTGAATAAGCTGTGTAAATGTTACATATCCGGCTCGTTTAACTTAGAACTTAGCGTGACGTAAAAAATTCGAAGGCTTTTCGAATAGCGGACGACCAAAAGATGAATGAACAGGAATACATATACATATTTCCGTCGTTCACTTTTATTAACGCGAACCACGGATTGGAGACGGGCACACCAGTTGGCGTGTACCCTGGCGAAGATTTATCCGTTGTAGTATAGCAAAGCTTGGACTCTTTTAGCATCTGAAAAAGTGAAGGTATGACCTTACTGTGAAGCCAGGAGGTAGGCCTCATACTGATAGTGCGTTTGCTACGAGACGCGCGTCATTAGCTCGCGCCGCAAGCGTTAAAATTACAGAGATCTATTATCCAGGTAGAACGATTTTACTCAAAAAATGCCAAAGCTGACTGTGCTAAGCTTGCGGCGCGTTTCGGAGGGCCTACACTGCCAAAACTGCATTGCGGTGTATAAGAAGAAATCAGATAAGGCAAAAAAGTGAACAAAAGAACTTGCAAGTCGTTTGCAGGACGGAAACTGCTGCTTTTGTGCGCCTGTGCCCTACCCATATATAATAAAAGATGCTGCACGGCGTCTTCTCCTAGTGCAAATTTACGCTAACCACTGCTAACAGCGCACTGTCAATCACAAGGTAGTTTTTAGGTAATTATAATTAGACTGTATATGCATTTAGTTCTGCAATGGGCATATAGCAAGAAAACTCTTGGACCAGCCTTATTTTGCTTGGCTATTGAAAATCTAATTGAATATCTATAGTCAGTTTTCGATCTGTGGTGCTAGCATAGTCCTGGTAGGAATTTTCACGCAGTGTTAACAAGCGTTTCCGTAATTTTAACTTGAGCAAACGCGAAAGGACTCGACGTTTACACGAAGGATGAAATTTTCACATGCGAGTTTTTTTTTCCCAGAACAGATTTTGGTTTGGAACATGCGAGATTACTTTTACCAGATTACTAGGCTACTAGATTTTTGAAGGCAACTATATGCATTTTGCATGCGCCAGAACTAAATGACGCATTCCAACCAAAAGATAAACCGTCGTTAGAGTTTCCATTTTTTTACAGCTTCATTTCTGTATATTGTCCTGCTGGTCATAGACATGTTTATTTCAAAGTACTTCAAGTAATCGGCAGTTCATTCAATATGCTTTAACTTAAACTTCTGTTTTCAAATATAAAACTAATCATTCAACCCAAACTACACCTGTGAAGCGCGTTAACAAAGTGTGTTCACATTTTAGGAGCTCACAGGAACCTGTTCTTTCTATTATATATCGATTGTAAAGGTTCTACTTGTACTCAGAGGACCTAAAGCCACCCGGGTCCAAGACTGTTCGGACCCTCACGTCAAGCTCATGGTGGAAACACTATTGAATGTTTCAATCCAGTGTGCCACTTCCCGAAAATGTGCATAACCATGCGTCTTTATTGGTCGCATTCGATGATTTTGGATGCTGTTAAGATTGTAGTTTCCGCCTTGCAGGCTCACTTGAATCTATCTTACATTTTCTTAAAGAGCTTCTTTAGTATCCTAGGGACATTCTTCGCTGGTCCAGAAATGTGCCGTGGGTGCGTTCAACCAACTCAGAAGGTCAGAAAGGCAACGAGAGGAAGCATTCTGCTCTACCAAGAAGCGTAGACCGAATTTCCTCGGAGATCATGTACGGCACATTCTACAACTGTGTGAGAACTTTTGCTGTCGCCACTTTTAGACTAAGGCTTAATTAACGCGTTCATCTCTTTCTTAGTTGGAACACTTTTAGACGATATAAGTACGTACACCTATGCTGGCTTTTGTTCGGACAGTCGTTTGGTTACTTGTCACATCGATAATAATTGTAATAAGCAGATCAATGTATATGAGCAGCATGGACTGTATTGCGACAAGGGCAAAGGATCGAGTCCTAGACACTTCCATCCTAACGACATTTTTGCCAAAGCCTCTAAATGTGTTTAAAGGGAACCAACAGACTCTCTTAGAGATCATATGTGTAAACCAAATAGTCTTATTCTCATAGTCACTGGGCTGGAATTCCACTGTAGTGGATACTAGAGTTCGTTATAAATTCAACCACGATGCTTGGGTATCAGGCTATGTCAGCAACTGTGAAAGCACCAGTGCAAATGTAAGGAGCAGATCCTGCGTAGTGGGAAAAGCTACTTTGATAATATATATATTATATATAAAGTAAGTTCTTTGTATTACTTTGCTTTTTTTTCTTTTTTTGCAAAGTTTGCCTCTACATATGAAGTTTTACATAACATTCAAGGACACTATAAAAATATCTGGTTTGCATTGTGCAGCAAATGAAATTCCAGGTGTTTCAGGTACTCAACTATTTTTTATGTTTTTACTCACTTCTCTCAAAAATCAAAAGTTAGAAAGAGTTTTTGACTTCGTCAAAGAAAAGAAATATAAAGCGTTGAAGATGCTGTTTTTTTTTCGCGCGAAAGGTCCAACTTATGAGTTTCCGTTGGACGTGAAATTCAATCATCTTGCTACACGGTAACATCTAATCTGTGGAGCATTTTTAGATAGCGTATAATATTTAGCTAGTAGCAGATGAAGTTCAAGAGAAAGAGATAAATAACATCGTCCGTACAAAGATTTATCAATGGGAGTTTACGATATTTTGTCTAATACGGCAATTTACGATATTAAGAAGAGTTTTACGAAGCAAGTTTATCTGTGTTGACTTTCAAACTTTCCCAGAGTAATATATCTATTGTGAATATGAGGAGGCTATCCTATTCAGATGATCGTACCTACAGTAACCGCATTAGTAGCGATTTGTCTGGATAACCTGCACAATTCATATAAATAAAGTTATTCTTATTCAATTAATCGATATGAAGTCCACTCAATATCACTTGGAATCAACAGAAATAATTTTAAGTAATTTAATTTTGTGGGTATGAACAACCATTTTTTTTTGTATTTGTGCACGGTTTTGAACACTGTTTCTTAAAGTAGATACCTACAGCATTATCGTTGAGTGCTGTGTGGTTTAAAAACACGTATGTGAAAGAAATCAAATAGCTGTTTTCAAGTGATGAATATGGAATAAATTTGTAATCTAAACGTGTGGGTTTTAGTGTGAAAATTTAGTTGTGCCGCTTTGGAGACTTCGGTAGATTTCTCGCAATCTTCATGAAATATTTTCTGACACACCACTTTTAATAAAACGCCTCAACATTTATGAAACATTTTACAGAAAAAATAGTAGGAGATAAAAGCTATATTCGGAGAAATCAATATATCAGCATTTATATTTATCTATTATATTATATTCAAAAATCGTATTTCAATATGAATTCCGGTCACTTTTTGAACTTCCCAAGTTTCGAAGCTGTGCACAACACATTCTACTTAGTTTTTTCCCACTATATGGAAAAAAATAATAAGAGGGTAATACGGTTCCGCGTGTATCCAAATTCGCTACATCTGCATATCGATGTTTATTAAAGTCTCCATAGAAGTTTTCCTAATATATCAACGGATATATAAATGGCTAATAAATAAATAAATAAATAAAAGATCCAAAAAATGTAAACGTCCAAATAAGTCAAAAATCCTAAGATGTGCCTGTATTTAAACGTTCCTACAGACAACTCTGAGTTACTAGAGACTGCTTTTTCACCATAGTTTCACTTTGCCAACCGCCCTCATAGTCAGTTCATACAAGCACCCAGCCATTAGCTACCCATTCTCAAAGACTTGGAACTACTCGAATTAAATTCGATCCTGCGCTGAAGTATACAATCGCTCATTGGTTATTCCGGGCGCTGCATAAAAACCATCAATACTCGAAACTGTCGCAAATGGTTTAAGGCTGTTGTTGTTCTCGACGCTACCTTAAGAGGGAGGAGCACAAAAGAGACTTCTGCTGTGAACAGGGTTGTCGAATCGGTTGCCTTACCCAGAACCTGCATTGAGCCTTCGACAATCTATGACTATAAGGACTGAGCGCCATCAGAAAATAAACAATTTAGTACAAACCAAGGCACTGTTCTAATATAGGATTCTCAAAGTACATGTTATGAAATTGTAACGAACACACTAAGGAAAACATGGGTTCCTTTTAACTGAGTCTTAACGGATAGAAATATGTGTGCTGTATTCGATAAAAAAATTGCGCAATCATTACCGATAAGAAACTATTCTGGAGCATAACTTGATCGCAGAGGACATATAGGTTCGTCAAAGTCGGTTCAGGCGATTTCAGTAGTAGTGGTGAATGTGTGTGCAATGAATATCCAGGGTATTCGGTATTACGAAACATTGCCCAGTCAGTTGTCGCTAGATATCTTTTAAGTTCCTGAGTAGCCTCACGGATGTCTTGCGTAGCCATCGACCGCGCATAGTCTAACCGCACTCGATGACAAAGCACGATTCAATCGCTACGTCTTAATCACGGCCTAGATTGAAGAAGAGAAGATTAAGCGAAGGCTTCAGTTCCCATACTTATATCTTGATTTACGTATGCAATTTCGACTGCTTCCCTGCCTTAAAGAAACCTTCAGGTGATGTAGAGCGTACTACTGTCGTTTTTTTGAAACAAGTCGCCAATAACGAAATTAATTATCGTAATGTAAATCACAAGTGTAGAATCTTTTCGTCGACTTTGATCGCTACACTACTACCAGGAAAGTATTTATTATATTTATGTGCGTTATGGCAGTTAAAAAAAAATATAGTAAATAATTTGCCGTGTATATGCGCTACATTCGTTCATATTTTCCGATGTATAAAACATTTATTGAGATTACGAGAACGTACTATTCTTGAAACTGCGAAAATTTGTATACTTTGAAAGAGCCGTAATATTGTTGAAGGTAATCAAACTCAAGTTTGATATTTACTCCGATTTGCGTTGCAGAGGAAAACATCCCATACATTTTTACTATGACGAATAAACAAAAAAAACACCCTATGCTATGAAGAATCTTAATTGTGATTTTTGTCCGTAAAACCTTATTGCGAAAGACCTGGAAAGATCCAGAGACGAAAGCGGAGCATTTCATTGTCACACTTCACTCGATGCAAAACTTCTCGAAGGTTACCAGGTGCCTTCGTATGGCGGAATGGGATGCCGAATATCGTCTTACGTGTGACAACATGGTTGGCGTTCTCTACCAAACACTTAAGGACTACGACTTGCATGACTTCTTTCACAGGTAACGCTTGAAAATCTACTATTTTTGCCAGTTCTAATAAATTAAAGTGTTTTGCCTAAAATGGCTCTGTACTCTGATAATCTTTTTCGGTTTAACTAATATGTACTAGGCTGCATCCTACTAAAAATACGTATTCAGTTTATTTCGGTAATCAGTTAGAAAGGTAATAACTCAGATCTCTGGATATTTTCAAATCGATTATATGCTGTATATGTTATTTGTCTTGGTACTCTTTCTTTTTAGATTAGTGTATGTAACAGACCAGGACTCGGAACTTGTGACAGCATTAGGCACAGCAACTCGTCTAAGCTGCGTTACATCAGCAATCAATGCGGTCCTCGAGTTCACACTTCAAGTAGACAACGCCGACGTCGCCTCCGATGTATATTGTCTGTGGAGTGAGTTCGATTTTTCTTAAAAAGCTAGTATGCGAATTTTGTTTACGGACACCGTGCCTCGTATCTAGGAAATTTGGCACGATGGTATAACCATCATCTCCTAACTGCAGTGCACATCTGGTTTTGCATCAGCACTTGTTTTAGTACTATTTGGCTCTAGGGGAAATAAGCTTTTTCGTTGTATGCAAGGCCCTGAACGTTTTTCTTCTTCACTGCGCCTTATATGCTCCTGCTCCTCAAATTTCATAACCTTCATCACAAGATCCGGTATTTTTGTCCACTTTTCTTCGCCTTGAAGCATCCAGTTCACCATAATGTCAGTTTTAAAAGGGTGCTGCAGCGTTCTTTCGACTTCTTCCCTTTCCTTCTCAAGAAGTATACAATGTTTCACTGTGTATTTTACATCGTTTCGCACCCCCAGTATTGCTATAATACACGTGGCCAATGAGGTCAAGTAATAGGTCAAGCTATATCGTTTGTTAATTTGGGGTATTAGCCTTCTATTCAAGACAGCAAGCCATCTCGATTTTTTTCCACTTCAGCTACAGCTTTTCGAAGAGCATTCTCCCTAGCCTTTTGTTCGGAAAAAGTCTGATTCTTTCATGGTATCCTATCCGGCTCGGTCACTTTTCTCCATGACTTCTTACCGAAGCAGCCGAGTGCTAACCTGAAACGCAATCGATTCCGGTTTTCTTCGTCTTTGATGCTGCCCGATCAGTTGACTTTGAAGCTTGAGCTGTGTTCCACCTAGTTTACTTCGAACTACCTTGTAGTCTTTGCCCTATGGATCGGCTCCCACTGTTTCGGTAGCCTGTTAGAATTTTTATTTGCTTGATTTACATTTAATTTACTTACACAAATTAATTCTGGCTTTTTTAAGTTTTCAAGTTGGTTCACTGAACTCCCTCTTCTAGTTCTGTTTCACTAGTATTTGGGCTTTTGTCTTTTGATCTTGTAGTGTGCTGACGTCTCCTTGGCCGTAGAAATAGTCTCCAGCATATTCACCACATCCCTGTGTTTAAGAACGCTTTAGAGTGTGTGGCAGCTCATATTGATGGTGTCCTTTAGCATACCCTTGTCGTTCGGCATTCAAAGGTGTCAATTGGGGTCAACCTCAGCTTCCTTTTCGACGGGAGCTTAACCCGGGCTAACTACCTCTCCCATAGCAGCCTTGTAGTTTCACTATATCTCTAAAGCTCTGGTTCATCTGCCACGTACTATCTGTACTCTACCAACTAGCTCAAGCCTAAGTGTGATTCACTAACCGAAGCTTTCTTCTAGCCAAACATTCAATAAGAAATGTTACTTTGGATGAGGTGCATTTGCTCCCGCGTCAATGGTAGCAACACTGGAATTCTCAGTGATTAACATTTTGTCGCTTTTATCCCAGCTTTTTCTAGATAGGCAGCCTGAATTAGAGAATGCGTCGTGCTATATAATTGTATGGCCACAACCGTTATCTAAGCATAACCGATACATCTTCCAGTTCACTCGCCGATGCCAAGGGGAACCTTCGTAGCATGAAAAACAGAATTACGCAGCGACCCAGTAATAGGTGTTGCAACACAAGTACAGAACTATGTTAGGGTCGAACTAGGACGACTTCTACCACACGAACACAGCCTCTGTTTTCCTAGAATACATCAATGAGTTATGATCGTCGACTTCGATAGTCCATCAATGGCATCGCATTTTTTTAGATCGACTCATTGAAGACCTTTAGATAGTTTATATGTGGTCTATTTGTGATTAGGCTTTTGTATGATAACCGAGTTCGAATTGGTAGCCCCTTTTTACATTCTCCAGAACGTTGTGCCTTTAGCGCCTCGACGTCGTCTTCATCTGCATCATTTGCACACAATCCAATTAGGAATGATTGCAGGGCGCTTATAAGTACTCCACTAACTGACACTTCGCAGGATCCCCCTACTATTATTACAAACGGAACAATTTTTTAAACTCATTGTAGTTAGGTTGGTTGATAAGATGTTTTGGATAGGTCACAATTGTATGTTAAACTGTATTTGCGGTAAAAAGTGCCAAGTAACTTTTACTATATACTTGTCGCATTATCTTCGTTACTTGTTTAGATTACTGTGTCATACTCGTCAGTCATCTACAACGGACAAATCTACATGATCTTTTGGATAACCCAATTTATCGGCCAAAAGACACATCTTGTTGGGTAAACCGGCTCGAGTTCCTTCAAAGCATTCTCTCACAGTGGGGACAGATCACCAAGGCACTGGGTACGACTGACGAAGAGGTAATCAAAATCTACAAGTAAAATAATTTATGAAATAGAAAGTTATTAGGATTTTTATGATGTAAATTTACGTAATTCACAGAACGTTAAATGCATCAAAATGAAAGCGGACTTGTTTGCTTTGTAGTTCGGCTGATTGATTATAATCATTATTTTTTTTTATAAAGGACTAATTGTTAAGTAAATTATCCCAAATGCCAAGCTTCAAACGTAAGTATCTACTTCAAGTGTGGGATTCCTTCCTAGCAAACGTCATTAGTGTCTCTTCTTTCCGACTAACACCGAAGACCTGTGTATACATTTTCATGAGATAAAGAAATGATTTTTTTGATTTAGCTGTCTTTGAGTTTGTTTCAGGCCTTTAGTAATCGTTTTCCTTTGTGTTGCGTTCGTCGGCATGCTGAATTGCCTTTTTTTCTCTTTAACACTCCGTTTTTTTCTCGACCACCTTATTTGTTATGCCAACTGCTTGGTCCTCGATCATGCTTTTATCTGAGGAGCGTCAGATACTCTGCAGTCAACTTCTAAGGCTGGGAAATAGCGTATGCCACGTTATATAAGACGCCTGCGTCATAAGTTACATATGTGGAGCTTTCAGCCTGCCTTATCGTCTGCAAGTATTTCTGAAAAGTTCCATATTGAATCAGTATTTAGTTAAGTCATAGGCCGAGGCATCTGGTTTTCATTGATCCATTTGGTGAATCAGAGAAAATGTGCATCCTCCTGGGGTCTCTTCATAGAATATCAGCCGTGTCAGGGCGACAACTGTACATCATTTTTGTGTTTTCCAGGCTTTCGTCACTCTTCTCATCAGAAGTCTCTGTGCTTTCTGAAGTTTCGCCTTTGCTTAGTTGCGGTAGCACCCTATTTGGGCGCTCCGTATAACACGGTAGACCTGGATACTGCCTTTCTTTTATATAAACTTCTTATTTCCGGCAGGATTTTAGCTAAACTATTTATTTATTTCTTTGCCGTTTAGTCACTTTATCGACGTGAAGGTTTTTACAAACGTTCGATTCGCCGTTATTTCTAAATATCGAGCTGGCGCCTTCACATCTTACAGGATATGCCTGTGTTTGGTTATCGATTAATAGCATTGGTTTGGCTTTTTAGGTTAGTATTACGTACGATTCCACTTCTATGCTTGTATTCTTTTGTATAGTTCCACTATCTACGCTTATTGTCCCCTTTTCGCCTTAAGTAACTATTTGATCCGAGTACAACTTCAATTAGGTCTTTTCTAGCTTTAGAAACTCCAGGGCGTTAATATAAGTCATTCCATAAAAAGGGCCAAATATTGACCATTTACACACTTTAGAGATTGTCATAAAACAACTTTTCCCATGAGTAAGAACCCTGTTTCTATGGTTAAGGGTGATCAACTTCTTAAAGTTTCACTATGGTTCTGTGACTTTAGAGTCTCCACATTTTCTTTGTAGCCCCTCTGTGCCTGCGCTGCTTTATGGGCCGCCATTCTTCGGCTTCACTGTTTCAAAGTCCGCCTAGTTTCTTACCGCCAACAATACGTTCCTTACAGATAAATTTGCTTTTTGCTTATCTAAGCGTTAATAATTATTAGTCTCACCGGATGATACCCTCGCAGCCACAAACGCTAATATTGATTCTGCTTAAGGGTCCGTCTCTATCAGTAATCTGGCCCAGAACCGAACTGCCTATAATATACTATTTTTTGATATACAACCAAAGACAAAAAAGACCGATTATTAGGGTAACTGCCGGATAAGACTGAAAATACGTTGGAAAACGTTTTTCTGTTGGTTTGATGAATCATGGATGGAACGTGGTTTAATGGAAGTTTACGTGTGAGAAATTTAGTATGCGTAATCTGTTCGAATCAATTATCGAAATAAAAGGTGCTCGCCAGCGATCTGCCTAGATTGGCAATTCACGTTTGGCTTGCTACGTAATTTTATGAACAATCAGAATAGTCCAATGTACTACCGATGATTTGGTAAGGTCAGCCTTGTCGCCAACTTCATCCTTCGTAGTCTACAAGTGAGCAGAATTACATGCCGTGCGTTTGTAGCCTTAGTTGTTTCAATATATTTAATAAGATTAAACTAGCAGTAGACTTTGCGAACCTTTGAATAATTGGCATACAATCAGAGCACATAGACTTGTTGCCAAGTGAAGAACATTTTCCATAACCAATCACATTCTCAGTTAGTTAATCAACTTGCCGAGTTTAATCTCCAAAACGGCTATTGCTCAAACATATAGGCATTGAAAATTATAGAGAGAATATTATACGAAACGTTTTTGCTCCTTGTGTTCATTCTGTCAACGTTTATTTTGAATATAAATTCGTCTAGATTTAAAACTACGTCTTTCGGAAGCTACAAAAGTTCGTACAAATATTAGGACCTCGGGACTAGCTCTTAGGCTATATTCAGCAAGGAAATCAGCTCTTTGTAACAAATTCTGCTGCCGAAATAACATAAGGGTTTGAAAAATCTATTTTTTGATGTACTGATTAGAACGAATGCATTAGAAAAAAATAATCCCAGCTGTGCTTAATATCTGCATTAGCTCAATGAATATCGTTATAATGATAAAATTTTGTGCAACATTCTTATCTTCATATTACTTATTTAATTTCAATCATAACTTCCGATCGGGTATGATTAATTCATCAACCAGATTAGTTTATGTATCAGACCCCACAAAAAAGCACTCCCCGGAGTCTAGACCATTCTCTTCAATTGCATTATCCACCTTCTTGTCAATCAATGACTGTGAATATTCGAATATGGAAAAAAAATCAACTTATGACCACTTGGAAATGACATTAACTTCATATGAGTTATACACATCCGAAATACATAGGGAAAATTAAACACACACTGTGCCTTATTATACCAGAAGCATATTATAGTGTATTCAATTCAGAAACAATTATACGACAGATAACCAGCCTCTCGTCAGTCTCCAAAAAGACCTTAAGAAATGTCTTCAGGATGCCATATCTACAAAGTAATGAAACAACTTGGCAATCTAAAAAATGTATAATTTTCTATAGCCTTTTCATGTTTAGGGCAGTTGTTTATGCAAATACGTGAAACTAAAAATAGACGAAAGCTATTCTTTACACAGACCTTTATAAAACTAGTTTATTATAAAATCTAATTACCTCTTTCAATGACCAGCCATTAATCGAGACTTATTAGTTTGTAAACATAAAATGACTTTGGCCCGAATTCCTCATTGAATTAAACAATCCTTGGGCAATGCTTGAATAACATCTGCTCAGAATTATTACTGATGACTCACTTAATTGCTTATCTAGCCAATAATAAAAAACTCAGTTAGCAAAGTAAAGCATATATATATATGTTAAATATCTATCGAATTGTCACCGGTGTTGATCGCCTGACATAGTCTGTATTAATTCACTTGTGAAACTCTTTTACCTGACACATAATATGAAATTACTCGTTCAAAATTACTAGCTTCAATATGTAACCTTCTTAAGGAAATGCTGGCAAATAACATATCTGACAACTGAGATTTAAAAAAAGCCCGGGAAAAACATAGCCTTATAATTTGTTAATTGCTATGCTTGTTTACAGGCTCAGTACACGTCGCCAATTAACATTTCTCTTTTAGAAGAAATCGTGAAATTCATCACTCCTTTTCGACAAGCGATACGCGATTTGTCTGAATCCCGAAAGCCAACGTTACATCTCGTGGTTGTTTGGTATACACGCCTTGTAAAAGAAATGCAACCAGAAAATACAGACAGTATTCTTATTAACACTCTGAAGACGCATGCAAGAATGTACCTTATGCAGGTAAAGCTCTTTTTTTGTCTTTATATATATGTAGAACTCTACTTTGTTTGATTGAATTATTTTCTTATTCATATGGGATCTTGGTACATATTGAGGATCACGGCGTACTCATTGAAAATATTTTTAACGATGTGTGACAGAAAACGAGTGTTTTAACACAAACGTTGCTTAAGTATCCTAAAAAGTAGAACACTTTCAGCTTCATCTTAATAGTCTCTCTTATAATTGTACAATGATAACTTTATATGATAAAAGTAAAGACAAATATAGAGTGGTTACCAGATTACTTTTCTTGTACCTATTTCGACACCATAAAGGCTTAGAAAGAGGAGAATCAATTGATGGGAACGTAGTAGTTCCAGCTACAATTGCTTTTAAGCTTTTGATACTAAGTTTGCCTTTCCATATAAGTAAAGAGCGCATACGATACCCATCTAATTTGAAAGGACTTCTAGCTTTTAGCAGTATTGTTTATACTTGTGTCTCTCAGGTTTTTTAGTGAACTAAAACTGTGTCTAAATGTACCATAGGACTTCGTCGTGGTTGCACTGAATGGTTTGGTCCATGGTTGACAAAATAGCTATAGTATTGCGTCAAACTGTTTACATGCTTTCCTCATTTTGGGATTATAAAAGACAATCAAATCTGAAACGTTGAAATCTTGTAAATGGGAACAGCTCGCGCAAATCCGGCCCCTCAGTAGCTGTGTCGCAAGCTTCCGAGTATGTCTCCGTGCTTTTTTCAATATGTTGTTCAAGAAGCGTACCTGCAATCGTTCAAAAAGATTGACAATGTTACTATTTTTGAGATCCCCAAACGTAGCTAGATTTTTATTAAATCTAAAGAGTTTTATTAAATCTAGATGCGTTCACCTATACAGTTACCCCCCTTCTAAACGTTGAAAACTGTTAGTCTCACGAGGGTGTAGATCTATGTACCACATGAAAGCGTGGTAAAAGGACTTTGAAGAAGTGTACTGTATATATAATTAGTTGAATTGTAAATTTGTAGAGTAAGATTGAAGAAAGTGTTTAAAAAAATGTCTCCTGCTGTATATTAAAACTTAGAGCATATTTTTAAAAATAGCAGGTTTAAATACAGAGTTACAGATCTTTTTTTTTTATAGATACTGCAATTTTATATTTAGAAATGTACAAGATGGGTGGAATACCTAGTGTGGCTTCCCGTTGCAGATTTATGATCCGGCTGCTTATCGATTCCCAATATATTAAGACAGTTTTTAGTTTATAGTGAAATATTTCCACCCAAAGGAATCTGGTTGAAGATACGATTACCCTTTACAATTAGTAAATAAAATCTTTTTTTCGGACATACCGTACTTGGTGTGGAACGAATTTTAAAAGTCAGGTTCGCGAGCACGACTATGTCGATGTTTTGTTTATAACCAACATCAGTTAAAGGCACCAAATGAAAGTAGAATGTTATTTCAATTTACATAATTGTGTATAGGATGTTTAAGCATAAATTTGTATTTACGAACTTTTCATAATGGGCGAAAAGAGCTACAAATCGGTTACGTGGTCAAGTCTCCTCGGGATGAACGGTAGTATCGTGAAGTCCATTTTTACTCGAACGGCTACATCAACAAACAGAATTGTTGCATTTAGGCTTCAGGAAACCCAAGTGTAAAAAGCAGTGTTTCTTTTAAATCGAGTCGTCGTTTCAGTTGTTTAATAAATAGTGGTGTTCTACGGAGCCAGTAGAGAATTGGGTTTCTATCTCAAGCAAAATAATCCAAGGCTAGCGCAGTAGCATTCAAAATAAGGTGTTCCTATATTAATGGCGACTAATTGAAGTGTAAGGCAAAATTTTCGCATCATAGAAGCGTTCATCGCTTTCAGTAAGAGTTTTACATAGATAATCTCTTTTACGGCCGGCAAATCTTCCGCGACCTACAGAAGGTTCGCCCGCTTAGTATCGTCGTTATTCTCAGGCGTGTAACGAAACTGGCGTATTAAGTCTCTTGTCGCCAAGCAAATTTCGTTAGTTTGGTATATCGTGCATTCATTTCGGTTCTGGTGTAATCGGCGCGTATCTTGAAAGTTGCTAATTGACTGCCGGGTGTTTGCTCATTGACTTCGCTCAGTGGATCGCTGAGGACCGATGACATAACAAAAGCAGGCTTAGATTATTGTCGTAGGTTACCTCTGTGGTTTGCCCAAAGGAGTTAAGGTTAGCAACTTTACACGACTGTGTTCATCTAGAGGCTGTTCCTGAGAGGTTTCACGATATTTTGGGACACGAGCATTACTTAATAGCAATGAATCCATATAATAATTACGTGAAGAAGGTTTTATTTCAACGAAGCTAGAAATTTGCCTTTTTTAGTACAGTGGGGATTTTTATTACATTCATTAAAATGACGCGGTTGCTACTCTTATGCAATGTGTAGGAAAGGTCAGAGCTTCAACCCTGGCGACCACATGGTTTATTTTTCTTATGCTTTTTTGAACTAAGGCACGTATTATATATTTTCGTTAATCTAAGGCATAGGTTAAAGGATATTATTTTTAAGAGCAAGTTCCGTGGTTAGTTTATTTGGGATAGATCCAGCCGCATTATAGTTATACATTTATTTACATTCAATTTATTTTACATTGTTTTTGTGTCATTGCAGATGGAAGTTCATCAACTGCATCGTATTGCACTATTTCTTCATCCGAAATTGAAATCTCTCAAACTACTTCAAGACGACGGTCTAAAGGTTCCTCTAGCTAATCGAGCAATGAAAACATAAAATTAAGTTCTCTGTTGTGATTGAATTTTAAAAAATTCACTGAGAGATAGTATTAATGGGTTTCGTTGGCTTCTTGAGAAAGGATTAATCTGAGCATGTGTATAATTTTTTAAATACGGATGAAAAGTTGATTTTCCTGGGAAAAATCTGTTCAAGCTGTATAAATTACATAAGTAAACATTAATGTTTTGCAGTCTCCTTACAGAATTAACTCCTTTATTATTTATATAAGAAGATTTCTAGAATTTCCGGTAACTGTCATTATTACTTTAGCCTATCTGACCCAGACACAAGCCAGTTATTAGTTGATAATGAGTGTTATGTAGCCAGTCGTTTAAAAAGAAGTCTAGAAGAATTAACCTTAACGAGGCGTGTTTGTCACTTAACGCCATTATATTGAGATCACTAGCGACCATCGCTTTGTCACTTCCATTGAGGTTCATCAAAGAATGTTTTAAAGCTATAAGAGTTACATATTTAATAGATCGACCAATTAAAGTGGCCTGAATTACATAGGCCAGGAACTAAGCCTGATCGTCTGTTTTCTTTTTTTTTCGTAGAGTGAACCTTGTGAAACTGCATCCATGTAACTGCAGTTACAGTTTTAGTCACTGATGTAGTTAAAATACTTACGTATGTCGTACCTAAATATTGCTTAGACTTTTCAAATTTTTGTAAGATAACGTATTGATTTTAATAAAAATACGTTTCATAATTTTAGTTAAGCGTACAGGCAGAAGTACGATCCATGTTGTCCGCGCAGGTGATCAATTGCTACATGGAAGCCAATACCACCTCAAATCAAGTTACGTTACAAAAGGTTAGCACAATTCTACGACTTGAACTTACTTCTATTAATGATATGATCAAAAGATCTGCTATTAATATTTAGTCTGCAGTTCACCGGTATTATTGCTTTCAAATTAATTCGCTTTTTCAAAACAGTATTGTAAAATTTTAAGAGCTATTATAGCCTGAAGTAGCATAAATTTGAGCTCAGTGCCTATTTCGTTATAGAAATTCAAATATTTAGTTTTTTGATGCATTGTTTTGTATTTAGTCTTCTACAGCAGGTGTACCGACGGTTAATGGAGTCGGAGCTCGTCGAAGTACTGGGGGTCTTTTGACTCTGTCAGACCTAGAAGACACATCCGACGACGATGGATCCCAGTTCGACTCAGATGAAGTCAACAAGTATCTGCTACTAAGAGTGCCCAAGACACCTGCAGGCACAGAATTCGATTTGCTCAAGTGGTGGGCTGCCCATGAGCTTGAATTGCCCAGGTCTAATAAGATTTTTGTAGACTTAAGAAAGCAAATATATCTTCTTGTTTCACCTCGATATAAAAATGATGATCTGCACATGTAATTATCCTAGCCTTTTTTGGTACTCTGACAATGTACTAATACGTGTTATAGTCAAAGCTATCGAGATCTTGAGCTCATAGTTTTCACGCAGCTACTGCAAATCGCTGGACATCCTTCCAATGCTAAAATATATTGAGACGAACAGCCAGCAAATAATAGTTCCTCATCTCAACTAAGACCCCATTTCCTAGAACTGCCTAGTAGTGCCTAGAAGCCAGCTAACTTGAGTCCTAATTTGCTTAATCGTAATCCATAAAACAAATAGTCATTAACTTTCTTAACTTAATATTAAGGCAATCGCTTAATGCAACGTCGCTCAAAATTTGAATGTCCGTACTTTGACCATTGTTGTTTTTTTTAACTAGGTTGAATAAACATTGAAAAAAGAAATATGTTTATCTAAAATACCGTTGCTTACACATAGATGTATTATAGGACATGTTTGATGACTAGGAGGGTAATATATTTTAAATATTGCCGTTTCTGAATGAAAACAATTGTTGTAACCTTACGTAACGTAAAAAGCAGCACAGCAAATTCCAAAAAATGTATTACGCCACCTAACTATTTCCAAACTTCCAGGAAACTGTTTGCAGTTACAAAACTCATCGTTTACTTTTTCACGGCATGTAAGCTGGCGGTAGTGTACGCGATAATATGACTGAAGAACGTCTAGGTCGCAAGTTCAAAGCATATTCTTAATGATCATTTGCTGGATACAATAGTACTAACATCAGCCTATAATTACTGTACATTACGATTCGACCGATCAAAAGCCATTCTCCCTACTTCCTTAAGGAATAGGGCAATTATATCTGGCTACTTTACAGGAAACTATGACCAAAAAGACCTGGATAAAATGATACCTTTACCACTGGTTCATATTTTAGAACCTCGAGAATTAATCTTCCGAAAATACTACCTGATTTTTAATGTGCGTCTACTATGCCAGACTATGCAATACTTTCAATTACATTAATTAGGTTGAGGCATTATATCGTCAGTAGGGTCCGGGAATTGTTTCGGGTTTTTTGAAATCTCATGTAGCTTTTGAAATCACATTTTAATTTGCAAATCTGCTATAATTGTACTCTGCAGTAAACGAAATTCTGCATCGAGGGTCATCAACATAATTTTATTTGCTGTTTTTCCTTCGCCTCTTGCTGAGATTGTAAAGCTGTGTGAACAGCCCCAAACAGTTGTATCGTACGTGATAAGTACTCAGCAGCTGAAAAGCGCGCTCATAAGTCACTTGTTAAAATGAAATAGAGGAGTTCAAAGGAAGACAAATAGAAAAATCATATTACTGATAAATCTTGTGTATTTGTAACCCGTTGAATTTAACACAGGCTATCCCGCGTGGCCCAGTTCGTTCATTCGATCCCTGCATCCCATCGGAGTCGAGCTTCCCTTTGTCCAGCTACTGTCGATTACCCCGAGCTTGCCGATGACATGATACTTTTGAACACTTGTATGGTGTAAGAAAAGCAAAGCAAATGGTGTAAACACTACTAACGTCACCTATTGGGAGTGTAAATGTGGTTATAATATCTTAATGTTTTTTTTTCTGTAACATTTTTACGAATGTTAATCAGTTTTAGCAAGATGATCAAAGCTAAAAGTATGTATTTTGGTGCAAAAAAAAGTTTAGACCTCTTACTAGAAGCTTACTTATAGCAAATTGGAGCGGAGTACTTCCTTCAACAGACGAATTGTTAATAATAAAGGCCTCAAGCGTAGTAAATAATACGACAAGTTATTCCTGTATAGTGGTTAATTGTGTAAAATAATTGCTAGAGGCAAATACATATACATATTGTAAACAATTAGAAAGCCAAATGATAACCACAAAGGTAATCTCGAGTGCAATTATGTATGAGTACTACTGAAAAAGATAAAATCAATGTCATGCCTAGGGAATAATCCGTGTATACGCTAAGGAAACCAGGTTGTCCTTGTGTTGTCTTAAAGAAGCAAGAAAACCGCGTGATCCAGGGCAACATGTAGTTAGCCTTTAAAAACTGGACCTGGTTTACCAAAGTCCTTGCGTATACCCTTTTATCTAGAACTCAGCCCGAATCTTCATTTAATAGTTCTACGAGCTAAGAGAGATAGTTGCAAGTGTCTAACTGTATTTTATCGTATAGGTAGTTGCTTTGTACATCAAATGAACCCTATTTATTTCGCGATATACGTACAGTATCGCCTGAATACTAGAGGGGTACTCCCGTAAGCCATGCTCTGATGGCCTTACATGTCCCCTAAAGCATTTATTTTTCTGTGCCTTGTTCATTTCTTATACTGTATCTCACAGATGTAATGTTATAATTAATATACAATGGCTGTGTACTGCAAACCATTGATTTTAACAAAGCGGTTAATACAGAAGCTCCAAGGAGAATTATCAACTTGGCGATCGTTAACATTGTATATGTCAAGCACTAACATACCTATTTAATTCGCTGCCTTCTCTCTTGGAGGCAAACTGAATGCATTCTAAGCAGCTAGCAGGATATTGAAGGATAGTTTTATAGTTTCAAAAAGTGAAGGTCCCTCTTCATTTTAAATCTTGTATTATCCGGGTTATCGTTTTCAGAGCTTCCCGAATTGGACCTCCAACAGTATTCGATACCTTGTCCTGTGACCTTGCTGTTGCAATTTTATTAAAGAGAATTTAGTAACGCTTCTATGTGCGACCAAGCATCACTAGGGTGACGCTTATTTCTTGGAGGCCAAATGTAGGGCTCAACCCTCACTTGACTTAGCTAGACTCAGCTATGTGGAGACTACCCACCTTTCAATTCCTATCACTTTTTGATATATACTAATTCACTTTGAACCAAGAAGGCTCTGTTTTTAAATGTATTACGGCTTTGTCACAGAGAGTGACTTCTGCCACGGCGTCTAGGCACGGTCACCGCAGTCGGGATACCTACCACCCTAAATAAATTAGGCCCTTAGACAATGCTACACCCCTGCTCCGCCTACAAATCCGACCTATTAATTTCGCTTTCCTCTTCGGGAAATATAGCCAGTCTAGATTCTACTCTAGTTCTAGAGAAATCTTCTGTTAGAACTCCTAGCCAATCCGTTTCCCTTGTTCCGGCATTCCCTAGATGTACTTAGTCAATTCACGAGCTTCTTCCAGAGTTTTCAAGTCTATCATTGGAAAAGAGAGAATTTTGGAAAAGTCTGTGTTTTATGTTCTTTCTTGAGTCCGGCGTCATCTAAACTAGATAACCGAGACAACTAATAATAAACTCGATAACCGATTCCACTACCATCATTAAAAGCCATTTGTTTTACGTGTTTTTAGTAACCGCTTTTCTTATATCTAGTTGAACCGTCAAAGCTTTGAGCTGTGAGTAACTTCTATACTCCCCACATCTACCTTGATGTGTACATCCGGACGTCTCTTTATGTACATTAATAATACCATTTCCGATTTCGTGAATGCTAATCTCAGATTACACCCAATGAGATATTTCTATCAGTGCTTGTTGTATGCGGCTTTCCGGATTAGAAGCGCGTGCATATGGGAAATCAGATCCATGTCCAGAAGAAAATCCAGGATACATATGGCCCCGTCATACATACAGGTTTCAGAGCAGAAATCTCAGGATGGATTCTTGCGAGACTTCAGCAGTCACTATACACTCTGTACACTGTTGCTGTTAACATTGATTTATGCTTCCTAATTCCGAACTGGCTATCACAAATCGTACCATTCCAGCAACTTCCTAGAGCCTTACCTCAACGATGGCCCCAAGGAATTTCGCCACTGACCGCAGGAAGAGAATGTGTGTCAGAACTCTTGGAGATCAGACCGACCTCTCCAGTTTTCCATAGCTCTCGGAATGATGCGTCCCACATAATCCTCGAAGTTACTTATTACAATTAACCTAAGACACTCCTTGAGCAATATTTTAATAAAACGAATGGAGATTTGTCTTCAGCTGCCTGTAAATCTTCTATTAACGCTGGAGGTGTATAATTCTTCCCGTCGCTTCGACATAGCATACGGTAGAAATCTCTGCGAGTGAGTAAAAATTTGATAGTTATTTTCATATTGTCATTCTCTGTCAGGTATTGGCAGGCGTTTTTTTTTTTCTCACTATTTTGTAAAAGTGGCTCCAAAGATTTTCTTCTAACTTCTGCGGGCACGCCGTCAATATTTTTTAAGAGTCATTTTTATTATTCTATAATAGTCAAGCATTCGAGTAAGAAATTCTGAGTAGACGGCCTAATCCGTTTATTTCCTTATAATCTCTACTATTTACTATGTATATTCCTGTTGTAGATGGTTCGAGCCTATACAATGTAATCATCCCACTGGTATTTTGGTTCCCCTCGTTTTCTTCTTTTGGGGTGGGGTGTATGTTTTAGAAAAGGCTCCGTCAGTCTCTAGCGCGATGGTGCATCCTTCGGTTCTTCGTATCTGCCTATCCATTGGTTTACTACAGCAATTATAAAAACCTTGCTACTCGCTGTATCTTTTTTTTTCCGCTGTATCCGGCTCTTTTTACGGTGCAGCACCTTCCAATTCACTTTTTTCCGTACCTGTCGGAAGCCATATATGATAACATGTATGAGACCACGCTTTGAAACATGAGCTTGAGTACATAATTTACTCTAACTATACTTGGATAGCTATCAATTCTTTGATTATACATCTTCTCTGGTCTGTACGCGTAGAGCTCCATGTATTGCTACGGATATTTGTTTTACCTAATTCATCGAGCTTATGAAATCGTCTCTCTACAATTGACCCATTACCTTTTGCCAGCATGCCAAAGAAACAAACTGATTATTAGAAGCCTTTCATTTTCAAAAAGCAACTCCCTCATTTTCCGCTCCTTTAAGAATTCGGGTCCTCATAAGATATTAGTGACAACAGTAACCACTTTTGGGCGATATTTATGTAAGAGTCTGTGGATTGTTATTCAGTCTGGCCCTGATGTTTTTCCTGGCTTAATTCGAGCGCAAAACGAGAACTTTCCCCTTAGTTATCTCAAAGATCTACATAATGTTCATGTATATATATATTAAATTTTATCGGCAGAAAACAGAAGAAAACAGGTTACACTGAACAAACGTGTGTGCTATAATGATAAAGTGGGCAAGTACCAATTTTGGCTTAAGACTTTTTCATAAAAGGAGCGTAGTAAAGACAAGTTTCTTTAGATCTCTTGACATCCAGAATGTCGTTCTTACATAGCAGAGACATTACAGACCGGCACAATCGAAACAACGAATAGGCGTGCAAGTTGAGCTACGACGAGCGATTAAAAAACCAAGAAGGTTCAAAGAGATCGTCATAGTGGTGTGCAAAGTGTTACGTCTAAATCTGCCAATAAACTAAGCGTGTTGCCCACAAAATTAAAAAAAGTAGGATAGGAAGCCAGGGATCATAACGTTGTGTAGGAAATACTAATGTCTTGTTGTGGCAGACAGCAGAGCACAATATAGGTTAAAAAAAAGCAACAAAATAAGACGGTCATAAACCATTGTGAAAAGGTTCATGCGTGTCAAGCTTTTATTGAAGAAGCAAAAATGATTATTGGTTATTTTAGTCATCCTTGTCAATATGAAAAGGAAATGTTCAAATATTATAAATACATTAAGAATACATGAAAAACAAGAGAAAAATACGAACATTAGTGATTTTTAGCATGCAGAGTTCATCCTGATAAAACATAAATGGCAGATTAGACTGTAGTACAACATAATTTTGTTTAATCACACCGATTGTGCGGTATAGAAAAGCCACATACAGAGAATAGTTAGAAGGGGTCACTAACTAAACTACGGGCTTTAAAAGCAATCGTATGTGATGTGCCGTTGACAACAACAAACTGCTAAAATATGATGCCTTATTTGACATCGATACGCATTTCTAGGGAGCTGAGCTTTGAGCTTGTTTAATTGTTTGAACCTCTGTGTAAAATTAGCATCGACTGCATCCTGTATCATATATGCTTGAGGTGTAGTGGCCCATACAGTTCCACATTCTGGCCCATATATCATTCAAGATGGTCCCTTAATATAACTCACTTTACCTAAAAAAATCCAATTTGTAGTCTAAGGCACACTGAAAGGCTTTAGAAAATATGGCTTTCGAAAAAGCGAATTCATGGTAGAAGAAGAAACTGGTTATTTTGTTTCTTCATCCTTCAAGCAAGGTTCAGTGAAATGTGAAAAACAAAGATGTCTAGAACCTTACTTGATTTCTAACAACCCATTTAATTCCCGTTTCAAATCGGAAAAAAAAAATATATATATATACACAGAGAGGGAGAGAGAGAGAGAGAGAGAAGACGAGGTTAAAATTATATAACATAGTTATTCAGTAGAAATATCTGTTGTGTTTAACACTGTTTGTTCGATTAAGTACTATTATGTAGCTTACGAACTTTGCGCCATAAAAACCTATGCTCAGTTATATAGATCATAACCTTTTCTAACTATCGCTTATCAATTGGGAACAATGTATAAATATCGGGACGTTTAGTTAAGACGGATGCGGGGGATAAGGTTTTTATCCTTGTGAAGTTGTGAAAACCGTGAATCGAATAGTGTAAAATCTATGAGTACAAGGATTTTCGCCTTCTGCAGTGATAAAAACTGGTCCACAAGAGAAATAAGTTCGAGACGTGCTTCTTGCTTTACATTAAACCACACCCATTGATAAACCAGTTTTTATGTTAAAACTGCTTGCCTAGGGTTCTCAATGATACCATATGAGACCAAATTATCGCTGG